CAAATTTGTTTTGTAATGACATCAGCTGATTTCCCATATAACTGAATAAAGTCAATGAAAGACTCTGTCACTCCTGAATCTTCAATATGCACATATTGAATCACTTGGGACATTTGGTCAGTGTGTGAAATATCAGGAGTGCTATCAAACATTATAGCAAAATACTTGGCCTTTATGATATTTTGAAAGATGACTGTTCGAATGTGATCGCCGAGCAGGCTAATAAACTCATTCTGGCTCTGTGGAGAGAGATAGGACACATTGTAACCATCTATGCGTTGTACTCTGTGAAGATGTTGTTTGGCAACTGGGTCATATTTGGCGAGTAACTTGAAAGTTTCTAAGAAATTTCCACAGTTACCATCTGTATTTAAATCTTCAGAGTGACCACGTAAGGGTAAGGTTTGCCTGGCTAGATACAGAATACAATCAAGTATTCTGACTAAGATTGCCTTCCATTTTTCAAATGACCTCTGTTGTGCAAGCTGGGCAGCAGCATCAATAGTCTCCTGTTTATGCAGCCACATTTCTAATTCTTTCCATATTGTAAATGCACTCAAGTGATATGAACTGCGCTCATGCTCTAGTAATCTAGGGCTTAACTTTCTCCATGCATTAAATCCACTTGACTTTCCAAATGAACTTTTCCCTTTAGCCTTCTGAAAAAGCATGCAAGGAAAGCAATATGCAGCATTGTTTACAGGAGAAAACACCAACCATGTCCTTAACATAGTCTCACCATTGTCCAAATGTATGTAGAACCAATCCTTGGAAAATGACCTGCCATTACTGTCTCTTGGAAACCATGCATCCTTATTCTGCAGTTCCTCTGTCCCTCGCCTGACAAGTTCAGTTTTCAAGATTTCATCCATGGTTTCAGGCCAATAGCCAATATCAGTATAAACTTTTTGGTCAATATTTTCTGGCAGATTTGGCTGAGTATAAACATCCTTAGATGAAACTGTCTCTGCTTCTAATGCAGGAACAGGAATGTCTACCGACACAGGATCAGGATTACGAGTCTCCTGTGGTGCTGCTGATGATGGTCCTGCTGTAATTTCAGCAGTACTCACCAAAAACCGGTGAAGGCTTCCAGCTAACTTAGCTTGTTGCTCTGTCTCTATCTTTCTCCTTTTCCTGCCTTGTGCACCAGATTCTTTTTTGTATGGCATGACATAATGTTTATTCACCTTCATGCCTATTGCCTTACTCTTTCAGCAAAAAAAAATAAATAAATTAAAGGTTGCGCCTAGACCCACTGGCTTACATCAACTTATGTTGAGCTGGAGCAGCTACATATGGATCGAAATCTGTCTCGTCACTGTTGAACCAACCAAACTTCAATCCATCTGGTCAGCTCAACATTCTAAAATTCTAAAAAAAGAAAAAAAAAGAAAATCACTTTCTTGCCTTGCTGCACTTTTAGCACCCCTTCATTGTATAACCATTTCTTTACTCTTAAAGGACCACTCTAGGCACCCAGACCACTTCAGCTTAATGAAGTGGTCTGGGTGCCAGGTCCTTCTAGGGTTAACCCATTTTTTCATAAACTTAGCAGTTTCAGAGAAACTGCTATGTTTGTGAATGGGTTAAGCCTTCCCCTATTTCCTCTAGTGGCTGTCTCACTGACAGCCACTAGAGGCGCTTGCGTGCTTCTCACTGTGATTTTCACAGTGAGAGCACACCAGCGTCCATAGGAAAGCATTATGAATGCTTTCCTATGTGACCGGCTGAATGCGCGCGCAGCTCTTGCCGCGCGTGCGCATTCAGCCGACGGGGAGGAGAGAAGGAGGATCGGAGGAGGAGAGCTCCCCGCCCAGCGCTGGAAAAAGGTAAGTTTTACCCCCTTTCCCCCTTCCAGAGCCGGGCGGGAGTGGGACCCTGAGGGTGAGGGCACTATAGTGCCAGGAAAACGAGTATGTTTTCCTGGCACTATAGTGGTCCTTTAACATAATGTTTATTCACCTTCATGCCTATTGCCTTACTCTTTCAGCAAAAATAAATAAATAAATTAAAGGTTGCGCCTAGACCCACTGGCTTACATCAACTTATGTTGAGCTGGAGCAGCTACATATGGATCGAAATCTGTCTCGTCACTGTTGAACCAACCAAACTTCAATCCATCTGGTCAGCTCAACATGCCAGTCTTGACCTGCAGACCGGGAACATCGCAAAGAAACTTCAGTTTGGGAGATGCTCTGCCTCTGCTAGCACTACACAGCCAGCCCACTGTGCCCAGTACTACTCCAGTCAGTCCTGACTCCTACCTTTTTTTTCACCGGCTGTCCCGGACCCGATCACAGCAGTCAGCACTGACTCAGCAGGCTAGGTTTTCTCCTCCAGGTCCTCCTAGGTTTTCCTCCTGCAGCGTCTGTCACCACTGGCTCCCTCTCTCCTCTCTGGCCTGGCTGTGTCACCTGCCGCCGCTGCCAGCTTCTTCTTGCTGCTGCCTGGGCTGGTCTGGTGACTGGTGTGGTTCTCTCCCGCGCTCAGCGCTGCGCTGGGCGGCCGCTGCACTGTCCCTCCCCCAGATAGTCCCTCGCTCTCTCTTCGCACCCACCGAACCGCACGCCTGGCACCCCCCGCCCCCCCTCCACAGTGGGCGGCGGCTCGGATCGGATTCGCACAGCCAGCACTGCAGAGAGAGTGAGTGAGCCAGGCAGGGGCAGACAGCTGCGAGTGCGAGCGCGCCCCCCCAGATGTTGCGGCCGGCCCCCCCTGCACCCCCCACGCTACGCCTCTGGGCCCTCCATCCATACCTCGTACCTAAAAAGGTTGCTGACCGAACCAGCAGTAAAGTAGTCTACATGCAGTGAAGCTAAGGAACAATAAGGGCATATGTTTCAAAAGTATTGATATATGGTATTTAATGAACATCCCAGTAACTAGTGTGTACGTTCTTTTATTACTATAAATGTAGTTTTGCCTTTGAAGATGTACAGTTTGTTTATAAAGAGGTGCACTGAACTGAACTGCGAAATTAGTTTAAAATAGCCAAACTGTCATAATAGCTAATTGGAGATTTTTTTTTTTCTTTTTTCAATACCAGCACATTTTGCAATTTGGTTTTCATTTCACCTTTGCCAAATCTGTTTTCCTGGCTAATCATGGCAGCATTTAACCTATGGGTTAGCTCCTACCTCTAGCCAATAGGACAGGAAAACACTTAATTAAACAATTTAGAGGACAGGTGTATAAGGCTCCCTGTCAGCCTAGTTCCTCATTCTATTTTTCCTGTCCTCTTAGCCAAGGACAGACAGTTTTGATCTGTTAATTTTTATTTTTTTTGCTCACCTGACTATTTATGTAGTCTTCACCTGGGCAGGTCAGCCTCCCTGTCCAGGAAGCTCCAGGTTAACATGTAGCCCACCTCTGAGTAGATGGGAGACTGCAGAGAGTAGTACCTCTGAAGTGAGTCTTGGATCAGCTGGAAAACGTTTCTGCAGGGACTCGCAGAGAAGTCTGTGGAGTTTGCCGATTTCGGCAATAATTTTCCCATGCATGTGCAAACGGCACACACGCACAAGCTGTTCGTATGTCTAATATGTGCGCAAATAGCACGGCCGCGATTGACTCTAGTTTGCCAAATTCCCAAGATGGCGGTTGGGTCCTTTTTCGACCGTTAAAGCGGCACTGTCATGCCGAACTTACCTTTCCTCAATCTCTTCCTCTTCTCCCCCTCTCTCAGGATCTGTTCTTCTTTTCTTCCTGTCTTCTTTAGTTTTCTTTAAAATCATTAGACAAAGTAGGGACTTCCTCCGCTTGACCAGTTCTGACCAGCGGAGGAGCAAAGTGTGCTTCATTTCCGCTGGTCAGAGCAATTTTCCCATAATTCTCACCTTATCATTTGGCCACACCTGCCGGCACTCCAGCACTGGCGTTAGTTAACATGGCATATCATATGGGTGGGGCATTGTGATGTCACATGGGGGGGCGGCAAACTTTACTTTTGCCTAGGGCGGCAAAAATCCTTGCACCGGCCCTGTCTGCAGGTAAGACATGAGGTTGTGTTTGCCATTAAGAGAAAATTTTATCATCGTACTTGCATTGTTGATTGAAAGTAAGCTTTTCATCCTTAGCCCATAGGTGAATATGGACCATTCTCCTATGTCTGCCAAGTCATCTACAATAGGCCATAGGTGAGCAATACACACATTTCTCTTTATTGGAAATATTATCAAAGAGTGCACAGAGGGCACAGTCTTTTGTGACTTCTGTTTCAACAGCCCTCAAGACCGGTCGGGCCCTAGATCTCCATCACGGAGAAGGGAGAAGCCAGCAGCCTGCCCAGGATGTGGGGCAAGGCCTTTGTAGAATTGCAGGCTTTGCCGGAAATGCTTAGCCCTACTTGCTGGTGAATCTGAGCAACATCAGGCACCCCAGGCCTCAACCTCTGCACAAGATATTGCACATGGATAAAACAGGCAGTGACAGAAGGAATGGCTGAATCTACCAGAGGAAAAAGGCCTAGACAAGATTCTTTCCAAATGGGTTCAGAATCGTCAGGAGAGACAAGGCATGGCAGAATCCTGGGAATTAGAACAGATTTCCTCCAGTGAAGAGGAAGCTTCCAGCGGTCAATGTCCCTTGTACTCAAGGGCCGTGGAGCATCTGATCTCCTTAGTCAGGAGAACCTTGGAGATTCCAGAGGAGGTGCAATAATCACCGTGTCAGACAAATATTTTGGGGATCTGAGCCGCAAAAGAGTCTCCTTTCCAGTACATAAATCCATCAAGGAGCTTATGAAGACTGAATGGGCCACTCCAGAGAAAAGATTCTTGTTACAATCACATCTTCCTAAACTATATCCGATCAATGAAAGTGATTCGAAACTTTGGATCTCTAATCCTAAGGTTGATGCACCTCCTATCAAGGTGGCTAAACACTCCACTCTACCCATTGATAGTAATGCTTCTCTTAGACATACTGTGGACAAGAGAATTGATGCCAACCTTTCAAACTTGTTTGTGGCAGCTGGCTTAGGCTGTCATTCAGCAGTAGCCATTTCTGCCATGAAAGCATGGTTAATGGATATAGCGGAAGACCTTGATAGAGGTGTAAGAAACACCACATCTCGGAGTCCCTGAAAGAGGTGAAATTGGCCAGTGAATGGCTTTCGGAGGCCTCTACAGACCTTATAAAGGTTCTTTCTAAGACTATGGGATATTCGGTATCTCTATGGTTGAGATCTTGGGGAGCAGACATTGCTTCTAAACACAATTTATGTGCCTTACCCTTTCTAGGGGATATCCTCTTTGGCAAACACTTAGAAGAGGCCATTAGGAGGGCAGCAGATGCCAAACATGTCCTTCTTCCACAGGATAAGAGACCAAGGAAACCTCTTCCAGACCCTAGACCTTACAGGGAGCATATTTCCTATAGGGAAAAACGCAAAATATACCTAAAAATACACAATGGAGAGAACACTTAAAGGGTAATAGCATACATAAAATAAATATAGGAATAGTAAGGCATACAGACCAGGTAGAAAATATGCTAGACATAATACCTGGAGAAGCGGTCAGTCAGCTAAAGCACCCAGAGGCAAGAATCCTTCAACTTCCTTTCGTGCTAATAAACAATTCTGAAGATTACAGTCCCCAGTTAAAAGCCATAGTGTCATCCGGCTACACTCTGGGGTTCAAAGACTTTATTCCACCTCCGCAGTTCATAAGGACGCGAGTACCTTCCAATCCTCAAAAACAAAAGGTGCTATTGCATTACGTTTAGTCCCTTCTTCAACAGGAAGTTGTACTACCAGTTCAAAAAAAGGGAAGATTTCCGGGGTTTATTCCCCTCTCTTCCTAGTAAAAAAAACAATATTTGGATTAGAGACTATTCACTGAAAAAGATCACACAAAAGGTTATGGTCTACATTTGAGTATGAAAATAGGTTCTAGTGTATTAAATGATTTGGGATAAGTATTGGAATCGCACATAAAATATGAAAGAAAAAAAGGAAAAAGAAAGAAAAAAGAGATTAAAAAAAGTTATTAGGTTTATTAAGTTAAAAAAAATTTTTTACACGTAAACTTGACCAATTTGGTGATAAAAAGTATTTCTTTGCTCATAAATATGGAAAATAATATTCTTTCCTTGCGCGAATTAACTTACTAGTGAAAAACTGAAATTAAAATAAGAGAAATATACAATTTGTGGATACAAATCTAGTTAAGATATACTCCCTCTTCACCACTCCTAATTATATAATGAGTCAGTAGCTAAATAAATAAAGAGGCTCTTGAGGTCTATATCTTGTTCCTTTCGCGGGACGGGTGTCGCCCTCCATAGGGTACACAAGAAGGGACCCAGACCTTGGATTACATTGGGTTATCCAAGAGAATGGTGAATTTTTATTGGGATATGAATGAGATCAATGTTGTTGTATGTTTAAAGTATGTTTTGTTGATTTGGGTTAAAATCTTAGATGGTTTAATGTACAAAATGGTAAATGATTAGATTTATTTCCTTAAATGTGCAAGGTTTAAACTCCCATGTTAAAAGAGGTTTTTTTATATGATGTTATGACTAGAGAGAATGTTAAAGTGTGATTTATTCAGGAGACTCATTGGTTGACTAGAAACAATTGTCTATGGCATTATAATAAATTTCCAATAATATATACTGCATCCCAACAGAAGAAAAAAAAATGTGGAGTATCTATTATTCTCTCTAAAGACACAGTATTTGAGTGTCAATATCAAAACGCAGACACAGAAGGGAGATTCTTAATTCTTGTAGGCCTTTTAAATGGGATAATGTATACACTAGTAAATGTATACTTACCAAATAAACATCCGAATAGGCTATTAACTAGGATCTTAAGGTTAATGGAACATGTTAAAAAAGGGAAAGTAGTGGTAAGCAGGGGATTTTAATTGTATACTCGATCCTACTATGGATAAACAAGTTGGCAACAACCAAAAAATTAGTCAAAATTTAATAAAACAAGCTAAAGAGATGAATAAAATAGTAAACAAATTCGAATTAATTGACTGTTGGAGATTATTGCATGCAAATGAAAAAAATTATACCCATAGATCTATCCCCCATGGCTCAGCGGCAAGAATTGATCTGATTCTGGGTGATAATAACTTTTCTAAATTTTTAACTTCGATTAATATAAAAGAGAATACTTGGTCTGATCATGATCTATTAATAGTAGAAGTTGCAGAAGGGATAAAAAAAATTCCGCCAATATGGAGACTAGATGATAAGCTCCTAGGCGCAAAGGAAAATATTGATTACATGACTAACTTAATTGATTTATTTCTAAAAGAAAACTCAACAGACGATATAACGAAAGAATGTCTTTGGTGTACATTTAAAACAGTGATAAGAGGTTACTGGATTAAGTTAGCGAGTCAACAAAAAAGGAAAAGAGAGATCAAATTATCAGTAGTGATGTCCCGAACAGTTCGCCACGAACAGTTCGCCACGAGCGGTTCGCCACGGACTCATCATTGAGTAAACTTTGACCCTATACCTCACAGTCAGCAGACACATTCCAGCCAATCAGCAGCAGACCCTCCCTCCCAGATCCTCCCACCTCCTGGACAGCATCCATTTTACATTCATTGTGAAGCTGCATTCTTAGTGAACTGTCCAGGAGGTGGGAGGGTCTGCTGCTGATTGGCTGGAATGTGTCTGCTGACTGTGAGGTACAGGGTCAAAGTTTACTCAATGATGAGTCCGTGGCGAACCGTTCGGCGAACCGTTCAGGACATCACTAATTATCAGATTTGTATATAGAATATTATAACTTATCAACTTTAAATAAAAATAATTTATCACTAGAGAGATTAGAAAAGATTAAGATCTGCCAAATAAATATAAATAAATTAATTGAGGCTAGAATCCAAAGAAATCTAAATAAACTGAAAATAAATTTCTACTATAAAAATAATAAAGCAGACTCTATGTTAACAAACAGATTAAAAAAACAAAATCTGGAAAGGAAAATTCATAAAATAATAGTAGAAGGTGAAAATATTATAAAAACGGAAGACATAGCAGAGGAATTTAGGAAGTATGATGATAAACTATATAATCTAAATCTAAAGCCAGCAATAATGGACATGGAGAGATATTTATCGAAGATAAAGATGGCGAAAATTTCACTGGATCAGAATTTTTTTTTAAATAAGCTATTTACACCAGAAGAAATTGAGCGGGCAATTAAGAACTTAGAAAAACAAAAAGCCCGGGCCTGGATGGATATACCAACCAATTCTATAAGAAGTTTAAACATCAAATTATCCCTTTGCTAACAGATACTTTTAATGAAATATCAAAAGCAGGCTATGCCTCGGCTGATTTTTTAAGAGCACATATCAGCCCGATATTAAAACCGTGTAAATCCCCTACAGATTTATCGAATTATCGCCCGATATCATTAATAAATGTCGATGTTAAATTATATTCTGCTATTTTAGCAGACAGACTTCAAGCAGTATTGCCGGATATTATACATAAGGATAAAATAGGCTTCGTGGCAGGAAGACAATCTAATAATAATACTAGAAGAATGATAGAAATAATGGATTGGGCTCAATCAACAAGGGTGCCCCTGCTGACCCTGTCGATTGATGCTGAAAAGGCTTTCGACAGGGTCAGCTGGGACTTTTTAAAACAGACTATGCTAAAAATGGGATTTGAAGGTTGGTTTACGGGAGCAGTGGAGGCCCTGTACTCGGTGCCATCAGCCAGAATAGTGAGTAGAGATCTAAGAACTGGATGGCTTAATATTCTTAATGGCACGAGACAGGGCTTCCCACTCTCACCGCTTTTATATATTATGTCAGTGGAACCTTTGGCATGTAAAATAAGACAAAGTGCAGGTATAAAAGGGATTTCTATCCCAAATGAAGAGCTTAAAGGACCACTATAGTGCCAGGAAAACATACTCGTTTTCCTAGCACTATAGTGCCCTGAGGGTGCCCCCACCCGCCCGGCTCTGGAAAGGGGTAAAAACTTACCTTTTTCCAGAGCTGGGCGGGGAGCTCTCTGCCTCCTCTCCTCCTCCGATCCGCCCCGTCGGCTGAATGCGCACGTGCGGCAAGAGCTGCGCGCGCATTCAGCCGGTCACATAGGAAAGCATTCATAATGCTTTCCTATGGACGCTGGCGTGCTCTCACTGTGAAAATCACAGTGAGAAGCACGCAAGCGCCTCTAGCGGCTGTCAATGAGACAGCCGCAAGAGGAAATAGGGGAAGGCTTAACCCATTCATAAACATAGCAGTTTCTCAGAAACTGCTATGTTTATGAAAAAATGGGTTATCCCTAGCTGGACCAGGCACCCAGACCACTTCATTAAGCTGAAGTGGTCTGGGTGCCTAGAGTGGTCCTTTAAGATCTGTTTATATGCAGACGATGTTATACTGACAATTGCAGAGCCTGAACAATCGTTACCGTTATTAATGCAGGAGATAATATTATATGGTGAGGTTTCCAACTATAAAATTAATATTAATAAAACACTGGCAGTGGAAACAAGTGGAGGAACACGAGGCGGGCGTCCCGGTGGAGGTCCTACCGTGGCTGCCACCCGGGGCCCAGACGGGGGAAGGGCCCTAGTCCCCCTACACGAGGGCAACCTTAAGGGAGTGGCACCGCTCCAAAGGGAGACATGGCCTAACATCATACCCGACACCATTAATACCCCTGACACACAACCCTGAGTTCATGCCGGGGATGGACCCGAACGCATTCAAAGACCTAATACAGGACCCGCTACCCAGACTCAGACACATACAAACCACGGACGGCATAAAGACACTCAAGGGTCTGAGGGGGAGCGAAGAACACACTTTCCTAATACGCCTCAAGTACAAACAGATCCGGAGTTACATTACATCCCTCCCGCAGGGACCAGCACTACATAGGGCCACCACTCCCTTCGAGAATCTATGCCTGGAACCCAACCCACTAACACATGGGGTATCGGCATTATACACTCTACTAATAACACTCACACCAATTGCCCAACCACGGTTCATGGGGAAGTGGGAGGAGGCACTGGGCCAGACCTTTGACAAAGTGGAATGGGAGAAAATCTGCTATTTAACGCACCACTGCTCTAGCTACAGCAAGACACAGGAAACGGCATATAAACTACTGACACACTGGTACCACACTCCTGAGTCACTACATGCCCGAATTCCATCCCACCCCCCACAGTGCTGGAGATGTGGGGAGGGCAGAGGCACACTCTTACACATCTGGTGGGCGTGCAAACAGATAGCCCCATTCTGGTCTGAGATTCACAAAATATTGGCAAAGTTTACAGACGACCCAGTCCCATTCGACCCAGCAGTCATGCTCTTACACCACACTAAAACACCTCGAACAGCTTATAAGAGGTCACTTACTATTCGCATACTGAACACGGCCAAAATGATCATACCACAGTATTGGAAAACTCAGGTCACCCCCCCTGTGAGAGTATGGTTTACGCAAATGGAAGAACTGAGATCTCTAGAGGAACTTCACCACAAAGCTCACGATACATTTCAAGTGTACCTGAACACTTGGACACATTGGATCCTGAAGACAACAGACCCCGAATTTATTGACATGACATAACTACCACCACATAGCTGCCGGAGGCTACAAACCCAGAGAGGAGAGGGGATGACAGCCACACAGGGGCAGGTCTACCCCCGACGACAGGGGTTCACCGACACTAGACGGCTCGACAAACACACAAAAGACAAGGGAGGCCCTACCACATAGACGAGGGGACCACCTCAACTAAATAGGGCACCCCGAAGAGGGGAGGTGGGGAGAGAGGCGGATCATAGGACCCGGGCTGTCACGCGACACTCTCACAAACAGGCACGAGTAAAAGAGACATACACACACACGCAACATTCACAAGGGACCTGTGAGACGGATGTAATCGTGGGCATACAAGCCCAACAGAACAGGCAACTGTATAAAAATATATAAGAAAGAGGGTGGATGCTGAAGGGCGAGACACAGAAATGCCACATTTTTAGGAAAAAAAAAAATATCATATTACTAGTTCTAAGTAATTGTTATATAATATTGCTAATATTTGTAACATAAGTCTAATATCTTAGCTGCTGGCTTTTTGAACTTTGTGAAAAATTTTGTTATGTTTGTCATGTTTCACAGTTATACCTACATGGTTAACCTAATGGAGACCTGCGAGTCTCAATGTGCTGGCATTTGCCCTGTGAACACACCGTAAGACAACAACGGAGACCTGCGAGTCTCAATGCTACACCTTTTTCTTTGTGTGCATGAAATATGCCAATAAAAATATATTTACAAAAAAAAAAAAACCACTGACATTAACAACAAATATAGGAAATATACGGCTAAAAATGCTAAAACAAAATTATTCATTTAACTGGTCAATTACACAGCTTCCATATTTAGGTATTCTACTGACAACTGATGTGGCCCGTTTGATGGAAATTAATTTCCTAAATTTATTAAAAGAAACAAACAGATTATTAAAGGAATGGAGGACCCATGAAATATCATGGTGGGGCAGAATCAACACGATTAAGGCCTACATTGTCCCAAAATGGATCTATCTGTTCCGTATGATCCCTCTTAAAGTTCCAGTACATTGGTTAAATCTAATTCAGAGTAGTTTCACAGATTTCATATGGAAGGGTAAGAAACCTAGAATCAATTCGACAACACTAGCGAACAAACCGTATCGGGGAGGTATGGGATATCCTTTAATAAAAAATACATACCAAGCAATTATAACGATAAATGCCTTGAACATACAAGCTATTGATTGCAAAGAGCAAGCGTGGTATAAATTACAAGCATATAGAGAAGGTATAGCCAATCTAGAAACAATACTATCGGCAAAAACCAGTAAAAAAGGGCTAGTTTTCCAGAATATAAATCCAGGATCATTTTACAAACAACAAATGAATGGTATACTCTAAAAAGAAAACTGGGAATTGTAGATTTAATTCCAGACACCATTTCTCTTAGATCTGTGGAAAATATTATGATCGATATAAACTTGAAAAACTGGTATAGTGACCCAGATATACGTATTAAAAATATTTATGTTAACGATCAAATAGAAGACTACCCTAGTTTAAAGTCAAGATTGACTCTAACCTCTAGAGAAATTTTTAACTACTTGCTTATTAAGAGTTTTCTAAAGAACCATCTTATAAATTATAATGGGGAGAAAGGAAATTTAATTAAAAAGATTCTCTCTATAGAAACTACAGAAAAGAAATATTCTCTAATACTGGATTTACTAAATTAAATAAATTGAGCAAATACCCCCACAGCTTTTAAAAATTGAGAGAGAGAGCTGGACACCAAGGTCGATTTCAACTTATGGTGCCTTGCATTTCTTAAAATCAAAAAACATATTCATTGTTTAAATATATTGGAAAACTTTATTAAAGTTAGTTATAGATGGTATATGGTTCCAAAGAAGTTGAACAAAATATCTCAGAATAATCCCCCTAACTGCTGGAAATGTTTTAATTTGGATGGCTCTATGACCCACATATGGTGGAATTGTCCTAGAATCCAACCACTATGGGACCTGACATTTAAAATAATAACGGCGATAAGTAATATCCAATTAAATTTTACTCCAGAAATAGCCCTATTCCACATGTATAATAATAAATTAGACAAAAAAAACAAAATACTAGTCACTCATTGCCTAATGGCTACTAAGTTGCTGATTGCAAAAGCATGGAAAAAAACTGATATCCTCAATGTATACCAACTAAAGGGCCAAATTCAAAACCAAATGGAGATGGAAAAGGGAGTAATCTGGTACAATGTCCATAAAAACAATATAACAAGAGAGGTTTATAATACCCTGATAACAGATATTAATCTTATGGAGGGATAAAAAAAATGTGAATGTGTGAAGGGACGAGTAGGAAAAGGGAAAGAGAAAAAAATTACATATTTAAGGTCATAAGAATTAACCCAAACTAAGTTTTAATATATGTAGTTGTTTGTATGGATGGGACATAATCACAGAAAAGATAATAATGCATGGGTAATAAGATAGGCAATACAGTTACACAGAGGACTTATAAGAAACAAAAAAAAAAAGGGATTTAAAAACAGTAAATAAGGAAAATGTAAATCTATAAGTCCTTAGTATTATGGTTATTTTATACAAGTAACTTGTATTATTGTATAGGTACGAATGCGATTATAACAACAATATGTATAATGGTTATAAGTTTAATGCGATATCCATCTGTGTTTATGGTATGATTATTGTGATGCTTGATTCCAGAATGAATCATCATTATTTTTTGTTGTATGTCTATTTATGTTAAATGTTTTATGATACATAATTCAATTTAAAAAAAATTACATAAAAAAAAAAAAAAATTATAACGGCACAGGAACGTACGGACAATTATATAGAGAGGGCAATAGATCCATAGGTCCATTGTTAACGAGTGAAGGGTATCAAATGAAGTAAGCAAATGTGTCTATTACGCATAACCATTAACAATTAGTAGCAGGTAGTAAATATTTCAAAGGACGCCTTAAAGTTTTACTGTAATTCATTCTATTAATCAAAAAAAAAAAAAAAAACAAGGAGGGAAAGGGAGACCAATTCTAGATTTGCAGCAGCTCAATCTCTTCCTCAGAATCAGGAAATTTCGCATGGAGTCTTTAAGATCTATCACACCGGTAATTCATTAGGGAGACTGGATGATTTCAGTAGATTTGAGGGACGCATTTACCGTATCCCGATTGCCAGTCCTCATCATAGATTTCTCAGATTTTGCATATACAACCATCACTTCCAGTTTCGGGCCTTGCCGTTCGGCATAAGCACTGCTCCCAGAACTTTTTTGAATGTGCTGGTTACGTCCATAGGCCTGCTAAGATAACAAGGAGTCACAATCTTCCAGTACCTGGACGAAATTTTGATAACTGCTTCAGAATAGGCATGTGCATGGGAAAATTTTTCGGCACTTCGGGACTAAGGAATTTCGGAACGTCTCTTTCAGCCGCTTGGTAGATAACTCCCTAATTCCCACGGTATTAGGGAGTTATCTACCAAAAGGCTGAAAGACCTAAATTGGTCTTTCAGACAAATTTACTAATACTAAGTAAAAATTACTCAGTATTAGTAAATTGTACCCCTACTCGCTATACCACAAGTAGGGGCATGTCTATTAAACAGTGAGCAGCCAACCCTGAGCGGCGGGTGGGGGCCCTAAAGTAAAATAATGGGAGGGGACCCTAAATTAGAATGGGGGGGGACCTAATGTCCTCCTCCCTGGCCCCCACCCCTGAGCGGTGGGTGGGGGTCCTAAATACTCATTAGGGGGGGACCTAATGATCTCCCCCCTGAGCGGTGGGTGGGGGCCCTAAATACTAATTAGGGGGGGGACCTAATGTCCTCCCCACTGGCCTCCACCCCTGAGCGGTGGGTGGGGGCCCTAAATAAAAAAAAATAACCCCTCCTCTCCCCCGGGTGCCTAAGGGTCCCCAAACCCCAAAAAGAGCCAGCTACATCCATCCAGGGAACTGATTTTCCTCGGTGCTCATTTCAACACCAAAAATGCAGTTGTCGTCTTAGCACATGAATGGAAGATAAATCTGTTACCCAGGGTACGGCAATTTCGTCAGCAGTCTTCGGCTCTGGCAAGGAACTTCATGAAGTTACTGAGCAGTTTATCATCAACGATAGGCCGTGTCAGGTGGGCTCAGTGGAATATCCAACCCGTTCAACGACAGTTCTCAGGAATGGGAGACTGCCCTTTTCATTCCAAAGCATCTGAAGCAGGATCTCCAGTGGTGGCTGTCTTGGAATCACATTTCCCAGGGGTTTCCTCTAAAGAACATAGAATTGTGGATCATAACCACCGATGCGAGCCAGTCAGGCTGGGGAGCCCATTTCAGAAAATGGTTTGTTCAAGCAGCATGGCCTCACCATGCCCGTCAATTACCCTCAAACATTCGGGAACTAAGAGCAGCCTTTCTGGCTCTCCTTCATTTTCAAAGTCACCTGAAGAACAGATGGGTGAAAATCAGGATAGACAACAAAGCTGCAGCTGCTTATATCAACCATCAAGGCGGTACCAAGAGCACATCACTGAGAAAAGAGATTCTACCTCTCATGACCTGGGCTCAGAAAAATTTGGCAGGTCTGTGTGCAGTTTTTCTCTCGGGGAAAGACAATATGGTAGCAGAGACAGAGTGGCAACTCTCCAGAAAAATATTCCTCCAATTGGTCCGAAGGTGGGACCTTCCCCAAGTCGACCTTATGGCCACAGCAAAGAATGCCCAAGTTCCAACTTTCATCTCAAGGCGGTTTCATCCCAGGGCCATTGCCCAGGATGATCTCTCAGTGGAATGGAACTTCGATCTGGCCTACATCTTTCCACCGATTCCTTTGATCCAGCGGTCCTCAAGAAAATATCCAAGGAACACTGCAAGGCAATAGTCATTTTACCGTTTTGGCCTCAACATCTTTGGTTCCCTCTGTTGAAGAGACTACTGATAGACCATCCTTCGGCAATACCACTGTCAGAGGATCTGTTGTTCCAGAGCCTTCTTCGACATCAGGAACCACACAAACGCAGACTTCAGGCCTGGCTCTTGAAAGGCAATCCCTAATCTCAAAGGGTATTCCTGAACAGGTGGTGTCTACTGTTATGTTCCAGGAAAGATTCTACCTCTCACACATATAACAAGATTTGGCAGAAATTTGCAGACTGGCTGAAGAAGGAAGTTCAATCCTTGGGCGAGGTCTCGACTTTGCAAGTATTGGGATTTTTACAATCTGGACTGGACAATGGCCTTAGCTTCAATACGCTTAAGGTACATTGTTCAGCAATATCATTGATAAGATGGGCTGGAGATCCATTGGTGATTCATTTTTTTTAAAGGCTGTCATCAGACTCAGGCCTCCAATCCATTCCTTTACGGCCCCTTGGGATCTTCCTTTGGTTTTGCATTGTTACAGATTCTCCATTTGAAACTTTGGAGGAAATTTCTATCGCCATGCTTTCACACAAGGCATTGCTCCTTCTCGCATTAGTGTCAGCTAGGAGAATTGCCAATATTAAATCCCTCTCTGTTGACAAATCTTACATATCCTTCCTTCATGACCGTGTAATCCTCCGTCCAAGACCTGAATTCTTACCTAAGGTGGTAACATCCTTTCATTTAAACCAGGAAATTGTCCTACCTGATTACTTTCCTGATCCAGCGTCTCCTGTGGAAGAAAGATGTCACAGGCTTGATCTCAAGTTATGTTTAACGTCCTACATTCTACGTACTGCTGTATGGAGAAAATCCAAGCAATTCTTCATCATTCCTTGGGGATCACGTAAAGGTGAAGCCGCTTCAACTACTACTCTCCGTTCTTGGATCATCACAGCTATTACTAGAGCATATAAGTCTCAAGATGTTCCAGTGCCAAAGGGGATCAGGGCTCATTCTACAAGGTCCATTTCTACTTCGAGGGCTTCAGTGGCTGGTGTTCCAGCAGAGAGCATTTGTAAGGAGGCAAATTGGTCTTAACTCAAAACGTTTTGTACGACACTATAGAGTGGATGTGGCCTCAGCAGCTGAATCTTGTTTTGGTCTTTTGAATTTTACATGTTTAATAAATAATTGGCATTACCTCCATATAGTTTTTACTGCTTGGTTATTCCCATATGTTAAATGCTGCCATGATTAGCCAGGAATAAGGAAAATGTATCCATACTAACCGTAATTTTCTTTTCCTGGCTATTATTCATGGCAGCATTTAATGTTCCCTCCCACTTTGGGGGGCATGCTTGTTATTGGACTGAGGAACTAGGCTGACAGGGAACCTTAAATACCTGTCCTCTTAAATGTTTAATTAAGTTTTTTCCTGTCCTATTGGCTAGAGGGAGGAGCTAACCCATAGGTTAAATGCTGCCATTAATTAAAACTAGGAAAAGAAAATTACGGTAAGTATGGATACATTTTCCTTAATTTTTGCAGGTTGGATTTCAACCAGTTTTTTTTTCTTTTTTAAGAGAATATATCCATTGTGTTTAGGACTGTTTTACTACTAGAAAAGAACTTGTAGAAAACGTATATATAATCACCCAGCACATCATGAGAGGGCTGATCACATTTGTTCTGCGGTAACATGATTCACGGATCTTATGATCAGTTTGGTAGGCCTTTCTCAAGTAGAGCGTACAATACATAAAGATGACAAATAGAGGATACTGTAATCATGAGGTGGGATATCACATAGCTCTGCAACCTCCTTAACCCCTTAAGGACTGAGCCAAATGTACACGTTGTGAACGAAACAAAATGTAAACAAAACCTGGCATTTGCGCTACATGTCTGTCCATAATAATTCACCTCTTTCATATTAAATGCACCCACCCTTATTATATATCATTTTATTCAGGGGAAACAGGGCTTTCATTTAATATAAAATATTTAGCTATGAAACATAATTTAATATGAAAAAAATTGGAGAAAATAAGATTTTTGTACACTTGCACCGGGGCCCGCACGCTGATGGGGCCCATCGGGTGGCCCACGCACTTAGGGCCCTATATCTGCAGGGGCCCGGTCAGCGCTGTGGCCGTGGTATAGCGCGACAGGGCCCCTTTATAAAAACAAAAACCAACCACAGCAGGTGTATGCATGTCTCTCTGTATGTATGTCTGTCTGTTTCTATGTATGTCTGTATGTCTATGTATGTATGTATGTATGTCTGTCTGTATGCATGTCATTATGTGTATGCATGTCTGTATGTATGTCTGTCTGTATATATGTATGTGTCTGTATGTATGCATTTATGAATGTGTGTATGTATGGATGTCAGTGTCTGTATGCATGTATGAATGTGTGTATGTATGGATGTCAGTGTCTGTATGCATGTATGTATGTCTGTCTGTATGAATGAATGTATGCCAGTATGAATGTATGTATGTCATTATGAATGTCTATGTATGTATGTATAGATGTCAGTGTCTGTATGCCAGTATGAATGTATGTATGTCTGTCTGTATGTATGTCATTATGAATGTGTCTGTGTGTCCTTATGCATGTGTTTGTCTGTCACTATGTACGCCTGTGTGTCTGTATATGTGTGTATGTCTCAGTATGTATGCCTATATGCGTATCAGTATGTGTGTCTGTTAGTATGTATGTGTATCAGTGTCCTTTTGTATCAGTGAATGTGTTTGTGTCTGTGTGTGTATCCCTATGGGCAGGATTTGAAGGCGGTCCCTGTGGGCGGTCTTGGAGGCGGGCCCCCCCGGGGGCCCAGACCCTGAGCTCAGTTAGGGGCCCCAAAATTTCTGGTGGCGGCCCTGCCTGCAGTACTGTGCCAACAGATATAGCACTGAACCTCTTGCTATATTAATCAGCAGAAAAATGATGTTAGGCCGCAGACCACATATTCCTTCTAGGCTACTGATCAAGGGAGCAATTGCCCAAAGGACAGCCCGCTCATGCAGTCCTCTATGTGATTTTACTAAGCTATGTTTACCACCACACTTATTGGTTTGTGTAGAATACGTCCTACTGCATCCTAGTCTGATGCAGTCAAATATAAAAGAGACAGCATAAAACCTATTGCTGGATATTTCTAACAATCTTTTTACATCATTGTGATAATTTTATCTGATGACTGAAAAACTCTGCAGAGCAGTACATCAATATGTCCAGGAGCATTCAACTCCTAATGCTACAAAAATGTTTCTGAATAAGTCAAGAGAATATAGATATAAATAAGTATAAAATGATGTTAACACCACATCAACCCCCCATCCCACCCCCTCCTGCCATCCCTGCCACATCCCCCCGTTACTGGATGCGGGGGGGCTCCGGGCGAGCGGCAACACACCCTTAACACTCCCCCCATCACACCTAAGGAGCACCCCCACGAGGCTCCTCACTAAAGACCACTGACCTGCCTCCAGGTAAAACTTTACAGTAATCCCACCTCAAACATTGGAACTCAGCACTGGCCTGGCACCAACTCTCCCCCTCAGCCCATCTCTAAAGACAGAACCACACCATTCGAAAGGGGGTTTGATGAACGGACATAACTCTCTTACCATCAGAGAGCACCCAGCCGTAGACCAGACCAAACACCCTTAACTAACACCAAGATGACCCAATGTATATCGCATGTACCAAGTTAACCTATGTTCAATTGAATGTTACTCTTTGATGTTACAACCTAACATTCTTCCTTTCTGTACGAATGTTTTACTGAAAAACCCATAAAGAATCTTAAAAAAAAAAAAAAAATTATGTTAAATTCCAGAACTTTTTGTGAATGTATTTGTTCATTTTGAATGTTGGATTTTTAATAAGGAGCACCGGTAATAGATTCAAATAGTCCTTTAAAGCAATGATGAGTTCCAAGACTTGGTTAGATAACCTCAAGTGACATTTTTTTAATCAAGATAAATGAAACTATAGCATTGGAAACCTTTGTGTAACCTTTTCGTAGTTAACCAAAAAGTTTTCCATGTTTGTATGAGCAGGAAGTAATCTAATGTGTGCTTAATTTGTTCTTTCCATCTATTACTTAGGCCATAACAAACATTCCATCAATGTCAATTCCCCAGATGCTTTGTGTGTCGGCCCTGTGCGATCATTTTTCCTGTGACTTTATTAGTCAGATCTACAGTTGCAAAGGCCAGGCTTCTTCCTTGCTTTAAAACCTGAGCAGTGATGAGAATGGAGTCCCCAATTTTCGCTGCATTCATGTACCTTTAAAAAAAAAAAGAATGTTTTAAAACACTGATATAAAAGTCCAAAGAAATAGTGTGTGTGTGTGTGTGTGTGTGTGTGTGTGTGTGTGTGTGTGTGTGTATGTATATATCATATACAAAAGATAAATATAATACAAGATGGTTTAGTTTCATCAATAAAAACTAGGCTGAAGCCAGGGCTGTAGTAACTCAGACATGAAAGTAATCAACAATGTGACCAGAGGGGAATTATAATCTTATTATAAGTTAGGCCTATCAAAATCATGATAATAAGAAACCTAAAGTAACATTTGGAAGGGACCAATACAAAACCTGCTTTAGATACAGTTAGTTAGTTTTTTTTAGCTATTCAACACAATTTACTGTGTATTGACAAAGACCATTTTGCAAAACTCCTATTCACACCTTGACTAGTACTGCATCAAATCTTCAATCATACTGATTTAGTGAAACATTGGCATAGGGTATTGTAGCTGTATCTTTTCAGCTTTTGGACTACAACTCCTATCTTTCCCATGCATATAGAGTGGGCAAAGATGATAGATGAACATGGAGAGCTGGGATGCACACTTGGAGCAGTGTGATAGCTAGCCTTGCGAGCTAGAGACAAATCTATGTACCATCTGTTGGTATCAACATTTCTCATAAAAATAAAATAAAGTGGGGGAAGGGTGGCATGTATATTCAGAATGTGGTGGGTACTATTCATGGGCATCGAGTGAGGGACTTTAAATAACTGTTCACGCCCACGAGATGTGGCCAGCTGTTAATCTGAAAAATGGGGGGGGCGGTGGGATGACACCCCCTAATGTCACCTCTAGCCAGTGTAATGGGTGGATCTCTAATTATAAAATGGGGGGCGGCGTCCCTCCAAGCCTCTACATAGGCGACATTTCAGAGCTCTAATTTGAATTAAATGATTATACCCCCAGGTGGCTTGGGTCTCTAAGCCCCTAGTCAACCCACCAAAATTAGAGACTCTACCTACCTAACCCCCTAACCCTAATAAATGTGAGCAAGGGGTGTGGGGTCAGTAAAACAAAAATAATAAATACATAAATCATGATGAGATGTTTTATTTCTCAACTTTTTTTCAGCCCCCAAAAATGCCAAAATAAAGCTTAGAAATATGCGACAAAACTGTAAGACTTGAAAAAAAAATGTGACAATAAAAACAATCCATCTTCCCCCTACGAGGACAGACTAAGCTTGCATACCAGGAAAAGCCAACTCTGGGCGCAGCATGACATCAGTTTTTATGTTGGAAAAAAATACATTTGCAATAGTTTAGAAACACAACCAGGGTTATTCACTAAACTGAGAATTCAAAGTGAATATCAGATTTAAGATCAGAATAGACAAACTGGAAAAATTCTCTAAGTGAGCTGTGGTTCCAGTTTAGCTACTCTAGCCTTAAATTTACTATGAATTCTCCCTTTAGTAAATAACCTGGAAGATTTTTCTTGCCTGGTGGAAAGGGGAGGAGATCAACATATTATTATTATTATTGCCATTTATATAGCGCCAACAGTTTCCGTATCGCTTTACAATATTATGAGAGGGGGCATTTAACTATAAATAGGACAATTACAAAAAACTTACAGGAACGATAGGTTGGAGATGACCCTGCTCAAAAGAGCTTACATTCTATAGGAGGTCTGATGGCGGTAGGCAGGCTATTCCATAGGAAGGGAGCCGCCAGCGAGAAGTCCTGCAAGTGTGAGTTGGCCGAACGGGTGCAGTGTTCAAGGCAGAGGTCAGGGTAGTGTTATATGTGGAGATGGCCAGTGAAGGATAGGAGAGGGAAGGGATGGAAAGCAGTTGTGAATCAATATCAGCTGACAGCTGCTGGAGATCAAGAGAATTAAGGTTCCTCCTGAGTTGAGGGGGGATAGGCTGAGGTTGTTGGGTGAGGGGGTACATGAGAGCAAACGATAAGAGGTGGTGATCAGAGAGAGGTAATGGAGTTGCAGATATTAGATACTGTACATGCATAAGAGAGGATTAGATGAAGGGTATTGCCAGCTACAAAGGTGGGAGAATTAGCCCACTGTATAGCCCAAGGAGGAAGTAATTGAGAGTAGTTTAGGGGCTGCAGAGGTCAAAGGTGGGTTAATGGGAACATTGAAGTCCCCGAGAATTAGGGATGAAATATTAGAAGAGAGGAAGTAGGGTAGCCAGGCAGCAAAGTGGTCAAGGAAGAGGAGAGGGGAACCATGGGGACGATAAATAACAGCAATGTTAGCAGAGAAGGGTTTGAAAAGGCGAATTGAATGAATTTCAAATGTTGGGAAAGAGAGGGAAGGGGTGGGGGCGGGGGGTGGGTAGAGGTTTAAAGGAGCAGTGAGGGGAGAGAAGAAACCCTACACGACCACCTTTACATTCAGAGATTCTTGGGTTGTGGGTAAGTTGAAGACCACCAAAGGACAAAGATGCAGGGGTAGCAGTGTCAGAGAGGGAGAGCCATGTTTCTGTTAAGGCTAGTAAATCTATTGAACGAGAGATGAAGAAGTTATGGACAGCAGTGGATTTTATAATATTGCAAACAGAGCGTGCATTCCAGAGTGCAGTATTGAAGGAGGATTTAGAGGAACATGAGATGGGTATGAGATTAGTGTGGATCCTTGGGTTAGTATGTGGTGAGTTTGCCGAGATGGGACCGGGGTTTGGAGAGACATCACCAGCTGCTAGGAGTAGAAGGATAGAAATGAAGTGGAGGTGGGAGTAGGATTTGAAAGTTTTGTAGGAGGGTATGTATATAGAGGATTTGGGAGGAATTGGTGGAGATAAGCTGGAAAGGTATATGTAGAGTGCATGGGATGAATAGAGAGGAAAGGGTAGTAAAGTGGAAGTAATGAAGGTGGTGTTGCCAGTGACAGGTGATCAGAAGGATAGTGATATTTTAGTAAAGAGAGAAGTTAGTGTTAAAGTGAAAAATAGAAAGGAGAACATTAGAGAAAATGTGTATTATTATATAGATAAGCGGATTATATATATGCACATATATAAATCATAGCTATATATACACACATATATCAATGAGTGGTTAAACCATTGTTAAGGATGCAGTATGTTAACAGAGGGATTTCAGGTGAGGAGAGGTTTAGTGACTTGATTGGTGTGTTTTGAAAACCAGCTGATCTGCACTATCCCAGCTGTGTATGTGTATCATAAGCAAATGTGTCTCTTTAATTCTGTAATATATTTGTAGAGTGTAATAGGTTTCGACCTCCTCACTGGTGGCTTTCTTGAGAGCAACTAGGCATGTAAAAAAAGGGTCAGGTTTGATATCTATCCTGTTTCAGGAGTTTTAAGATGTGCGTTTTCTCCTTTGAGAAGAGATTTCAGGGGCCTCATCTTGAGTTGCCAGTCAAGCAACAGAGCCAGATGCCCATGAGTATGCTTTTGGCTCATAGCTCCAGGGCGTGAAGTTGCAGTGAAAGAGAATATCCTTAAATATTCTGTTTTTGGAAGTATGCATCTAAATGGGCTGGTAACAGGAACTGGCAGGGAAGGGGTTACAAGAGGGATGGGTGGGTAACGGGGACTGGCAGGGAAGGGTTATCAGAGGGATGGGTGGGTAACGGGGACTGGCAGGGAAGGGGTTACCAGAGGGATGGGTAGGTAAAAGTGACTGGCAGGGAAAGGGTTACCAGAGGGATGGGCAGGTTCAATGCATCTCTATGAAGAGATGTTGATTGGCCAGGGCTGTGTTTGACTTGTGCTATTAAATATATAATGCCAGGGAAGCCCAGAGAGAACAAGGGAAGGGAGAGAACATGGCAGTTATTCCTGACAGCACTGTGCGGCTGCCTGTCATTAATAGTTCAAAACCTCCTTCTGCATATTGCACAGTGTAGGCTCAGCTACTTAGTTACTCATAAAAGTTGAGAAGATCCAACTGCAGGGCTGGGGTTGTGCCTTTGATGACTGAGTAGATTCTGATTTCAATTTGTAATGATTTTCCTCCAGTTTTTTTTTTTTTTTTAATTTATTCTCCACATGCTGGACACAGGTGACGGTATGGGGATCAACAGTGATCTGTCCACCACTACTACTATTTAATTATTGTAAAGTACTGCATCTTATACCCACGGTTGGGGATACGGGGGAACAGTTCCCCACGCCTTAGGGACTGCTGGCCCAGTAGCTAGTTTTTAAGTTAAGTAGGTTTTTCTCCAAACACTGCACATCTAGACTCCAATCACCATGGCCACTTCAAATAGTTAGAGTAACCCTTTAATTTAGAATTTTTTATCTTCTGCTCTGTTAATAGTCTGCTACAGCCGCCTGTGTGTTATTAAAGTTCAATTAACAGAGCAGGAGATAAAAAAATTGTAAATGAACTATTGTGCTGATTGAAAATGAAACAATTTTTTAATTTGGTCTGTAGGCAGTGGTGTATTCTGTTTTTTCTTGCAGCCGTAGACAAAACTCAGGCACCCCTCCCCCCCACCTAAATTTCACTTCATGTTAAAAACCAACACGCTCTTTGCCTTCACTGATGCATACTCTGACATACACTCACTGACGGATACAAAGTCATTGTCACACACACTGTTTAACAAACACACACTTTCACTGAAACATACACACTCACTGACAGACACATTCACTGACAGATACACATACACACATTTACTGACAGACGCACACTCACTCCCTGCCAAACACACATACACACTCACTGACAGACACATATACACTCAGTGTCAGAGACACATATTCGCTAACAGACCTACACACTGACTGACAGATACACACGCTCAGTGATGACACACATACACACACTGACAGACACTCTTTGACAGACACACGCACTCTTACCAACAGACATAATAACACTCACACACTCACCAACACCCTCCCACTCTCACTATCAGACACACACACATACACTCACAAATTTTTAAATTGTATTATTTGCTTACATTGTGGTAGCTTCTTCCCTGGGGTCCAGTGGAGCTGCTGCTGCCAGGGCTGCCAGGCATGTGGGTGGGCAGGCAGGCTCATAGAGGAGGCAGCGAGGGAGCAGTGACCCTCCTGTTCAGCTCCCTTGTGCGCCTCTTAGTGATGCCGGAGCCAGAGTGACGTCATATTCCGGCTCTACTGCAGTGCTCCCTCGCCGCCCACATCAGCCCATGCCAGCCTCGGGTGGGCCCAGAGGTGGCCAGCTCCTGAGCCCCCCGTACAAGAAGCTGGCAAGGCATTTGTCATGGCGTTTGGGGGGCAGCTTTTTTTGCCACCCCTGTGAAAGTGCCACTCAAGGCAAATGCCTTGTCAGCCTCGCGGTAAACACACCGCTGTCTGTAGGAGTCTCAGGCAGGGCAGGTGAGGATATGTCTGCATAAACAGAAACAATAATGCCTTAACTCCTTCTACATTAAAACTGCTTCTTTAAGCTAAAGTTGTCTTGGTGCTTAGATTATACTTATAATCATGGGCAACTAGCAAGTGAGACTGATCCACCTTCACTAATGCTAAAAACTAAAAATTAACCTTGGGCGTTGCAACATTGTAGTGCCTTTTCACGTTTGATGGCTCATTTATCCACCATTACACAATTCTACTGTGTGCTGAGGATTTTGTGTAGTTTCTTAATAGAGGAGGTTAGATGGAACAGGAAGCCTACCTGCGGCACAAGCACCTAAACTGGGAATTACTCTGGAGTGCCCTAAATCACTGACGCTTGATTACATAGACTAAATACTCACGTTATGTTCATATCCACACTAACTCCTGGAGCTGCTCTCTCTGTATGGACAAGAGCAGCTGTAGATATTACATCAACCAGGGTTGCAGTTAATCCTCCATGCAATGTTCCTCCACGATTTGTATGTTCTTCTTCAACTTTCATTTCACATACTACCTTTCCGGGACTCGCAGACACAAGTTCCACCTAACAAAATAGCACATTAATACAAAGTAGGCCATGTTTTTTTATTGGTTATTATATTGCACTGAATGGTGCAAATAAATGAAACTGTTTTGGCATATTTATATAAAGATCATCATTATGTATCTTGAATGTTTGCATTTATTTTATGATAAATGCATGTTTCCAATAAATGCCCCGATTATTATTTTTGGATATACTTTTAAAATTATAAAATATATATAGTGGGACCTCGGTTTACGAATTTAATGCGTTCTCCGGGATGTTTCTTATTGTGAACAATTTGTAAATCGAAACGCGGTGTCCCATAGGAATGCATTGAAAAAATTAATCCGTTCTGGAGGTCAGAAAAAAAGTCAATGAGCTGGCATGGAAACCAACCCACAATGCAGAACACACAGTAAAAGGCATGCAAACGACGAAGCTCAGCTCCCTACCTTTTCACAGCTTGAAAAATGCACTAAAAAGTTCCAAAACAACTCCAAACAATTTCCAGAATGGTTCCAAAACTCGATGCAAAAGCCGCACCAACACCTCCACACTCAACGCCACGTGCTACCCACAGGCTCCAGCATGCAGGGGGCGGTGCTATAAACCTCCCAGGCGCAATGCATCCTAGGGAAACTTGCTTTGTATTGCGAAAAAAATTGTAAACCGAGGCATTATTTTCAATGGATTTTCATTTGTAAACCAAAAATTATGTTAACCGAGGCATTTGTAAACCAAGGTCCCACTGTATATAAAAACTATATATGAAAATATTTTTCAGTATATAAAAAAAGTATTCAAAAACATAAAAAAATTTGAAACATTTGTCCAAAAATATTACATCAGCGACCAAAGTACTTTGTGCGGTTGATAAAAAGTGACAAAAAAAACTCATTTAGATTGAAAGATTGTTGTTTTTTATTTTGCATTTAACATAGAAATTCACATACAAACTGATGTGCTGGATTTTCCACAGTAAGCAGTCAAACTATTAAAGAAGAGTTTGACAAGTCACTTGAGCCCACCTTTCCTATTGCTACCTTCTATTGAGTTGGAACTAATGCTAGGAGTTTTTGTTAGCTCCACTCAGTTAAGCCTTTTTGTGCACAGCCGGCTCATTGGCTGAGAGCATCAGCTAAACATTCTCAGCCAATGAGTGCAAACCTATACGGCCAGGCTTAGCTCAGTGTAGTTTTGTATTTCTAACGCTATAGTGTTCCTTTAAAGGAACAATTCAATCACCATAGCCACTACAGCATTCTGTAATAAATATTTGACCATGTTGTGCCCTGGTGTCGAATCCCATTATAAAAAGTCAAATCGTTTTAGAATGGTTTGACTTCTTGCATGTGCTCTGCAGGCTCAATACCCTGCGTCAACTACTAATCTAGTTGAGAGATGGAAGCTCCAAAGCAGGAACATCTGTTGGCTCTCCTAAACTAAGTCCTTGGCCTATGAACTGTTGGGAGGTATGGATTACTAAATAACCCCATCAGAGTTTGATGTCACTATACTGGGAATACAAAAAGTTCACTTTTTAAAACAGTCTTTAAGGAACACAGTGAGCACCATAGAAATTTCATAAAAATTAAGTTGTTATAGTGGGGTTAAACTGTTAATGAACAGTTTATCTCCCAAGTCTCCTCTCCAGCATCATTTCGCTCTGCCTCCTCCAAACAACCCCTTTCCAAAAATGTTCAAAACATAAGCCTTGAGCGCTCTAGCCAATCAGTAGGCACCCAATTACAAAATGTCTTGAGAAACATACTTACAAGTCTTTTTTTTATGATTGGGGAGCTACTGATTGGCTAAGAGCGATCAGCAGAAACTTCAGTCCAATCTGTAGTGCCCCTGCCCAGAGCAGTCCGAAATTTCCATTTTGAAGATTTTCAGAAAACGGATGTTGAAGAGGAGACATTTGTGAATGGTTTAATGGCTTAATGAAATACAGTGCCAGGCACCTCCTGGCACGACACCAACAACTTCATTTTGATGGCAAACGTTGTCACCAAAACAACTTTAGCTTAATTAAGCAGTTTTGGTTTATAGATCATGCCCCTGCAATTTCAATGTTCAATTTTAGGCCATTTAGGAGTTAGATCGCTTTTGTTTCTGATTATGCAGCCCAGACATCATGAAAAAAAAAAGTTTTTATTTTCAATCAGGTCTTAAGTTACCTTATGAGTTTTTATCCGCTGCTCTGTAAATTAAACTTTAACTACATACAGGAGGCTCTTGCAGGATTTAGCAAGCTATTAACAGAGCAGGAGTTAAGAAATTCTAATTTCTAAAGAATTTGCCATAAAGGAAGTGTAAAGATGACTCTTTGCAGGAAGTGTTTAGGAAGGCTGTGCACAATACATGCAGGGACTTGTGACTAGGGCTGCATAAACAAAGTGATTTAACTCTTAAATGGAAGAGAATTGAGAAGGGAGACTGCATGGGGCATAAGTTACACATTAAAACCTCTTCATTAAGCTAGAGTTGTTTCGGTGACCATAGTGTACTTTTAACCCCTTAAGGACACATGACATGTGTGACATGTCATGATTCCCTTTTATTTCAGACGTTTGGTCCTTAAGGGGTTAAAGTGTTTTCTGAGGGAGACAGACATTGCTAGTTCTCAGAAATGACAATGTTTAAATTTGTCAGATTAGTGGGACAAAATCTTTGCAACAAAAACCACTACATCAAGATGTAATGGTTTTGGTTGCTTAGAATGTCCCTTTAACATACTGTTTATTTCTATGAAGAGGTAAAGTCAAATTAACAATTTTAGTGGTACTTTAACAATGCATACTACTGTAACCCAACCCGAAAAAACAAACAAACAAACCATGTTTTGTATAGTCATGTATATTAAATAATTACCTCCTTTTCGGTAAAATTACCTGCTGCCTATGATTAATACCTTTTGCAAGACTCTATCAAATCCAGGGCTATCAATCATAGTCTTCATGACCATCCGCAGAGTATTTGTGCACAGGGAGCTCATGGCTTCTGTCAATGGGAAGAGTAGCAGCAATAGTCAGCACAGCAAAGCTCGCAGGCTGTCAGCTGTCAAACGCCCTACACAGTGCTCCTTACCGCATGGCCACTCCAGGTCACCTCCAAAGAAACTCCCTCCTGGAGTGAGCAGGGTTCAACTCACAAGAGACACAGCAACACTGCACAGTGATCTCCAGAGCTGCTGTTTCTAGCTCTATTATTTTCAATACAACCATCTCCTACAATTACAGTATAGATGTCAAGGCAGCCATTTTTGTTATGGGCAATGAAAAAAAAAAAAAAAAAAGCTTATATTTTTCCCTTTCTTTTCGTTTTACTTTTTTTCTTTTGTTCGCAGACTCTTCCGGGCTTTACATATACGGTGAATACCGATATGCAGTTAATTAGTCTGTATTTATTTGTTTGTTTCTTAGCGGAATGTGCATACGTCACACAGAGGCGCCAGGGCTCAGGCGTCACATTAACGCGCTGTAACCATGTAAACCGAGTCAGGCGTCTCGTGGATTCCTCTCAGCCAATCAGACAGCGGTCTCAGCTGGGCGGGGATTGGCTGTTTTTTTATAGCTGTCATGGGGGCGGGCGCGCTGCCATTGGATGGACAGAGTCAGTGGCGGAGGTGGGTGTGGCTGCGCTCTGGGGACGCGCTCCTGCTGCTCTGGTGCCGGTCGGCATGGATGTGTCCGAGGAGTTGCGGGCGGAGGAGGGCGATGGGGGCAGGGTGACCGCCGAGAGGGAGCAGCGGTGTGTTGAGTTTGCCGGCATCGCGGGCTGTGACCGGGCAGTGGCGCAGTGCTTCCTGGCAGAGAATGACTGGGACATGGAAGTATGTCAGGCCGAGCCGCCCATCACAGAGTCCTTACTGCCACCCACACAGCACACAGACAGACAGACTATACCGGGGGTCTCCGGACTGCCGCTCACACGATGCTCAGCCAGCTGTTATGGCCGCTGGGAGTCATGGGGAAATCTAGTTTAAAAGCATGTGGGCTACCAGGATTGGCTATCACTAGCCCAGGCAATCCCTGCTCCTCCAGCTGCTGCTTAGGTGGCTACCTGCCCTACACGGTGATGGCCTGGAGCTGCTGCCCTGCTCAGTGCATAATTCACAGGAAGCAGTTTATTAAGAGGGGCACCCATAAGGAGGTTGTGCCAGGTATTTGCCCCCAAATTATAACATTAAAGGACCACTATAGTGCCAGGAAAACACACTCATTTTCCTGGCTCTATAGGGTCTTTAGGTCCCCCCACCCTTAGGGTCCCCCTCCCACCGGGCTCTAGAGTGAGGAAGGGGTTTAACACTCATGGTTTCTCCAGTGCCGGGCTCCCTCAGCGGTGGGGACTCTCCGCCTCCTTTCCTGTCATTGGCTGAATGCAGGCAGTGTTAATCCTAGATCAGGGGTAGGCAATCTACGGCACTCGAGGTGCCTTTGAACAGCACTCAAGGCTGCTAGAGCCAAACTGGCTTTGGCCTATCAGGAGTCCCAGTAAAACTTCAGATATCTGCTAATACGAAGAGGTGGTGAAGGACAATCCTCAATTTATGCATTGCAGCACATAGAGGAAGTGATCTCCGATCACTTCCTCCCAGCACTTGTAATAGAGCAGCCCGCACTGTAGTAATGCAGCCCGCAGCTGATGTTGCAGCTCCTGACCTTGACATGTACCTGGCCAGCCTGGTCCCCACTGGAACCCAGGGAAGCCACCCACACTGCTAGATATACACAGAAATGCAGAATAACAGCCCACACACAAGCATACACACAATCCCCACAAACGCAACACCACTAACAATCCACACACATGCACACAACCCCACATGCAATACCCCAGACACTAACAAACACACAATGTGACCTATCCACACACAATTCCACAAGCAGCCCTCATACACAGCCCACATTCATATGTATCATACACGATACCATAAACTACTAATGAACATATACAATATAATAGCTTACATACACACAAATACCACGATACAAAGCAATTACAGTAAAAATAACAAGCAGAATACGGCAGCATACACACCTCAATTAAAAAAAAAAAAATAGGATCTGCATGCTACGGGACATCACAATCCTAGATCGGCACAGTGCTGCTAAAAGGTTGCCTACCCCTGTCCTAGATGGACCTGGCACCCAGACCACTTAATTAAGCTAAAGTGGTCTGGGTGCCTATAGTGGTCCCTTAAGTGCATCTGTAAAGTATATCAACAGTATTGTGTATTTTTGGGAGTGGCGGGAAAATATATAAACATTTTGAGAGCTGTTCACCAAAGGTATTCTGGGCAAATGTGTAAAAGATCGCTCAACATTTATTTACAGTTTATGTACAGCTGCTTCAGTATATTTGCAAATGCAGAAACTGTTATTCTAGTACACTCCACCTCTGTGTTTTTGTTTGCAGAGAGCAATAAATTCATACTTTGAACCAGGGGTTGATCTGCAGTCTCAAGACAGAACCAGTGCTGAACTCGGTGACCCTTCTGTTAAACAGAGTATGCCTGTAACATCTGAATCCTGGCAAGTTATTCTTGCATGCTGTTTACTTTGCAAGTGTTTTCCAATTAACCAAACTTGGCATAGGTTTTTATATCTCTACTGAAATATACATTTTATATTGACCTGTTCTAGTGTTTAAAGTTATCCATGTATTTTTCCCTTTTTTAGAAATCATTCATTCTGAGTAAACGTTTACTCCAGATTGGAAGTGTTTTTGTTTTTTACTACAAAAAATAAAGATGGGGGGGGGATGACCTTCATGGGCACATTGTTAAGTCCTTACTGCTTGGTTTTTCAAAGACCTCATCAGTTATTAAAGAAACACTATAGTTACCTAAACATTTTCTTAATGAAGCAGTTTTAGTGTTTAGATCATGCCTCTCAGGTTTCACTGCTCAATTCACTGCCGTCACTTTGTTTCCTCCCCTGACTCTGACACAGCCTACATGAAAAAAATTGGTTTCACTTTCAATCAGATGTAATTTACCTTAAACAATTGTATCTCTTTCTCTGTAAATTGAACTTTAATCACACACAGGAGGCTCTTACAGGGCCTAGCAAGCTATTATCATAGCAGGGAATAAGAAAATCTAACTTAAACCAAACTTACAATAAAGGAAGAATAAACTGTAGATGATTTTTTACAGGAAGTGTTTAGGAAGGCTGTGCAAGTCACATGCAGGGAGGTGTGACTAGGGTTAATAAAGAAAGTGATTTAACTCCTAGATGGCAGAGAATTGTGCAGTGAGACTATATGGGCACGATTTATACACCAAAACTGCTTCATTAAGCTAAAGTTGTTTTGGTGAGTATAGTGTCCCTTTAACTGCTGCTAACCATTCCAAACTTGCACTTTTTCATGTTGACAATAGTGTTGCAAACATATCCCACATGCTTAGGGTTCACTGGAAGCTTGGAATTCACAGATCATTTCATGCACAAAACCACATAGCTGCAGGTGACAGATTCCCTTTAATTATTTTGATACGTTGCCAGATTCTACAACTATTCCACATGTAAAACCCCTTATCCCGTTTACTAACAAGCAGTTTGTTAAAGGACCACTATAGTGTCAGGAAAACAAACTTTTTTTCCTGGCACTATAGTATTAATAGGTCCCCCCCTCCCGCCGGGCTGAAGTGGGAGGAAGGGGTTAAAATCTTACCTTTCTCCAGCGCCGGGCTCCCTCTGTTATGGGGACTCTCCGCCTCCTTTGGACATCATTGGCTGAATGCGCAGGCGCGGCAAGATCTGCGCGCGCATTCAGTCAGTCCATAGGAAAGCATTCTCAATGCTTTCCTATGGACGGCAGCGTCTTCTCACTGTGATTTTTAGTTAGAAGCGCCTCTAGCAGCTGTCAATGAGACAGCCACTAGAGGCTGGATTAACCCATATGTAAACATAGCAGTTTCTCTGAAACTGCTAGGTTTACAGCAGGCAGGGTTAACCTTAGATGGACCTGGCACCCACACCACTTCATTGAGCTGAAGTGGTCTGGGTGCCTATAGTGGTCCTTTAACCATTTATAGAAATGGAACTATTCTAGTTTTGTTTTTTGTTTTTAAATTTATTTATTTTAAAGGCGTTTTGTGTGTCAATTTTTTCTATAACCTCTGTTATAGGACTTATTTAGCTTTAGTTTAATTATCACCACATAGGGTTAAAACAAGATCTTAGTACATATTTTGTATTAATTCCTTTTTAGTCACTGTGTTGGAATCTGGTGTTTTACTTCTGTACTTACTGCTTCTTTCTAGTATTGATCTGACGAATGATGAATTGTTAGTTAACATCGCGTCTTCTGGTCAGACACCAGAGACCCAGAGTCTAGAAGACGAGGGACATTTCTCTTTTTTGACTTGGAATATAGATGGACTTGATGAATCAAATCTTCAAGAAAGAGCTCGCAGTGTGTGCTCTTACCTTGCCCTGTAAGTAGATATATATCCTTTTTTGCATATGACAGCTCTTACTACTATATCATGATTTTATTTAACCCTTTAAAGAAACACTATAGCTTTAGGAATATAAGCCTTTATTACAAACTCTATAGTGTTCTACTCCATATTTATATTTACTCCCCAGAGTTAAACGGAAGTGGCATGCACTTATTCTGAGCGTCATTAGACTTCTCATTGAGCTGTAATTGCCACTTCTGAGACTGGTCTGAAGTCTTCTCAGTGAAAAGTCTCTGACCATTCTTCTACCACAGACTGAAAAGTCTGTGCCAGGTTAAGAGGACTTGCAGTACCTTCATATCTGCATCTATTGTAAGCTAGTTTTCATTACCTCCAAAGAAAATATGCAAAATAAATTCTTCCACCATATTCCTCCTGAGAATCTGAAAGCCTACAAATAGTTGAGTAATGTCCTTCATTAAAGCGGCACCTTAGGCACCCAGACTACTTCAGCTCATTGAAGTGGTTTGGGTGCAGTGTCTGTCCTCCTTAGTCCAGCAATGTTAATCATTGCAGTTTTTAGAGAAACTGCAATGATTACCCAGAAGTACTAGATAAGTACCTCTAGTGGCTGTCAATCAAATACTTCCTGGGTCCTAACAACTCTGCATGAGGACATCCAGCATCTGAGAAAACCCCAAAGGGGAGTTGGCGCTGGAATCGGGTGAGTTTTTCTTACAGTATAGAATCCCTTTAAAGCCTTCACTAAATGAACTGTTTATTTATATAGACATTTTAGCACAAAGTTGTAAATGTAGAGCAAATGCCAAAAAACTGAGGGTTCCAGCTAACTGTTTTATATTACCCTAGAGCCCCCCATATATGTAATTCAAATTGTTTGATTTTCAAAATCTGGCATTCTGAGATGTGTGTAGGCTGCACTTTTCTCATATATTACTTATCATTATGGAGTTAAATAACCAAATATATTTTCTTATGTCAACACAGGTACAGCCCAGATATAGTCCTTTTGCAAGAGGTTATTCCACCGTACTATGCATACCTGAAAAAACGGGCTGTTAGCTACACAATCATTGCAGGTATCAAATGTTACTTTTACTACAGGAAAACATTTTTACTATTGTTTAGGAGATATTGCCTCTCATCCCCAGACAGTGTTTGATCAGCCAAATATTTACTGGCACAGTTCCCCCACCCCAACAAATGAATGTCCCAATTAACATCTGCGTTCTGATCTATAGGCATAAAACTGTAATCAAGAGAGATGAAAAATCCAGAGATCGTATATTGTCATTAAGAATACCTTCCTAGGAGTACTGAGAATTCTAATAGTTGTCAAGCCAGAAGGTGGAGTATACCTAGCTATATTAGACTCTGTTACACCCAAACCTCAATTAAATGCTCTCTACCTCCTCTTTACAAATATAAATCAATAAGTCAAACGTGAAATCAAGAGGCAAGAAAATACAGAACGAGAGCCCCAATGTACATTTTGTTGCTCAGACAGCCCATCACGAGGCTGCGATAAATTGCATCATGCATCCCAGGGGTAGACCTCTGCAGCAATTGGCAGGTGTTGCAAGGACTGAAAGCAAGAATAGGCATTTTTTACATACTGCCATTGGACAAAAATGTGCTGTTCAAAATAGCTTGTGCATTAAATCTATGTATGCATCGTTGCCATTGGAAAGGACACTAGAAGTTGAGATTTGAGCCAGCCCAGCAAGAACAATATTGTTTATGGTAGAATAATGAATGCATTGAATTAACATAACTGTTATATATGGAATTGTTTAAACACTGGTATCTATATACAACAGATATGTACCACTGCAATAGTGATTACAATAGTAAGTCTTAATTGGATTGATTGTTTGGGTTTTTTTTTTTTTTTTTAAATACTATGAATTTATGGTCTATTTTGCATTTTAGGCAATGATGAAGGCTATTTTACAGCAATTATGCTGAAAAACTCCAGGGTGAAACTAATAAGTCAAGAAATTGTTCCATACCCAAACACCACCATGATGAGAAACCTGCTCATTGCCAATGTGAGTGTACAAATCTTCTTTTGATTTGTCCTACTGAGGTTTGCTTAACAGGAAGGAGAAAAACTATGTTTTTTTGTTTTTTTGTGGCCATTTATTTGTCTGCTAATAACAAATTAAACAGTACCAAATTTAGAAAACGCTCATTCTAAAAAGACTGGAAAAATAGAAAAAAATCCAATGAATATAAAGTATGTTTATAAATATTTTCTGATGGCAAACTGGGACTTTATTATATATAGAAGTATTTAAAGAGAGCCTGATAACCATGTTTCCTTAGGTCAACTGTATATGGTTTAAAAGTACAATTTAAAATCTAGTGTTGTCACCTATTTGGGTCTCTGCATATTTTTTGCATAGACCTCCAATGGTGACATCATAGCTTGTGGTGCAGCATAGATGAACAATAATTTCCTAATGCTGTCCCCTGTTGGTGCCATCATCTTCAATCTTGGCACTTCATCTGCCAGGAGCCCATGTCAGTGCTGAACCACATGCGCAAGAGTACGACTCATAAATATGGAGGATCCTGCAAGACAGCTGGAGCCTTAATAGATATTCTCTTGCAATGAGCGAGACAGTGACTTATTCCCACGGCTGTTGCTATAGGCCTTCAGTGATTTTTAATACGACAGACTGAAATTTAGTTTTTCTCTGTAATTGTTCCCTAATGGTAGACTATGCCCCTTGAAATGTATTAAGTCTGCTTTTGCTATAAATGATCATTCTTAGAATCCACTTTGTGTATTAAATGTACAAGAGAGCTCAAAATGTCCACTCTTAACTAGCCACTGGTGAGTGTGCCATAGGCTTGCAGTGACAAAAAAAACCTTTAAAGGCCTGGCTTGTAGTGTGGGACTTGACATTTTAAGCTCTGTGTATAACATATGAATGCATTATATTTTATACAATGTTGCTTGTAAAATCCTCTTGTTTTAAAGGTTCATAATATGTGCATGTATTTGCTATAGCTGCCAAAAAAAATCTGTTTTTGTTTTTTTTTTAAATTAAATTCAAATCAATTGGTATTCTTACAAAGGTTAACTTATCTGGGAATCATATTTGCCTTATGACCTCTCATCTGGAAAGCACCAAAGACCATTCAAAGGAACGTCTGGCTCAGCTGCATGTTTTGTTGAAGAAAATGCAGGAGGCTCCACTATCAGCCACTGTTATCTATGGTGGTGATACAAACTTGAGAGATTCAGAAGTGAGTATTAACATAAATATTCTCCATATTTGATGTTGGAGTCTAATCCTCATAAAATCTGATTCTCAGTGGAGAGTACAGTCAAGATATTCATTGTTTATTCTTTAAATCAGAACTGTTTATTTTCCTAATCCCTTAGGCATATCTTTAATTTTTCTCACTACACTATTTCTGGGTTCCTCCAAGCTCCGCATCAGTACTTATTGAACATGCTCACACTGAACATGCAGGGCAGGGCATTTCTATCCATACTTGAGAACTTCAGATGCATTTTAGCTTGGGCAGCCCTTATTGACAGTTATGCATGGCTGCCTTATAGTAGCCATACTGTTGCAGCTGTCAGCCTATTCACAGGACAGTTTGCAGTTTTGTATGATGCAGTTTTCCAAGTAAAATACCATTGCATGCAGTAAATACAGCACTGTTTGCAAATATACAGTGACTGGCTTAGTCTGAGCATTTTAACCTTTTCAATAAGAATAACTACTTTGAGTAAACCTCTTAAGTGTGTTTCTACCACTCTAAATTTTTAAGACCGTGTAATTCAGGGGTCCTCAAACTACGGCCCCCCAGATTTTGCTGAACTACAACTCCCATAATTCTCTGGCTATCTATGTAATTCAAAGAATCATGGGAGTTTGTAGTTCCGCAAAATCTGGGGTGCCGGAGTTTGAGGACCCCTGGTGTAATTGTTAAAGGGGGGGTGGATTTTTTTTATTTCAAGTATTTTTTACTATAAAGGAATTTTCTGGACAACCACACCTTAAGTGCTAAATTGTTCTTGAATGGTTTAACATAAAAGCTGCATCCAGAGGCACAGCTTTTCTATTCTCTTCTGCTTGGGTTAATGTGGAAGCTTTAGAGTGAGAACTGAAGAGGTGGCAGTGAGTGTCTGAAAGTCATCTGACGATCTCAACCGTATATATTGCATCCCATCGCGAGCAAATGTGTACATTTATATTTATTCGCAAGGAGTGGCCATTAATAGACTGTCAGCTAACACTCTAATCCAGTCACTGCCGTCTCCTTACTGCTCATGCTATGCTTCAACATGAGCCTGAGCAGAGAAGGAGAGGGACTCGTGTGGACTCTTCTATAGTGTTAACCATTCAAGAACAGTTTAAAAATTAAAGGTAAGACTGGGGACTCCAAGCACCATAACAACGAAGTTGTATCATTCAATATTCATTTCAATTATGATTAATTTTGGACACAAAATGTCAGTTGGCTTACTGACTGGTAATATAAGTGTACAGTGTTATCAGTTTGATTTTTTTCAAAAAACAGATTTAATACACTTTCAGTAGTGTTTGTTCTCATTTAAAATTAAACGGTTCCTCTAAGAAATGGTATATTTCAACATTGACTCTTATCTGGTTATGGGAAACCTACAGAAAGCACCTTAAATATTACTATAACTAGTCCTTTATATTGCATACCCCATCTCATTTTTATTACATTTTACAGGTTCAGAAGATTGGAGGTCTTCCAAGCAACATATTGGATGTGTGGGAGTTCCTTGGTAAACCAGAACACTGTCGGTACACATGGGACACTAAAGTAAACAACAATCTGCGTGCCCCATATACCTGTCGACTTCGTTTTGACCGGATACTGTACCGAGCCTCTGGTGATGGAAGTCAAGTAATTCCAAATTCCCTAGACCTTGTTGGTGTTGAGAAATTGGACTGTGGCAGGTATCCTAGTGATCACTGGGGCCTGCTGTGTGATTTTGATGTGGTATTATGAAATATTGTATAAACATTTTAAATATGTAAATGGTACTTTTTAATAAAGCTCTGTTCTTATAAAGGTAGGATTTATTTTCCTTTGCTGAAGGTTTAAGTAATATCGGCCTGTCCTAATTGAAGGAATATTTTATGTATTTAGTTCCTATTTTGTTAAAACTGCTTCTTATATACCTTAAAGATATTTTTATCAGGATTCACTTGCCGTTAATTAATAAATAAAAAATAAAACAAAAATTGGAGTGGTTTAAAAAGGCTTTGTTTTTAAATATGATTTAATATACAAGGTGGTCGAAAAGGAGGTACAGTTGAATCAATTAAATCAATCACAACAGGTTATATGGGTACGCATACACACTGACACAATAAAGGGACACTAGGCACCCAGATCACTTCAGCTCATTGAAGTGGCCTGCATACAGTGTCCCTTTTGCACTTGGTGCTGCAATGTTAAACGCTGCAATTCCATAGAAACTGCACTGTTTACATTGCAGCTCTGTCTGCCGTCACTGGCTGTTTACCAGACAGCCACTAGAAGGCTTCCTGAATTGAAACTGACATTTTGTCCAGTATCTGATGCTGGACATCATCACACTCTGCACGAGGACCTCCAACATCAGATTTTTCCCCATAGGAAAGCATTGATTATATGCTTTTCTATGTGGAGGTCTGATGCGCATGTGTATTAGAACCTGCTCATCGCAGGTGATGGAGAAAAGTTGGAGCTGCGACCCAGTGCCGAGGGACATCGGCACTGGGATAAGGTGAGTAAAGTGTTTTTTAACACTTTATTTACCTGGCAGGGGAAGCAATAGTGCCAGGAATACAGCTTTGTATTCCTAGCACTATAGTATCACTTTAAATATCAGTGTGAGTGTTTGAAAGAATAGTGGAGGGCAGATAAAATAATTTTTCTTTACTATTATTATGAATGATGACCATGAAATTAAGTCAAAGCGGATTCTAAAGCAGTAGTGGAAGAATGAAATGCTCAGCGGGTGCGCAAATTGTGGCAAGTAGACACTGCCACCAACATGTCTGACAATTTATCGTAGTATAGATAAATATAAAGCAAGTGTTAATGCACCAAAATCTAGACGTACTAGGACATCTGTGACAGAGGAAAATGAGTTGACAATTGCTTTGACATTTGTGAACAGTCTTGGAAAAAGTCCACACTGAGTCTCAGCAACTATCCATACAGAGAACATCCTTGCAATGCTTAAAATTTCACTATAGTGTGAAGAATACAAATTTGTATTCTGGACATTGGTTCTAAGATTGCCATTTAGGTGGTCGATCCCTCTGTCAGAAGGTGAGTTTATTTGAGGGGGGTTTTTCCCCAGTCCTGCGCCAGTCAAGTTTGATATGTACCCCCTTGGGTTGAGATTATCAAACTTGATCTCAGCCAATCCAGTGCTTTCCCACAGAAAAGCATTGGGAGGCTATTGTGCATGCCTGGCAAAACACTGTGCTATGCCAATCTACATCTCCTCCTAGAGATACATTGAATCAATGCTTCTCTATGGGGAATGTTCTGTGACTCCAGACGGGTTGAGTGTTGAGATGCTGAACATCTGAGTGACCTTCCACTAGAGGTGTCACCAGGCAGTAATGTAAACACACTGTCTTTTTATTAAGCTGCAGTTCTGGTGACTATTGTGTACCATAATGCGTAAATTGAAATTGAAGCTATATCGTCCAAGACTGTTACATGATTTTCTGGAGGACGACCCAGAACATCTGCTGCAATTCTGTGAGATGATGTGTAACTAAACCCTCTGAACCAGACCTTCTTGATAAGATCTAGTCAGATAAGGATTCTTGCAGATTGTGTATTGGGTAGATGCAAATCCTCATTTGTCTATCACATTTCAACTGATCCAGCTAGGCGTCAGTGTAGGGTGCACCGTCCAGCAAAGGTGTTGTATGACTGGTTTTCTTCGACAGAACTGTGGATAGTAACAATTGCCTAAACTTGTTAACTACAAGATTACTGTTAAATGTAAATGTAATCAAATGCAAATAAACTATACTGTATATCTACTTTTGGGTTACCCTGAATACACAATGCAAGTTGCTGTCTGAGATTTCTAATCTTCCCTATTTAAACTACATTTGAGGTCTATTTTTGCACAAACCAATATGCTTTAAAGGATCACTATAGTGTCCCCCTCCTGTGGCACTGAAGGGGTTAAAACCCCTTCAGCAGCTTACCTTATTCCAGCGCCGGACTCACTCAGCGCTGCTGACCTCTCCTCCCCATCCGACGTCAGTGCAGCCGAATGTGCATACGCGGCAAGGGCCGTGCGTATTCAAAGTGTCCATAGGAAAGCATTTCTCAATGCTTTCCTATGGACGCTTTGTGCGGAATTCGCATCCAGCGTCACAGATGCACCTCTAGTGGCTGTCCGGAAGACAGCCACTAGAGCCTGGATTAACCCCAAATGTAAACATAGCAGTTTCTCTTAAAGGGTTAATCTGAAGGGTTAAAACCTGAGTGACCTGGCACCCAGACCACTTCATTGAGCTCAAGTGGTTTTGGTGACTATAGTGTCCCTTTAAGTTCTAGCATCTCTTTATTCCTGTTTTTATCTAGTCTAGGCATATTCTCTAGACTGGACACATGACTGCATAGTTGCTCTGAATGAACCTACCTTTAAAAATAAAATAATTCCCACACCCTACTAATTGGCAACTTGTCATGTGCTGTGTCTAGAGCAGGCCTGCAGAACTTGTGACCCCCCAGAAGTTTCGAACTACAATTCTCATGATTCCCTGGCTATCTGTTTCATTCATGGAATCATGGGTGTTGGCTATCTGTTTCATTCAAAGAATCATAGGAGTTGTAGTTCAAAAAAAAATCTGGGGGGTTGGTGCAGGTTGTGCAGACCTGGTCTAGAAGATCCCCAAGTGTATTAATCCCAATCACATATCATGGGATTAGGGAAGAAGCACGTAGACATTGGCTTACCTGTGCCATATTTACCTATACACAACTGAATACTGATTGAAGGGATTTGACCCATTAGTAGGTTTCATTGCTTATTGTAAGTAACTGAATTGGTGAAATTTGTTTTCCACCCGTTTAACTATTTACCAAAAGAATACCTGATGTAGTAGGGAGGAGTCAATAGAGGAGAAAAACATCCAACAGAGTGCATTATTGTGTACCAGTCATCACATTGAACTGAGAAAAAAAAAAAAAGCACTGAGGCTCCCACATTGTGTATAGGGGGTGCACTGAACCTAAGTGTCTGATTATCCATCCACTCACTATAATAAAGAATAGGTTAAGGGCAGGGGAGGACCATTGGACCGGTCCTCCTTGGGTCTCATAGAGTGCCCTGGACTTATAAGTTTATTTAAGTCGCATCCTAACTCACAGGTGATGGAGAAAAACAAGTGAAAACTGCCCCACCATTCTTACTAACCTTTCACCTAGTACATTAGGGGAGGTGCATGGATTGCCCAATTATTATTTCAAAATACCATGAGACAACTATATTAAGGGACACAATAGTCACAAAAACAACTTTACCTTAATGAAGCAGTTTTAGTGCATAGATCATGACTACGAAGTCTCACTGCTCAATTCTCTGCCATTAAGAAGTGAAATTACATTTGTTTCTGTTTATGCAGCCCTAAACACAGCTCTCTTGGCTGTGACTGACACAGCCTGCATGAAATCGGGACATACTAAAAGGAATGACAGATTGGAATGCCCATAGACTTTAACAAGGCAGTGGAATGCCCATAGAGAATAATGGAAGTGAAAGGAATGCCCATAGAGAATAATGGAAACAAAATATTTCAATTAGAGACAAAACTATTACACATATGAAATCCATATTTTGCCACAATACTCTCCAGATTCAGTGTCAATTTTTGAAATTGAAATTAAGTGGGATTATCATTGTTTTCTATAGAATAACAATGGTGAATGACTAAAGAGAATGCCCATAGACTATAATGGGAGGCAACACATAAACTAATTTGCAGGTAAATCTGTGTTGTGTAGCAAATTCATCTTTACCACAGGTGTTCCCCAAGTACAGCAGTAGATTGTAAAATTAAAAATAACTGGGATTATAGCTCTTTTCTATGGAATGACAGGTAAATGATACAATGGAATGCCCATAGGGTATAATGGGAAGCAATATGTGACTTGGAATCTGAACCATGAAACATATCAAGTAAATATTTTGCAGGCATACTCTACGAGTTCAGTGGCAATTTTTGAAATTGAGTTTAAGTGGGATTATCATTGTTTTCTATAGAATGACAATGGTGAATGACTAAAGAGAATGCCCATAGACTATAATGGGAGGCAACACATAAACTCATTTGCAGGTAAATCTCTGTTATGTAGCAAATTTATCTTTACCACAGGTGTTCCCCAAGTACAGCAGTAGATTCTAAAATTAAAAGTAACTGGGATTATAGCTCTTTTCTATGGAATGACAGGTAAATGATGCAATGGAATGCCCATAGAGTATAATGGCAAGTAATATGTGACTTGGAATCTGAACCGTGAAACATATCAAGTAAAGCTTTTGCAGGCATACTCTGCGAGTTCAGTGGCAATTTTTGAAATTGAGATTAAGTGGGATTATCATTGTTTTCTATAGAATGACAATGGTGAATGACTAAAGAGAATGCCCATAGACTATAATGGGAGGCAACACATAAACTCATTTGCAGGTAAATCTGTGTTATGTAGCAAATTCATCTTTTCCACAGGTGTTCCCCAAGTACAGCAGTAGATTGTAAAATTAAAAGTAACTGGGATTATAGCTCTTTTCTATGGAATGTCATGTAAATGATGCAATGGAATGCCCATAGAGTATAATGGAAGTAATATGTGACTTGGAATCTGAACCGTGAAACATATCAAGTAAAGCTTTTGCAGGCATACTCTGCGAGTTCAGTGGCAATTTTTTAAAATTGAGATTAAGTGGGATTATCATTGTTTTCTATAGAATGACAATGGTGAATGACTAAAGAGAATGCCCATAGACTATAATGTAAGGCAACACATAAACTAATTCGCAGGTACATCTGTGTTGTGTAGCAAATTCATCTTTTCCACAGGTGTTCCCCAAGTACAGCAGTAGATTGTAAAAGTAAAAATAACTGAGATTATAGCTCTTTTCTATGGAATGAAAGGTAAATGATACAATGGAATGCCCATAGAGTATAATAGGAAGCAATATGTGGAATCTGAACCATGAAACATATCAAGTAAATCTTTTGCAGGCATACTCTCCAGGTTCAGTGTAAATTTTTGAAATTGCCCGAGACCCATGTGTAGCGACGGAACTGCCGCCAGTGCAGTTGCACTTGGGCCCGCACGCTAATGGGGCCCATCGGGTGGCCCACACACTTAGGGCCACCCGATGGGCCCTATATCTTCAGGGGCACTGTCAGCGCTGTGACCATGTTATAGCGCAACAGGGCCCCTTGTATAAAAAAATGCAGCCGTAACGCAAGTGCTGCTCGGAGGAAGTGACGGCTGGTCACTTCCTCCCAGCTCACTATGCGCAGGAGGAGAGCCAGCGTGGAGGCCTTGAAGAGGGAGAGCCATGCTGACTCCCATCAGCCCCAGTCACCCTCCTGCAAAGAAACAGTAAGAAACAGGAGGGTGGCTGACAAATGAGCTGTCTGTGTCAGTGTGTATGTCTGTCAGTATGTATATATGTATGTCTGTCAGTATGTGTATATATGTAGGTCTGTCAGTATGTATATATGTATGTATGCATGAGTATGAATGTATGTCTGTATGAATGTATGTCTGTGTGTATGTATGGATGTCAGTGTCTGTATGCATGCATGTCAGTATGTATATATGTATGTATACCAGTACCAATGTATGTCTGTATGTCAATATGAATGTATGTCTGTGTGTATGTATGTATGTGTGTGTGTATGGATATCAGTGTCTGTATGCATGTATATATGTCTGTCAGTATGTATGTATGCCAGTGTCAATGTATGCCAGTATGAATGTATGTCTGTGTGTATGTATGTCAGTGTCTGTATGTCCTTATGCGTGTGTGTGTCTAAATATAGGGCTTAGAAGAGCGACCTCAAGACATGTCTCCAAGCCTTCTGGGTATGAGAGCCAGGAATCTTACTTCCCAATTCTCATACTGTAACATACCTTGACGTTACGCATGCATGCACAGTGCTGTCATGGTCGGCAATAGAGAATCATTGCATGTGCCTCAGGCACACAATACTCCTCTCTGATGTGCATTGGATAGACCCATCATCCGGGTGGCGCTAAAGCAGGAGGGGGCATCAAGTCTGGAAGATTGAGTGTGGCAAGCCTAGCCACTTGGACAATATAAAGAGACTGTACCTTTAAGGGTTGCCTGTATGGTTGTGGGGTATGTGTGTGCATAAGTATAATGTATGCTGGCTGTAATACCTTGTATTTCCTGTATTGGCTATCTGCCGAACGCAGATAGCTGTATTCCATTTTGTTTCACGAACGGCACCTTTGCGGGCCGTTCGTGAACCGAAATAACCACCATGTAATAGCCCACACACTTAGAGGTGCTGAACTTCCAGGCCGTTCGGTATTATATTCCCTATACTTCAATCGGTCTTTTGAATGTGTGTTTTAATGAATATGTTTTTCGTGCGGCGTTCGGTTGTTTTAGCTGGGATCTGAGCGGTAATCTCACGAATGATGCGCTCAGACCCCAGCTATCTACCGAACGTCCATTCGTGCAAATAGTCCAAATAGTCGAAGAACTGTACATTTTAAAGTAATTGCCGGTTCTGCTGCACGGAGGGATAATCCACTTAACGGTATATTCCAGTGGGAGGATCCCTCTCGTGCAGCAGTGCGGATCGGCAATATTAAATCCCACGAATTCCGCTGGTACAGAAAGTAATCCACAGTCAAGCGCTGAAAAGTAAGGCAATATCCCAAATCCCCCAGTAACCGGACGAAACACAGTTCTGGGAGTCAACTGAGGTCTTAAATCACATGCTCCAGTATTTATACAATTCCCCATGCAAGGGGTTTCCTGAGTCACATCACAGGGGCATTACAGGAGTGGACTACATGGGAAACTTAATGTACAGGGCATTTCTCCCATCAGGCACTGCTGCACGAGAGGGACACTTTGCCGACCATGACAGCACTGTGCATGCATGCGTAACGTCAAGGTATGTTACAGTATGAGAATTGGGAAGTAAGATTCCTGGCTCTCATACCCAGAAGGCTTGGAGACATGTCTTGAGGTCGCTCTTCTAAGCCCTATATTTAGACACACACACGCATAAGGACATACAGACACTGACATACATACACACAGACATACATTCATACTGGCATACATTGACACTGGCATACATACATACTGACAGACATATATACATGCATACAGACACTGATATCCATACACACACACATACATACATACACACAGACATACATTCATATTGACATACAGACATACATTGGTACTGGTATACATACATATATACATACTGACATGCATGCATACAGACACTGACATCCATACATACACACAGACATACATTCATACAGACATACATTCATACTCATGCATACATACATATATACATACTGACAGACCTACATATATACACATACTGACAGACATACATATATACATACTGACAGACATACACACTGACACAGACAGCTCATTTGTCAGCCACCCTCCTGTTTCTTACTGTTTCTTTGCAGGAGGGTGACTGGGGCTGATGGGAGTCAGCATGGCTCTCCCTCTTCAAGGCCTCCACGCTGGCTCTCCTCCTGCGCATAGTGAGCTGGGAGGAAGTGACCAGCCGTCACTTCCTCCGAGCAGCACTTGCGTTACGGCTGCATTTTTTTTATACAAGGGGCCCTGTTGCGCTATAACATGGTCACAGCGCTGACAGTGCCCCTGAAGATATAGGGCCCATCGGGTGGCCCTAAGTGTGTGGGCCACCCGATGGGCCCCATTAGCGTGCGGGCCCAAGTGCAACTGCACTGGCGGCAGTTCCGTCGCTACACATGGGTCTCGGGCAATTTCAAAAATTTACACTGAACCTGGAGAGTATGCCTGCAAAAGATTTACTTGATATGTTTCATGGTTCAGATTCCACATATTGCTTCCTATTATACTCTATGGACATTCCATTGTATCATTTACCTTTCATTCCATAGAAAAGAGCTATAATCTCAGTTATTTTTACTTTTACAATCTACTGCTGTACTTGGGGAACACCTGTGGAAAAGATGAATTTGCTACACAACACAGATGTACCTGCGAATTAGTTTATGTGTTGCCTCCCATTATAGTCTATGGGCATTCTCTTTAGTCATTCACCATTGTCATTCTATAGAAAACAATGATAATCCCACTTAATCTCAATTTTAAAAAATTGCCACTGAACTCGCAGAGTATGCCTGCAAAAGCTTTACTTGATATGTTTCACGGTTCAGATTCCAAGTCACATATTACTTCCATTATACTCTATGGGCATTCCATTGCATCATTTACATGACATTCCATAGAAAAGAGCTATAATCCCAGTTACTTTTAATTTTACAATCTACTGCTGTACTTGGGGAACACCTGTGGAAAAGATGAATTTGCTACATAACACAGATTTACCTGCAAATGAGTTTATGTGTTGCCTCCCATTATAGTCTATGGGCATTCTCTTTAGTCATTCACCATTGTCATTCTATAGAAAACAATGATAATCCCACTTAATCTCAATTTCAAAAAATTGCCACTGAACTCGTAGAGTATGCCTGCAAAAGCTTTACTTGATATGTTTCACGGTTCAGATTCCAAGTCACATATTACTTGCCATTATACTCTATGGGCATTCCATTGCATCATTTACCTGTCATTCCATAGAAAAGAGCTATAATCCCAGTTACTTTTAATTTTAGAATCTACTGCTGTACTTGGGGAACACCTGTGGTAAAGATAAATTTGCTACATAACAGAGATTTACCTGCAAATGAGTTTATGTGTTGCCTCCCATTATAGTCTATGGGCATTCTCTTTAGTCATTCACCATTGTCATTCTATAGAAAACAATGATAATCCCACTTAAACTCAATTTCAAAAATTGCCACTGAACTCGTAGAGTATGCCTGCAAAATATTTACTTGATATGTTTCATGGTTCAGATTCCAAGTCACATATTGCTTCCCATTATACCCTATGGGCATTCCATTGTATCATTTACCTGTCATTCCATAGAAAAGAGCTATAATCCCAGTTATTTTTAATTTTACAATCTACTGCTGTACTTGGGGAACACCTGTGGTAAAGATGAATTTGCTACACAACACAGATTTACCTGCAAATTAGTTTATGTGTTGCCTCCCATTATAGTCTATGGGCATTCTCTTTAGTCATTCACCATTGTTATTCTATAGAAAACAATGATAATCCCACTTAATTTCAATTTCAAAAATTGACACTGAATCTGGAGAGTATTGTGGCAAAATATGGATTTCATATGTGTAATAGTTTTGTCTCTAATTGAAATATTTTGTTTCCATTATTCTCTATGGGCATTCCTTTCACTTCCATTATTCTCTATGGGCATTCCACTGCCTTGTTAAAGTCTATGGGCATTCCAATCTGTCATTCCTTTTAGTATGTCCCCATGAAATCAAAATGGTTTAATTTTTCAATTAGATCTAACTTACTTGAAAAGTGTTTATCTCCAGTGGGCAGGAGGCCAGCTTCTACACTCCTGCATGAATTTGTGGCAAATGTCCAGGGCAAGGAGCGTTTGTCACACTCCCCTCCTACAGCCCAGGAGATGTGAACTGCAACAACTGCCAACCCACTCTCTTAACCTGTGGCACATTGGAGATGAGATAGGACTACTGCACTGTAGATTTGGGAAAAGCAGGTGTAACTGCCTACCTGGTCTGTTTAATCCACATACTCTATGGTAAAGCAGAATAAGAGGATCCATATTGTTAGACCCTGACTTGTTTCACGCCCGGTTTGGTTTGTTTTATTTAACTACTTGCATAAGGCAAACAGAAATCTTGGAATGTGTCACTTTGTAAATATTGGTTAACATTTTTTTTTCTAGTTTACCTGTCCACCATTTTTTTGTTTTATAAATAAAATAAAAAGCTATAAAAACCATGTGTCCCAGTCTCCACTCAGCAGTCCATCTGCCTCTGGTGAAGTTGTTAATTCTGATGACTTTTCTCCAATGTGAATCATTAGCCACATTCGCTGCCTTGTGCACTTTCTAAAGTCTTATGGAGCAAATGCCTGTAATGACTAGTTGTCTTGTGTGTTTTAGGCAAAATGTAAACAGTGCCGTTTTTCAAACAGCAATGTTGCACATAGCCAAACAAGAGGGGCACCTCCACATTAAAATACTGTGGTTTTGGTATTTAGAGTGTCCCCTGCCAATGCCATATTTATGCTATTTGGATTTCTTATCTGCTATTGTTTAGAACACACACATTTACTCTTAAAGAGATGAGCACCTTTGAAATTCTCTTAAAATAACCACTGGATTGTAATTACAGGACAAAAGTATCTCATTTGGACAAATACATTTTCAAATTCCATTGCACTGAAAGCTTAGCTATGATTGCATACATTTTGCAATTCAGTGTTTAGTGAATAAATCCCATGTCTTGTTTTTAAATATAATTCTCTAAACCCTGCCCTCGTATTTTTTAAGTAACACCAACATTGTGTTCCCATATCAACAATTACAGGAAAAAAAATATGAAATTTAATTTATTTCATTTACATTCATTTTAAATAACTCTTGAATAACTCTAAGCTTGCAAATGCTTCCTCGTTGATTATACACTCTGAGACTGACTCCTCATGTTTTTCTCAGGCCCTGCCTGCTGGACCACAGGCTCTAGTTTGGAATACTGACAACGCCTCCATTCCATTTTTCTCCTCTCTTAGACAGAGGCACCAGCTGCTCTGTCTTTTATCTTTTACCCAGAGCATTCTCTGTTACGGCCACACCTCCTTCCCATCATCGGCTGCTTATCCACCCATCTTACCTCCTTCCCATCTCTGAACAAGGGACCCAGAGAGATCAGGTGGAAGATAGACGGGCCTCCAGCAACCATAAGACAGCTGGCCATCCCCATAATCGGTATGAAATGATCTGTTCAACACTGCCATATACATTCATTGCGTGCCTCACCAATAGAATATTATGTATAACCTCCTGACAGCTCTGCTGATAGCATGATGTTGCAGTTCCAAGCCTACAGCTATGTTTCCAATGTCAGTACACATTGATGTGGGATGCTCTGGGTTTGCAGTCAGCAGAGGGACGCTACACACATGTTATTAAAGGCAGGTATATGACATGTATTACCGTTTCAGCTAATCAGAGCTACTCCTTACAGCAACAAGACTAATTCTTATTTGAGTCTCTCATATTGGTTAACAAGTCTATCACACTAAAGCTTCAGAAATAGATATGTTTAACCATTTAATGGGAGGATAATAAAAAAAAAAAATACACAGGATGTGTGTTTTGGGATATCTCGCTATATGGTTTTAGTTAAAGAATCCTCCAGGGAAGGTATATATTTTTTATCTTGCTACATTTACATTTGTTATAGAAAAACCCATAGATAACGGCAGCCAGGAGGTGCCGAAACGTTGGGGGGTGTTAGGGGCTCCTGTTTCTGCCAGAACAGGCTTGTGGAAATTGTGGTAATTATTATTGTTTACTTTATTTGCCTTATTCTTGTCACTTTATTTGGTGCTTCATGTTTGTTATACCTTTTATGGTTTAATAAAGCATTTTTCTAGTTATTCTAGTATGTAAGCTCTTTTTATAGTATTTGTTATAGAAACATAACCTGTGGTTTATATCAGGTGAAGTCACAGGGATCAGATGTGACACATCTACCCATCCAGAAACTATGCTTAGTTTAGAGAAACCTTACCAACATACAGAGGATGCAGTCACCACTAAAATTTGAAATTTGAGATGGGGTACACTGGCGTTGTGGCAGGCTTATGCAATGTATGATCATATACTGTAACTAAACCCCCATTAATTTTTAGCCTAGATTAGGTGTTTTTAATAAAACTAAAAATTGTTCAGCACTAAAATGACTGTTTAGTAGATAAGAGAGTGCGCTGGATTTTCATTTTTACAAAAATTTGAAAGGGACAGTATTTACTTCCTGGAATATTTGGGTAAAGCTGCAGATCTTAAAATCTGACAATGTTCCACATAGAACTTTTCAAACAAGGCAGATAGACTGTCCTAAAAATTGGATTAAATATATTTGCATCTCACTGACCTGCCCAAAGACTGATATTTTATTTCATGCAGTAAGAATTTCCTACTTAATGACATTGTACGATGATTACGTCTTGCAACGCATTAGGCAAATATGCATAAGTGTATTTTTACAGTACTGTTTATGAAATAATTATTACACTGTTCTTTACAATACTAATATTCTCTTAGAATTGTGGGTGTCCGCAGTGGAGATATGCACGTCTGAAACTTTTGTTTTGGTTTGTTGCTTTTCGAATTTCGGTTGTCCGAATCCTTGATTTGATATTGGTGGATAGGCTTTCCAAATGATTTAAAAATTTTGGATAAAGTTAAAAAAAAAAAATAATCAAATATCAAAAAAAATTATCTTACATATAAAACATAGCAAAAACTTTCAATATATTACAAAATTGAAATATTTATTATTATATGAAATAATTTTAAAAGTTTATCCAACAATATTAAATTGAGGCTGAAATTTAGAAATGATCAATTTGGACCTAAATAAAATTCAGACACCATTATTCAAAAGTATACCACATTAGAGTACTGTTTAGCGGAGAGCTCCCTAATTTGATATTCTTACAAATAGTAATTCCACACAAGGGTACCAAATTAAGGAGCTATATACTAAAAAACAGCCTAATTTCTTTTGATCTTTCAGCTGTTTATTAGATAGTTCCCTAATTTTGTATCCCTATGTGCAATTGCCATATTTAAGGGTACCAAATTAGGAACTTATCTACTAAAACAGCAAAATTAAGGGATACTCCACTGCTTAAATAATAAATACATAATCACTATTTAGTGCATATACCACAAATTAAAAATGTCTGCATTTATTTATGCATTTTATCAAATCTGCAAGTGCGTGCATTCTTAGCTGGCGAGGAGAAGGAGTTTGGGAGGCAAATAAAAAAATTAAAAAAGTAAACAGCCTAAGTAAAATGGGAGAGACTGTACAATTGGAGAGATGGATGGGATAGAAAACCTCCCCTTGTAGGCGCCCCGCCTGCAAGAGAGAACATTAATAGGTCTGTTGCCAGTGGACTGACGTAAAATATGCACAGTATCGACATTCAGGTCTGCCAAAGTCACAAGTGCCGGGAGTGTAGCTCGCCCCCGGCACACAAGTGCAAATATCTCTGGATGCACAGTGTTCCAAGCAGAAACATGGCACATCCAGGCTCCTACCACCTGAAGAGAGTATACTGGTTGGAGTAACCCTTTAAAGTCTGGATTTAATAAGCTTTTAATAAACCCCTACCTCTTGTACCCCTGTGCCTGCTTAGCCTCACCTTATTCCATGTAGCGTGGACAAGCAGGTGGAGCACTTCCTGCCAGACTGGGTAGGGGAACAGAAACTCCTCTACCGCAGTCCACCTACTCGGCTACGCTACATGAAGTGACCGGCAGGAGGGTAGTGCTGTGCTATGTGCTTTCCTTGCTGTCAAACAAAGAAGCGCGACTTAGACTGTGTGGCACCACGCAGTTTGGAAAGCTGTGCCTTAAAGGGTTAATCAAACTATCATGATCACTTAGTGTTTAATGGGTTCTATTTAACAGCTAGGATTGTCTCTTTCATAAGTTGACAAATAATATTATTCCATTTTCACTATTTTCCTCAGAGAGAAACTCCATTAAAGCAATGGTGGATAACTTTTAAAAAAAAATGCATGATTTTTTTTTCTCTGTACATTTGCAGACTTAAATAAATGCTACAAGGAACAGCCATATTTCAACCCAAGTAAACCAAAAATGGGTATAGTTTAAGTGCTTTAATTTACTCACTACAAAGTTTAATCTAGTGAATTCAAAGTGAACTCTTGACAATTTAGAAGAATGAAGACTTCAATATTACTAATTCAACATTGAAGACGTGGTAAAAAAAAGTGTATTGTTTATTTTAAATAAACGTAAAGCTGACTAATATTACCATTAATTTTCTGTTACAGGTGAAAGGTATGGAATAAGTGGAAGTTATAAATTATTCTCAAAAGCAACAGAAAGAGCACAGCAATATCAACATCATCAGCATGTGTGTGTATACTTTGTTTGTCTGGATGTTCACACTTACAGGTAATAATGCCTGTTTAGTTTAATGACTAGTTAGATAATGGATTCCTCAAAGCTGATTTCTAATTTTTTTACTTTTACCTAATACCAGTCTAGTACTTCCAATTATACATGGAACTCTGATATTATGCTAATTGGGGTAGAGCAATCAAAATGAACATGCAGGTCACTTGTATTTGTGTAACATTATTGGCCACTAACCAGTAGCATCACGTATACAGTATGTTGGGTTCAGGGGTCAAAAAAATGGACGTTGCGACCCATATGTGCAGTTGTGCATAAATGAACGTGTCCCTAACAGATAAGTATCAAAATGCAGCGGTTTTCTCTCATTTTTTGGCAAATCCAGGCACCTACACATATAGTAACACATGTGGATTAGGTTTAGGTGTGGGCAGATTAACTGTGATTGCCTGCGGTAGCTAAAGGTGTGAGCTCACTGGTAGTTCTCGCTGATCTTTGATCATGGACTGTTGTTGGGTTAAGAACATTAGCCTAATAAAAGGGGAGGTAGACTGATTATTATTTATATCACGCCTACCCTTCATTCTCATTCAATCCAATATTACATTGACTCTTCTTATTCGTCCAATACAATGCTCCTCAGGAAGACAGCCATTAGAGCTATATTTAACCATGCAATGTAAGAATGATGTATTTACTAAATGGCAATGCTTTACTTTGCAGGGTTAAAACTAAAGTACCACTGTATTATTTCATGGAGATGAAGTAGTCTGGGTGCCTTTAGTGGCCCTTTAATTGTTGGTATACATTTTTATATGTTTTAATATGTTAATGTTTGAAGTTTTGCTACAGAAGAAGGGCCATTGCCCTTCAAAATGTTATAATATAGGATGCATGCAAAATACTGAATATTAAAGTTTTAAAATTAATAACATTATTACATAATGATGTACGGAACCAAAACCCATAAAATAAATAAATACGATTCAAAAAACTTTTTTGTTTATTCAATCCACTGTGTCCAGCTGATATTTTAGTGGTAATATACGTAATGTGTAGCTGTGTAGGTTCATGTCATAACACACAATCATTAACAAAAAGAGATTAAGACCCTTTACAGCCACTTAATTGATTAAGTTGTTAAATTTACTATCTGTGACTTTTAAATCATAATGATGCTTTCAGTGAGTTTCATTTTGGATTTTAAATATAAAAGCAAAACAGAAATAACACTCTAAGACTTATTATTCAAAATTAAAACTTTTGTCTTTTTTTACAGGCTACCTTTGTGAACAGTGCAGAGAAGGTGCCACTTTCACTGATGCAGCTATATCTCCCAATTTACAAAGCACACACATTATGAGAGTGCCTAATGCCAGGACTATGTCAGACTGCACTATTGCCTGCTGTAACCAGTCAGGCTGTGATGTCTCCTGGATGTTGGGTAGACGATGCTATATTGTGAACTGCCAACATAAAGACAGTTGTGAACCTCAGAAGGTTGAGCACATGAAATCATACTTAACTTTTGTATTAAGACCTTCTCCAAGATTTATTCCCTTGCCTCTCTATGGAAATTTTTTGCCCAGCAGAGAATACCCATTAGGAGTGCACGAGGACTCTGATGAGGATGTGGCACATCTTAAAGATCTCTCTTTTGTAAATAAGGATCCCAGCATTGAGGAGCAAGATGCATATTCAGATGATTACAGTGACCCTAGGTTGGATTTTCTTCACCTAAGTGCTAAAGCAGACCAGAAAGTGAGTCCTGATGTGGACTATTTAGGTTGGTTTTTCCCAGACACAGAGAAAAACTCCTCAGCTGTGGAAGTTGGCAGGCGCAATGAGGATACTTTTGATCAAGAAAAGCAAGAGCCGACATCGAGCAACGTAATACTTCAAAATGTGTCAATGACAGTGTCGGAAGACCACATTATTCCTACAACACAACCAGCTAGGACTGTATCCCTGGCAATGGAAGCAAATGACAACTTTCTAAGGGAGGTACAGTGTTATCCCATATTCTTCATACACTAGTAGTGTTGGTAGGCTTGAAATGTTTGGCCAAAGTAGTTGAAAGATTTTAAAATCCAATGCTAGTAATCATTATTTTTTTTAGGGATCTTTCTATAGGGAGTTTCTTTTAATTCAACCAGTTAACTCTGACTGCATTTTGTTCACCCTGGGATAGTCACACAAGATAATCCTCTTAAAGGGACACATTAGGCACCATAACAATTTCATCACAATTAAGTTGTTATGTTGCAAGGAGGTCCTGGACTCCGGCTTACCTGGAGGGGTTAAACCATAAATTAATGGTTTAAATCCAAAGTCGTCAATCAAGAGCCCAATTGCTATGCCCTTGCACTTTGGCACACATCCCATTGAGAAAACAGAGGAAAAGAAAGATACATACCTTTTCCACTTTATTTTCTCAATGGGGAGCTACTGATAGGCTGAGAGCATCAGATGGCACTCACAGCTTATCCACAGTGTCTTCTTTGAGGCTTCCTGATTGGAGCTTCGAACATTGAGTAGCTCTGTACGGGCAGAGTTATGGGTTGCAGACTTAAAGACCAGTAAAGTACTCTTGTTTAGTGTTTGTTTTTATTGTTAATGGCTTGTAAATGAAACTGAAGCTGATATTGTATCTTTGATACTTGCTACATGTATTAACTATGTTTATTTATTGATAGCTTTCAACTCCATTGCCCACTTCTTCAAATGAGGACAAACAGGCTGTAACAGTTGTCGATAAGACTCAAATCCACCCAACTTCGGAATTGCTGCCGGAGCATCAAACAGTTTCAAACAATGTTATCCATTCTACCACATCGATTGCAAGCAACATTCCTATCAGATCATGTGAGTATCCTTTATATAATAATTGTTTTTAAAAATATGTAATTTGTTATCAACATGGTGCTTGATTTAAGAGTGAAAATTATGTTCCATACTAAACTAAAGATAATATTGCATATTTATCAATGAAATACGGACGCTGTTATGGAATGAAAGTGCTAAATGTTAAGATACATTGTGTAGGTTTCCATGGTGATTGCACAATATTTAGCACCTTGCCCCAGAATACCTTGATCAATATTTACCATGTGTGTTTCCATTTCTGACAATATTTTGTCTTTGAGTAAGCACGGAAATGCAATTCTTGTTTTAACCTTTTCTTCTGGTTCATTGCAGCAGACTGTCCAGTTAATCATTAATTGTTTTTTACTTCAAAGGACTGGCATTTTTAAAATACAGCATGACATGATTATAAATAACACATTAAACTGATGCTGGTTTTGGTGGTATTAGTTTTCAAATATTGTGCCTTGTGCCACCTTCTCAGTGACAGAAATAAATTGATCTGTCATGTTCCCCGTGTTACACCTTACTTTAATATGCTTAATTAGCGTCTAGTGGTATCAGCACTCATGTGGAGCAGAGTTTAGACAAGAAGAAGAGGATCAGGCTACATACAAAGGAACAATGATCCTCTACAGTATTAGTTTTAGGGGCGAGTAAGGCACCTTTGATGTTTAAAAATAAATATGTTTGTATACATATAAAAGCAGAGGAGTCATTAGCAGTCCCGTTTTTTTGTGATTTCGGAATCAATTCTGAGATTATTATCTGGGCAGCTGCACAAATAACCTTTCAGTGTAATAATTTATTTTACATACAAACAGTGAATTATTGAGAATTCAAAGCAAATTTCCAGTTAGGTATGAGCATGCACTATGACTGGTTCAACACCCTACTTGATTAAAACACAGGCTTGTACTGGTTCATCAAAATAAAACTGTACTGGCCTCTGTTCTTTTTTTATTTTTTATTTTTTTTTTAAATTTCGTTTTATTAAAGTGTTTGCGAGGTGAATAATTCGCATTGAGGTTATGAGCAGTGCGAAACACGCAGGTTTCAATCAGTTAGAATCTCGTTTGAGGTCTTGAGATGCGCAGATCTCTGAGGGTGCAAAAGTGGTTGAGACTCGCAGGTCTCCGGACATAATAAGTTTCTATTTACTATAGTCACTTAGCATGTTGTAGATTGATTAATTACAGTCTGTCAGGTGTGTTAGCTATGGTCCTGTGGTTGAGATCGCTCACTTTGCGTTATGATATTATTTGTGGTTATAGGTCTTGTCGTTCGCTTATCCTTGCAGATTGTAAGCGTCTCTCAGTCTTTAATGTCGTTCGTCTGTAATGTGTCTAGAGTGTGGATGATGGGATGGGTGGGGGGTGGTCGGTGAGCATGTCGTGTCTTTCAGTCACCTTCTTCCCGCCTGTATCTTCTATGGCCCCGTCTCACGATGCCGATTGGCATGCGTGTGGGGTTGTGGGGGGGTGTCCTTGTGTCTTTGTGTAGTCCAGTTTAGGGTTTGGTCCCTAGTGTGGCCTCTGTTCTGACCAAAAAAGGGAGTTAAGACATGAACGGTGCATCGTCGCCATATGGGTGGGCAGAATTAACCCCACTTACCTAACCCAATAAGACACTAAAGGTATATGCGTCAATTTGTCCACAGCTTTTATTAATAATATTCATAATAAATTAACATTGAATAAAGTCATTGCCCCTAACCGCGCCATTCCACATACGTATCCATAAACTTATAAAAGGCAATGACACATATCTGAACACATAAAACATATAACAATATGAAACATAGATAAGTAAAGTCCCTATGTCTTAAATAACAATGGTAGGGGTATACCCGGATACCCCTACACCCAACAGGTTCTGAGCCACGACAAGCTGGAAACCTACCAAACTTACCAGGAACCATATTAACCGCTTCTATACCAGCACAAAGAAGAGCATATTTTCCTAACCTTCAGCTCAGCTTCAGCTATCCCGCCACTGTGACAGAACGGGACAACCCAGAAAACCAACCCAGGGAGGGACAAACTCAGCCAAGTAGGCAGATTAAAAGTGATTATATATAAAATGTCTGCCTATTTAATTAACTTAACCCCTTAACTATTAACCTTCCAATTCCTGACTCAGAGTGCTCTGATTGGTTGGTTTAAGCCAACCAATAAGAGTGCTCTGATAAGTAAATAGTGAGCCTTACCTGATTGGTTACCTGTAGGACTCACTGTTTTTTTCGCCAAAAAGTTTTATTAAGATTTTGAAAAGAGGTACAGATGTTAAAAAAACAGTGCAATACATCAGCAATGACAGTTACATCGATTATGAACATACACTAGTGTGTCTTATGGTTGCAATCAAACAATTGTGTGATCTTTATATACTAATGTAGTTATCTCTTTACCACTGGACTGGGATGTTCAGGTGAAACCCCCCCCTTTTTTTTGTATGTGTGAACTAAAACCTTAAAGGGACACTCCAGGCACCCAGACCACTTCTGCCCATTGGAGTGGTCTGGGTGCCAACTCCCACCACCCTTAACCCTGCAAGGGTAATTATTGCAGTTTTTCTAAACTGCAATAATTACTTTGCAGGCTTAAGTACTCCTCTAGTGGCTGTCTATCAGTGTTTATGGAGGATTTGTGGGTAAGTTCAAATATCTTTCTCGACCCAGCAGCCGTCAGGGATATATCGAGTTCCCTTTCCCAGCTAGTGGTATATATCAGGACCTGTTTCGGTTGAGTACTTTGCCGTATAGAATACATAGTGGATACCTGTTTCTTCTTCAGTGTGTGTTGGGAACATAGATGTTCAAAGTTGGAAAGTGCGCATTTACCCCTGTGAATGTATTGTCCTTTGTGTTTGATGGAATTGATGCAATGCTGAGTGTGTCCTGTCTGGTAAGAGTTTGTCTAATGACTTGACCCCTGAATCATCAAGGAATGTACCCAGGGGGTTGTTTGTATGGGGACTATGAAGAAATAGTCTTCCAGGGCAACCCATTGCTTGTCAGTATGTGCACTAGACCAGTCGTAGATTCTGGCCAGCAATATGGCGTTATGGTACAGTTCTACGCTAGGTATACCCATGCCCCTTTCCCCCTTTGGTCTCATAAGTAAGCTATAGGATAATCTCGGATGCCTGTGAGACCATATTAAGGAAGTGAATAGTTTGCGGATTGTGGTGAAAAACGATTCTGGGAGAAGTGCCTTAAAACCCATCTCTTTAGGAAAGCTTATGGCATCCCAGAGTAACCTCTACCTTACATACCTGTCTCTTGCTCTCTCCTAAAGGGCAGCACTCTACTCTTACCTCCAGCTCTGCTTCACCCCCACCTTATTTGATTGCTATTTCCTGTTCTAATACCCCACCTCCTGTAGACTGTAAGCTCGTTCTAGAAGGGTCCTCCTTAACCTATCGTTCCTGTAAGTCTTCTTGTAATTGTCCTATTTATAGTTAAATCTTCCCTTTTATTATATTGTAAAGCGCTACGGAATCTGTTGGTGCTATATAAATGGCGATAATAATAATTGTCTCCCCCCTCGCTATATTTAGGGTGAGGGGGGTAGGAAGGGCTTTATTTGATTTTATTTGGGGGTCTTGGAAACCCTAGTCAACTGGGGGGGTATTTTTACATTTAGGCCCCACCCGTCACTCATCAGTGGGGATCAGGGGGGGAGGACAATAGGTCCCCCCCCCATTTTATTTAGCTCCCCTCCACCAGCCATTCATGAGGGGGGACCTGGGGGGAAGACAATAGGTCTCCCCCATTTTCATTTATCATTTAGGGCCCCCACCCGACGCTCATGAGTGGGGGTTGGGGGGACGACAATAGGTTTCCCCCATTGTCTTTTAGGGCCCCTACACGCCGCTTATGGGTGGGGGTCAGGGGGAGGACAATAGTTCCCCCCCCCCATTTTCATTTAGGGCCCCCAACTGCCGCTCATGGGTGGGGGCCGGGGGGGAGGACAATAGGTCCCCCCATTGTCCTTTAGAGCCCCCACCTGCCGTTCATGTACGTTTAGTTGAATAGACCCCACTATTAATTACTAATACTAAGTAAGCTTTACTTGGTATTAGTAAAGTTTTCTGAAAGACCAATCTTAGTCTTTCAGCCTTTTGGTAGATAGCTCCCTAATACCGTGGGTGCAGCCGCATCACGGATCGGATCGGAATTTCATTCATTTGAATGAAATTGCGAACCGAACTAAAAGTACAGAATGTCGTCCCAACATGAATAAACAAACTGTTCTCATTCTGTTAGGGTGAAATTCGATAGTTCGCCAGCGTTCTATTTAAATAACAGGACGTTCGTGAATAGTGAAAGGAGGCATTGCGAGATCATGGAGAAAAGGTGAGAATTGTGGGAAATTGACCATAGGAAATGGAGCACACTTTGCTCCTCCGCAAAGCGGTCATAGCTGGTCAAGCATAGGAAATATACAGAGGACAAAGCAGTCCCTACTTTGTCTTATTTTTTTAAAGAAAACTAGAGCAGACAGGAAGAAACGAAGAACAGATCCTGAGAGAGGAAGAGAAGAGGAAGCGAGTAGGGAAAGGTAAGTTCGGCGTGGCAGTGCAGCTTTAATTGCACAAATTGCTATTATTAAATCACATAAAATGTCTCAGAACATCCCACACCTGGCCTCACCCCAACCCTAAAATTAAAATGTCCCCATTTGAAATGTTGGGACAAAAGATGTTATGTGCATGACGGAGTTCTCCACTAAGGAGTTAGATGTTAATAAGTAGTAAAACAACTTTTTGAACCAGATTTTTTAAATAGGTATTTAAATTCTAAGTATTCACGGACATTATCTCATGAGTTAAAGGATCATATGGAGGACCTGACCTGTTAGAGGGAGATGACACTGATCATGGTTCTATAGTCCTTTGTAAAAACAGAAGTTTAACGTTACAGAGGTAGCTGAAGAAGAAGAGATAGGAAAATAAGAACAAAAATAAATCTTTATCTTTTATGGAATATTTTGTACATTAAATAATTACTTAGTCATTTCATGCAGTATAATCTTGACTATCTATCTTTTTAATTGCAGTGCAAATTCTTTCAGTGTCTACTGGAGACAGCATTCAAGTGCTTCTGCCGAAAAATGAACTACAGCTTAATGTCTATGTGACGCCTGAATCACCGGCAGGTATTTCGCAACCCCAGCTAATGCATCTGAGTACAGGTGGATAAATCTGTATAGAGACCAATTAATAATGAAATAAAAAACAGTTGTCGTTGAAAAAAGAAAACTTGTGTTTTACTGGCACAATATAACACCATTTGTGTCATATAAAGCTATGATTTCTCTATTTTCAACAGAGAGGCCTTACCAGTTTGAATGGAGTTTATTAAATCAGCCTAAAGATTTCAAAGGAGAGCTGGAAATGAAGCATACAAGAACTCCAAAGCTGTCCACAGTAAGTGAGAAAGTGATCATCCCAGTCAGTGGCGTACACACAACCCATGGGGCCCGGTCGAAAACTGATCCGTTCCCCGGGCGGAACACATGGCGCGGGCACCTGGACCACTACAGATACTCAGATCACATCAGCTCAATGAAGTGGTCTGGGTGCCAGGTCCCTCTAGTTTTAACCATGTAGCAGAAAACATAGCAGTTTCAGAGAAACTGCTATGTTTCACTGAGGGTTAATCCAGCCTCTTGTGGCTGTCTCATTGACAGCCGCTAGAGGAGCTTCCGCAATTCTCACTGTGAAAATCACAGTGAGAAGACGCTGAACGTCCATAGGAAAGCATTGAGTAGTGCTTTCCTATGGGCGGTTTGAATGCGCGTGCGGCTCTTGCCGCGCATGCGCATTCGGAGCTGAGAGGCGGATCAGGGCGGAGGGATCCCCAGCGCCAAGGGAGTCCGGCGCTGGAGAAAGGTAAGTGCTGAAGACACACACACACTCTCACGAACAGATGTATACACACTAGCTAACAGACACACACACTCTCATGAACAGACGCATACACACTAGCTAACAGACACACACATTTACTGACAGACACACACTCAGTGACAGACATACATACATACACACTCACTGACAGACAGACACATACACACTCACTTACAAAACACACACTCACTAACAGACACCAGACTCACTAACAGACGCACACAAACTAACACACTCAGTAACACACACACAGTAACACACACTAACACACACTGACACAAAAACTAACACTAACACACACACACTCTAACACACCCACACACACTCTAACACTAACACACACACTCTAACACTAACACACTAACACACACAAAAACTAGCACTAACACACACACACACACACACACACTCACTCTAACACTAACACACACACTCTAACACTAACACACACACAAAAACTAACACTAACACAAACGTTTTTAAAAAAAAATTTAATCCCCCAGCCTCCCTACCTTAGGGAGTGCTGAGGCGATTCTCTGGGGTCCAGTGGGGCTGCCCAGGGGCCGGTCCTGCGTGCTGGCGGGCGCGCGAGGGAACACTCTCCCCTGAGTGCTTCTTCTTCAGCTCCCTTGCGCGCCGCGTACTGATGCCGGAGCCGGAAGATGATGTCATCTTCCGGCTCCTGCATCAGTACGCGGTGCGCGAGGGAGCTGAAGAGGAAGCACTCAGGGGAGAGTGCTCCCTCGCACGCCCGCCAGCCAGCCCGCTGGGTGATACCAGGGCCTGCTTCGGGGGGCCCTGAGGTGGCCGGCTCTTGGGCCCCCCAGGAGCAGAGGCTGGCCACAGTGGGTACATACCGGGTCGCAGGGCGACCCCGGTGTGTACTCCACTGATCCCAGTATCCCAGGTCATCACAATATATGCTAGCTGTTTAGTTTCCATATGTTATGTACTTGGCCTGTAGGTTTTCACATTTTGGGTATAATTCATTTTTTTTTTTCAGTAAACAAAGAATTTGAGAATTATCAAGAGAATCATACAACCTAACCAGCTGATTTTCCAGCTCGGCTAATTTGGCCTACAGATTTTAATTTCCGTTTCAGTTTTCCTTTACAATTCCTGTTTTCATGGATGTACCGTGTGAATCCAAAAAATTAAGGTTTTTTTGCATTGAACTTTTCAGTTGCTAAAATGGGCTGAATAGAACTTTCGTTATTTAGTTTAGTTTTTTTAATAAATAATTATTAAGTACCTATTATTATTTTGTCTTACATGACGCTATAATGACATTATAATTAAGGGAGACCTTCTCTATTTTTCTGTATTAATGTCCCTCTTTACTAGGAGCTCCATACTGGTTGTGTATATGAGTGTATAACAGAGTTTCACAGTAACATGACTTCAAACTATAATAAATATGTTTAGAAATCAGTTTGTTTAAATAAGATATGCATGGGGTGTGCTGCTCATGAGAGGGCCGTCTGCTCCAAAAAAGGGGTGAGCCCAACATCTGACAAGCATCCTGGCTGGCCCACAGCTGTCAGGACTATGCAGTCAGCTCTTTTGAAGCGCCCCCTGCATGGTCCTTGTGCCCGCTGCACAGTACGAGCGCATCACAGTGCAAGCACGTCAGTTGGGGGGCATGGATATGTTCTTGTTGTAAACACTAGTTTAATACAAAAACTATTATTTAGTCACCTAAAGTAAGTGCTTTCACACTTATTTGCTTGCAGTGAAGCCCGTCCCCATGTAGGGGCTATCAGAGAGGATTGGCCTGCTTGGGAAAGTAAACAGAAAAAAGATTAAGAGTGGAGCAGTATTTTTCCATATGTTTAGATGATATGTCCCCAAAACAAATAAATACACTATATACAGGTGAAGGCAATAGTAGAAAGTGTATTGGCAAAGTGTCCCTAGCAGGACCAGGTGAAACAGAGGCAGCAGAGACTGTTTGGTAATACGACATTGTAAAACCCACTGATCTCAGAGAATGGTGTTACTGAAATGAGGGGCAATAGATTAGTTCTAATGTAACAGGTCTTAAAGCATATATATATATAGTTTATTACTATGATAAATGATCTATTTACTGGCCTGCGAGCTGTTATATGTTAAAGTGAACCTGGCGTGACAAGTTCACTTGAAATGAACATCACTGTATAAAAATTTGAATTTCCACAGATTTTATATATATATATATCTATATAAGTTCTGTATGTCTCCTCAGACAGACAGACAGACATAGAGAAACAGGCAGAGATAGACAGACAGACAGATAGATAGATAGATAGATAGATAATAGATATTAGCTATCTGTAAAGAGCATTTTCTGGTTACTCCTTGCCATCAATGCATCTTCTGCATCATATTTACTATTTTAAATAATTTTCACTTGAGGGTACACATGATCCTTTGCTTTTTTAGTTACCTGTTGGACTGTATTTGCTGAGAGTGGCTGTGTCAAATGAAACTGCTTACGGAGAAGGATTTCTCAATATAACTGTAAAACCAGGTAACTACATGTATTGCATGTCCAGGACATTGTAATCATTTAATATTATGCGTATTTAGTTATAAAACCATTTGCATTATTTAACACTGATTTTTCAGGTTTGTGCCTTTGAGAAATTCAAATAGAGACACGTTCCTTCACAAGTTGGTGTAATGATGCGTTTGGTGTATATTGTGATATTTTAATGCATTAATAAAAAGTAACAGCTTTGCTATTAAATTTCACGCTACACCCACCGTTTACTAAAATGGACTCAAGCTGCTTATACACTCATATGTTTATTCACTAAAGTGAGAATTCAAAGTGAATTTTATATTTAAGAACAAAGTAGCTGAACTGTAAACATAGTTGGATTTCTCCAGTTCAGCTATTTTGGCCTTAAATTTGAATTCTTACTTTAGTGACTAACTCTGCTAGTGTCTACAGTATTTGGTACAACTGCTCATTCTCCAGATAGCCAAATATTGTGTCTTATGGCTAAAATCCGTTAAGTACGCAGGCACGGCCAGGCAGATTAGATTTATTTTTTGGGGTTAAAATATTAGAATGGGGAATATGTGTTATCGAAGCAACTTTGTCAATGGAATGATTGCTGGTGTGAGGCGTGGTGGATCAAGCAACACAGAAATACCTGGCACTTTGGCATTTTAATGCGCTGCAGTTTCTAACATTTACAGAGAACTGTGCAAAAAAAGGACTGTAATCAGTGAGTGTCACTTTTGTGACAAATACACCTTGTTAACCCCTTAAAAATGCATGACGGAATTATCCCATCATAAATGTCTTTCCCTTGCACCCATGACGGAATATTTCCATCATCTGGTATTTAACCAGCAGGGTTTCTCTCTGTCAGTGAGGGACAATTTTAGTGGCCCCACACTGACACATGAGCTGCGTGCAGTGCTCAAAGTGATTGCGGCATGCATCAATTAATATGGGGACTTAAATCCCCATAGATAGGAATGCAGTTTGAGCAGGGTTAAATCGCTGCTCATACTTGGGAGACTGAAGTATCAATCGATAAGTTAGACTCCCCTCTGTTAGCTGGGGTCACAATTAGTGGCGCCAAACTGACCGATGAGCTGCATACAGTGTTCAGAGGGATTCTCCGTGAAGAGCTTGTGTGTGGTAGACCCCTAGGGTCTCCCTGCATGCCCCAATGCCCAGTTGTCCAACACCAATCATAGTATGAATGCATTGTATTTTTTCAGTGTGACAGGTGTCTGTCATGCTGAATATAGCCAGCAGAGGGTGGCAATATACCAATTTCTACTGTTGTAGGTTAGAATTCCCGTTTCTAATATCAGTGCTGATATTAACAGAGGGAAACCCTTGGGATTAGGATTAGATTAAGGATTAGCATTAAGTTTAGGATTAGTATGAGTTTTCGAAGTAGGTTTAGGACTGAGGTTCTGATAAGAACTAGGATTATGACTGAAAATAAGCAAGAAAATTCCAGCAGTGTGAATCCTTCTAAAACTATTGTTAGGGTTAGTATCGAAGTTAGAATTGGAATTAATGTTAGGATTAGGGTTCAAGTTAGGAATTAGGGTGAGGTTTATGATTAGGATTACATTTAGGATTAAGATTTGGTTTACACTTAGTGTTTGGTTTAGAATTAGGAATAGTATTAAGACTGTTACTTTGTAAAGGTATAAGTATGAAGTATTGCTGTACTCAGGAGATGTTGCTGAGTACAGTTCGAATAATTTTATTACAGTGGCACACATAAATAAGTAGCAAAGTTACGTGTATGTAAACATTCAAGATTTAATAAAACAAACTTTGAAAAAAAATGGGGGGAAAAGGGCACCTCAATGAAGCTCAAAATATATTATGTGATGGGGCCATATTCTACTGCTCCTGGATAAAAATACCTAATCTGGCTATATATAGGAGCATGTCTAATCATCCAAAATCAGGAGTGCCAGATTTAGCTGGGGGACTACCTAAGGATTCTATCGATGACTTTCTTTTACAGATCACATGCCAATTTGCCACGCAAACCTTGACGGAGCTTAAGGCCTGGATGGCTTCGGATTGCAGTTGCTTACTTGGGAGTGTTTGCAGACTTTAGCACATACTTACCTCCCTGCATGAGGAATCCAGCCTACATGGAGATCGGATGCAAAACACAGAAGATGCCTGCTGCAGCACCAGCTGCGTAAATGTACACCATGTACCAAGATGGTGGACCTCGCAGAACTGGAGGCCTCCACTGACCTGAAGGATGAGGCATATTCATACTAGTTCATAGGAATACTGGGCTCAATCCTTCCACCTTGGGCACCCTCATTGAGACTCAGGGTGGTGGCCCTTGCTACTAAACAAGATATCTCAAACTTATATGAAAACATTCTTGACGAAAGCCACTTCGCCACTGGGCTTTGGAGAGGACTACTTGCCAGCCTTTTACCCTGTGACTATGGCCCTTTAATTTATTTTGGCTGAGAGACCCTAATTGTGCCCATCGGGACTTTAAACATTGGTTCTTCGAACTCCTGAACAGTCGAAGTTCGCATGGGCTAAAACCGCGAACAGACTTCAGGGGGACCTAGCCGCGAATGCCCTGGAATTATTTTCACCTGAAAACCTTGCGGTTCCCGGTTGGTCCTCCAGCCGCGATTCTATGGAACTGTTTTGGGCATGAAATCCTGTGTTCGCCTGGGCAAAACTATGACTTTCATAGAATTTCTGACCCCCTGATCTGATCTGGGTGATTTGTGGATATGTTGTTCACCTAGATCAGGGCTATCAGGGGATGCTATGTGCTTTGGGGTACTTTTGGGACTTTTTAGAAATGTGTGTTTTTTTGTGTTTGGAGATAATTGAGTTTAGTATATTGCTTGATTCAATTATCTCCAAATTAAAGGGGAAGGCTTATTGTATTGCATGTGGGAGTGTCATACATTGTAAACGTATTATCATTGATTTGTAAGTTTGTGTCCCTGTCCCCAACAAGGTCGATGTGGATTTTATGGGGATATGTTGTGTTTATTGGACTTTGTAAAATGTGTGTTGCCTGTGGATAATTAAAGGATCACTATAGGGTCAGGAACACAAACATGTATTCCGGACCCTATAGTGTTAAAACCACCATCTAGCCCCCCTGGGCCCCGCATGCCTCCATAAATATAGTAAAAATCTTACTGTATTCAAGCCTGAAGCGGTAGATCTGAATGCTGTTAGACTCACAAAAACAAGAAGTCTGCTGACATCATCAGAAGTGGTAGCCTGATCCAATCACAATGCTTCCCCATAGGATTGGCTGAGCCAGCATGATTCAAACACAGCCCTGGCCAATCAGCATCTGCTCATAGAGATGAATTGAATCAATGAATCTCTATGAGGAAAGTTCAGTGTCTGCATGCAGAGGGAGGAGACACTGAATGTTTGGATGCATTTTAGGCAGCCATGACCCAGGAAGGATCTGTAACAGCTATCTGAGGAGTGGCCAGTGAAGTTATCACTAGGCTGTAATGTAAACACTGCATTTTCTCTGAAAAGACAGTGTTTACAGCAAAAAGCCTGAAGGTAATGATTCTACTCGCCAGAACAAATTCAATAAGCTGCAGTTGTTCTGGTGACTATAGTGTCCCTTTAAGTTAATGTATTAACTACCTTAATTATATCCCATGCAGAGGGGAGGGTTTGTTTACTGTATGTGGGAGTGTTGTACTGTTAATTACTGTTTTCATTGGTTTATGTCCCTTGTGTCCCAGTTCCCCATCAGGTCCAGTGGGTGTGCCTCTGGCCTGAAAAATTGTATAAAAATCCAACCTGTACCAGTAAACTCTCAGACCTTCTTACAGTCAACTCGCAGCCTCGTCTCGTGTTGTAGGGAACTGCTATATCACTACAAGGGATTGCTATGATCATTATACTCCCTTGGATAATCACTAGCTCTTGTAAGAGCTGTTCCTGCTACGCTCTCTGAAGGTAGAGCGTTCCCTCCACTGGAGCCTTGTCATAGGTCCAGGGTGGGTAGGAGACGGTGAGACCCCAACCAAGCTGCGGCGGTTCGTGGGGTCAGTGCTTATGGTGTCTGGTGCGGTGCTGATGGTCCTTGGTGAGCAATAGGAGCATCGATTGACGGAGGGTCCGTCACAACACTCAGAAACCATTTGATGCAACATGAAAAACAGAAACTCCAAGCGGCAACTGACCATAAGCAGGGTCTATTAGCTCTGAAGGAAACCGTACAACAGTTACAAGTTTCACACTCCAAACTTACTCTAAGAGTGTACTGGAGTCAGAGGAAAACTTAGAGGGATATCGGATGCAGTGACCCCAGAAGAACTCCCCCATTTTCGTATACGACTAATGGCTCAGTGATGTCAATTAAACAAGTTAAATTAATAACATTAGACAATGCCTACCGAATTGCCAGGTCTCCTGAGCACCAGCAGCCTCCCCAAGAGACATTATACTTTGATGTCAATACTATGCAAATAAGCAAAAGCTAATGAGATTCTCCAGGATATGACACCTCTTGAATTTGAATCGTATCATTTCACCTTCTTCCAAGACCTCAATCGCTCCACACTGCTATGGCGGAAGTCTTGCCATAGACTTGCATTGGCGGTCTGCAAGGAGAAAAAGATCTATAAGGCCACATTCCCTCAAGAAGCTTCCACTTTTCTTACAGCTCTTGACTTGGAAGAATCATCTCAAGCAGTACCAGGACCTTTGCTTAACCGTACCTGAAATATCCCAAATGTGCCAACCAGGGGACTGGTTTTTGAGTTGGTTTTTGTAGAACCTTGTTTTAATTTTTTTGTGTTCAGACTCTCCATTATATTTATTTTATACTTACCAAAGAACCACAATAGGGCATCCTTGAGGTGTCTCAGCCATGGTTAAGGATATAAACCTACATATTCAGCTTATGTTTCTAACCTAACACTTGGAATAGTTTAGATTTAGTGCGAACCAGCACAGATACTTCTCACCAACTATCTCCCCTTCCCCCCCCCCAACCCCAACCCGCTGGTTAGAGGTACTTATCCACTCTGGAAGAGCTTTGTTTTTTCTTTTTAGTTTGTGTGTTTGAAAAGTGCCATATACTTCCAATTCTGAGTTACATAAAGAAAAATGCTCAGGCACTCACTGTGTTAAAGTAAATAAATGCACAGCAATGTTTCGACCTGCACCCACGTCTTTGTCAAGCTTGTGATGAATATATCCAGTTGTGTGGCAAATTAGTTTTCTGTGATGGCTGTAAAATTTACTTAACATTGGGTTAAGGTAAAAGGTGAATATCCAGATATGAAAGGTCAAGGGAGAATAACCATATATTTTCAATCTAACCAATAAGTAACACTCATGCACTATTTGGAACAGTGATGCGCAAAAAAAGCATAATTGAACACACAGCAAAGCAAATATTGAACATGATGGGCTACATCATAACTGCTCCAGCTTATTGGCTAATAACAGAAAGATTATGATAAAGAAAAATGGCACTGATGAAACTTCTTTTCTCTTGCTATATGGGAATAGTCACATGATTCCATAGAGCCTTCTTGCCTTATCTATGTGTTACAGGATAGAATTGGTTTAAAGCAGTAGGAAAATGGTACAAACCCTTAAAATTAGTGGAGCATCATTTAAATATTGTGGAATTCAAGCATAATCATCTACATATTTCACGTTGGTTGTGAAAGTCTGGAACAATATAACCCCTTACCATTATCTCGTAATCTTGTGCCTTTGGATATTGCATATGTTCGTAGTGGGTAGACATGGATTAAACTGGTGCAGTTTGTAGGCTAAGTAAGATTTTTGGTGGTGATGGAATCACAAGTGAATCTAAAGATTATTCATCGGTGATCTTATATATATATATATATATATTAAAAGGACACTGCACTGCCCAGTTACAAAATAAATACAAATCTGTTTAGTAGAAGTACCCCAAATGTAAACATACATGCGTTTAATTATGGATTTTCATTGGGGATACATCTAAAAACATGTTGCAAAGCATGCATTTCTCTTGTCTGCTGCCTTTGCAAGCCCTCCCCTTCTAACCCTGCCCAGACCTTCTGTGACTGTCCAATCACAGACTTTCCAATGCAGCTCAATAAGACGTATTTGCAAGGCAGGTGCTCTGGGCAGTTGCTTCCTCTTGAGTTTAGCTTCATTGAACTAACCAAAACAGGAAATAAAAGGATCTCTTTTCTGCATGAAATCCAAGGGGGTGTAACCAGGTTAGTTTATAAAAGTGTCAATTTCTATTGAAATCTTCCCTTTTTCAAAATGAAAAAAATAGGACACACTCTTCACACATAAAGCTTTTCAGCAAGCTAAAGTGATTTAAGGTTCTGGAGTGTCTATTAAGAATAATTAGCAATATGTCTTCTGAGCAGATCCTAATTCTGAAGGAGACTTTATGTTGGTTTGATATGTATCTTACTTTATGGTGTTGTTTTTGATTTATTGCAGCAGTGCATGTCAATCAGCCTCCAGTGGCAGTTGTGTATCCAGTAACGCAACAAATATCTTTACCGACATCATATACTTATATCGATGGAAGCAGTATGTATAACTCTTTATTTCTTCAATTTACAATTTCTTAACAAGAAAATGGCACATATTGATTGGTGTTCTATAGGTAGAATCATTAGTGGCGATTTTCATTCCTCTTGGTAAAAGTTAATGATATTAAGTATATAAGACTTTTAGACTTAATGGATCTCTACTTAGACTAAAGTCATAAAAATTGTTTTGGTATTTACACGCGTTTTACCTTCTTTTGAAAGGTTGCAACGTAGTAGTAACACAATTAGTGCTGTATGTAATTTGTGAAGAAATTGTTCGTATGCATGTTAGTCTTAATTAGAACAATAACTCCACCATTAAAATATAACTGTATTATCATTTCAAGGTTTCAAATTGCCATTTATATTTATATTATCGCTAACTGTTTAGGTATAAACAATATACCATGGCACAAAATTCCTTCAACCTGATGATAATGAGCCTGATCTACTGAACTTTTCTTTGGGCTTCTGGATTATTTACAGCTGTACCGGGGCCATTTTAATACAATACCGTTGTCTGACATCATCAAAAGACTCTTCAGTGAAGCTGTTTGCATAGTTCTGTACAATTGACATATTTTTCTGTTGTATATGCATTATAGTTTTCTGACATTCTTAGGGTTATTTATTTAAAGGGACACTATAGTCATCAGTACAACTACTGCTTATTGTTGTTTATCTAGTGAGTATAGTCAGTCCCTGCAGGCTTTTTAATGTAAAAACTGTTTTCTCAGAGGAAAGACAGTGTTTACATTACAGACAAAGAACATCACCAGTGACCAGTGTGCAGCACTGACATTCAGCCTTTCAATGAAGAGAGAATCAATGCATCTATATGAGGATATGCTGATTGGCTAGGGCAGAGATTGGCTCTGCCCCCACCCCACCTCGGCTCCTTGGCTGAGGTATTTAGAATTGATGATCTCAGCCAATCCAATGTTTTCATATGGGAAAGCATTGTGATGGGCTAAGATCATCAATTCTGAAGATGTCAGCCAAGGAGGGGCGGAGCCAGACACAAGGAGCCATGTGCGTCTCAGGAAAAAGGTGAGTAAATCACCTTTCTAACAAGAGGTAAGAGGGGGCCGACCATCTAATCATTGTTTTAGAAACACAGTGTCAGGAATACATGTTTCCTGACCCTATAGTGCCCCTTTAAGTCAGAATTATCGAATTTAAAATTTAAAGCATAGCTGACTTGGAGAACTATTCATGTTCAACTCACCTGCATGTGCGAGAGTACAGTTGTGATATCGGCTAAGAGCTGAAGAGATCTTGACAGAACAAGATAGCCACGCCTGCAAGAGACCTGTTCAGGTAAGTAAATCTCACCTTTACTTGTCTCCCCAGCTACCGTACCCCCAACTACGATATCACCGTCGGGGGTATTTGCAAATTCAGCAAAGTCCCCAGATGGTGACAGTGACGCTTTAAATTTGAAATTCACTTTGAGTTCCAGGCAATTCTTACTTTAGTGAATAACCCTGTCTGTTTACTTATAAAAACCAAATTAAGACAGAATGTTTAGAAAATGAATAAATCTTGGGAAAATATACATAAATACATACATAAAATACATAACATATAGACAATAATTTATGCATACATCTGTTTTACTACTAAAATGTTTTGTACTATATATTTAAGTTAAATTATTAATTACTATATTTTTTCCACAGAAAGCACTGATGATGATAAAATAGTAACGTATCATTGGGAGGAGATAAAAGGTCCTTTACCCGAACAGAGGACATCTGGAGACTCTCCAGTCTTGCATTTGTCTGGCATGATAATAGGAAATTACACTTTCAGGTGAGACCCACCATAATAAAATCTCTAAAACATGATGCTGTGCTAGAAACAAAAAAAATAAAAAAATAGACAACACACAAAAAGAGAACTTTGAGAAGTCCTCCTATGGCAAACAAACTCAAGAAATCTTGTATCAACATAAATCCAAAGTAGGAACAGTACTCACCAGTCAGGAAAATTGTGCCACTTAGATAATGGAAACTATAAATCCCTAAATCTATTCTAAAATAAGCGATAAATATCCAGAGATACATAGGCTTCTTCGAAGATGCAGACTTTATTTAGAGTTGAACAGGCAACATTTTGGCTCAAGATAAAGGCTTTTGTAAGCTAAAATGTTGGATATTCGACTCTAAATAAAGTCTGCATCTTTGAATGAGCCTATGTCTACCCGAAATCATGTTTCCACAACACTATCCCAGAGTTCCTAGCTTGACGTACAGATGATTACAGACAAGCATTGTATTTCAGACTTCATACATTTCTGCAGGTAAACAGTGGCGTAACTACCAGTATCGCAAAAGTCGCAAACTGCGACCGGGCCTTGGAGTTCCTCCTGTCGGGGGGCCCAGCGGAGACCATGTGCCCCTGTATTTGTGCGTGGCAGTGCATATGTATTTGTGAATACACATTTGCATGCAATTACCAATATTACACAAAAACACACCCCTGCATTCAAACGCCAACACTGAACACAAAAGCAGTTCTGCATTCAAATGTCAACACTAGACACACACGCGGGAATTCACATGCCAACATTGGAGACAAACATACCCCTGCAAACATACACTAATACTACATAAGAAATTTTGCATTCAAACATCAACACCATGTACACGCCTGCGTTTAAATTCCAACACTACACACAAACAGACCCCCTGCATTAACACATCAGCATTATACACAAATAGACAAACATTCATACAAGTATACTCCACACAAAAACATGCCTACATTCACAAATACTGCATAAAAATAGAACCCTGCAAAAATAGGTGACTAATGGATACACAGATGGCAAAGCATCATGGGAATTATATGGCAGCTGAGGATCTACTTATTGGGCACCTCTGTTTAACAGCAGATGTGGGGCTCTTAACAGATTCTTGCACTGGACCCTGAGGTTTCTAGTTACGCCCCAGCAAGTACCTTAAACAATGGACATTGTTTTAAGCACAGCTTTTTCTTTTTTCTTTTTTTTTACCCATATCATGTGTTCTGATAGTTTTAACACTACTGTCTTGCAGACTAACTGTGACTGACTCAGATGGAATTGTAAACTCTACCACAGCCAATGTAACAGTGAACGCTCCTGTGGATTACCCACCACTTGCCAATGCTGGGCCTAATCAAGTTATAACCCTTCCCCAAAACTACATTACTTTGAATGGAAATGAGAGCAGTGATGACCACCAGATTGTCAGCTACAAGTGGTCCCTCAGTCCCAACAGTAAAGGCAAAATAGTGGCCATGAAGGTATCTTAGTAGGTGCTCTCTTTCTCTCTTTGTCTTGTGTATATGATATTCTGATTTACTAAACATTTGTCAAGATGTCTACGTTTACATAGTTTATAGTTTGTCAATGTTCTTACCGGGATCATTGCTAAACTTAACTAATATAAAGATAGATTATGTCTTCGTATAGGGGTTTGGAAAAGATATGATAAACGTAACGTTTTGCTGTTTTTTAGAACAAAAGCAAAGTTTTAAGTTATACTCAAAATGGAATGATCAGAAGATTGGAATTTTGGGTAACATTGTTGATGACCGTCTTAGCAAAAGTTTGCAATGTCAGTCAACAAGGTTAAGGGCCAGTACAGTATTATAATGTGTGTAAAATAGTATACTATGCATTCATTTGAAGAGAATCAAAAGGAAGAATCTCACCTCGACTATGCAGTGCAATTAGCAAATGGAATGGAGAAATATGGTTATGAAGAAAAGGTGTAAAAAATATAACATATATTAGAAAACATATAATATAAAAATACAGAGTACATATAAGGCCAATACAACAGTTGGGGACTTGTTTATTAACAGTACTTTACAAAGAACAATAGACTGCCCATTGAAACATAAGAATATGAGATTTCAATAAACGTATGGAACTCTTTGGGTGGAGAAATTGTGTTGCCAAATTACACATGGCATTTTTAATAGGCAATGCCTTTTTGGGTTTTTTTTGGTTTTTTTTTTTAAAGAAAAGCAGGTTAAACATGGCTAAAATGTAACATATTCAAGACTTTGCCAACACTCATCCCTGTGGCTTATGTATAACGTTTGATGTAACTTATTTTAATTTGTACTTGTCTGATTTCATTATTAGGTTAATGTAACTACATTTTAATAATGTTACAAGGAACATTCATTCCTCACCCCTTATTTTCTACTATATACCAAATATTAAAGTATCATTTCCCATGGGGACATTTTCCAAGTCACTAGTGGATACATTTTTGGGGGTTTATTCACTAAACACTGAATTAAAGTGAATTTTAAAATAATTCAGACTTAAAAAGCAACACTGGTGCTATAGCTGAGAATTAGTCAAAAACAGCTATTCTTGCCTGTATTTTCCAGTTCAGTTTTCAATTCACAACAATGCAGTGTTTATGGAATACAGCTGTAAATGTTTACTTAATACATGTTTACTTAATCTACTTTTTATTGAAATTATAGTAACATATATATTTTTCTTTTTTTTACTGAGCACAGGGTGTGATTTCTCCATATCTCCAAGCAACTGCAATGGAAGTGGGAAATTATACATTTCAACTGTCAGTAACAGATTCATCTAACCAGCAATCTGTTGCTGATGTCACAGTGATTGTGCAGCCCGGTATGTGTGATTCTCACAATGACTAACCATATGTCAGCCTGTTCAAAGATAAGTATATAAGAAAAACAGTATGAAACAGCAGACATGTTAAATGGGAAATTGCTGTGTACGAAAAGGCCAAAAAGTACATTACATTCAGTGATAAATGGTGTTATTGATAGGGCTCTGATTGCACATCCAAATTGCAAGATTCTGTTGTTACAACCAAACATCCCAATTGCCTAGGTGTGTATGCGTATGGTTTGGTAGAGATTTTGTTACTTTATTTTTTAGTCAAAGATTACTTACTCCAGAGGATGTTTTGTATCACTGCAGAATTTAGAAAGGTGACTTTAATGGAACAATTTGTGTATGTGAGCCATGTGCATGCCCTTTCATAAGTTTTCATATGGGTGACTATTTTACTTAGTAAAAGTTTGGAAAATTAACCGAGCCTTGGGAATCAATATTATACATTCTTTAGTGGGAGGAATAAACAATTCTGAACAGGTGGCCCCACCAAGATTACCTGCTCTTATTATATTATTATTATTATTATTATTATTATATATTAAATTATATTATCTAATGCCCTGTAATATAAGGAGTGTACACTCTCATATTATTTAAATAATTAGCAAATCCTACTGCTTGGGAACGCAAACTAGGAAACATGTCCTGTTGCTCAGTGCTGACTTGCTGATCCCTTCCTGGTTAAAGGACTACTCCATACTGGAAAAACAAACAAACAATACAGTTTAGTAGATTTACCCCAATAAATACATGCAAGCACATATTTATGTATGTATTTTTGGGGGATGTAGTCTAAAACAGCTTTCAAAGGCTGCATTTCTCATAAGTGCAGCCTTTGCAAGTCTTCCCCATTTCACTGGAAGTGACTTTCCGTCAATTCATGGAAAATTGTCCAATCAGAGGCTTCTCATAGAGAAGCCTTTGTTTCTATTCTATCTGTTTCCTCAACCCCACGAGTCACTGTGTCTTGCGATTTTTTCCAATTTCCTCAGCCCTCCGTGTGTCTTATCCCTCATTAAGCCTCTCCATGTCTCACATTCCCCACCTCAGCCCCTCCATGTGTCTCATTCCTCACCTCAGCTCTTCCGTGTATCACATACCCCCCCAGCCCATTCATGTGTCTCAATTTTCCCCTAAGCCCATCCATGTGTTTCACCCCTCTATAGCTCCTCCATGTGTCTCATTTTCGGCAAGGTCAGGAGATATGGGAAAGGTGGGGAATACTTGATGCAGAGAATGCCAGTCACACCAAGTATCTCAGTTAGCTTGATATGTGTTAGGTTAGGAAGCATGCAACCCATCTATGATACAAGTAGACTCTACTTTTCAGATCCAGACCCTGACACATGCTGCATTAAGCCACCTCAAGAAGGTTGGAAGGGCTGACTGCTGTTAGTAAGCGTTTTACTAGAGGATACTTACATTTATGTAGAGATAAAGAAAGCAGATACAATAACACCACTGTCAGGGTAAAGGGAATTGAATTATGTGTAATAAGTTAAATCAAGGCTCCGATATATTATAAAAGATTTTCAGTTACCCATATGTGAGCTGGTGAGCCTCTACCTATAAGACAACTCCAGAACCTGTAGAGTATTTGAGGAAAGAGTCTTTGTAAATGGAAGAGTGCCATATGCCACTAAGACATACTTTTATAATTGCTTTTCTGTGTAGCCACATTAGCTGACTTGTGGTGAGTGAGATGCAATATCATTTTCCATTCTGCCACTGTATTAGGAATTTGCAAGTCTTGCACCCAACTATGTTTGAATATTGGGAGCATAAGGGAAACAGTTTGGTAAGGCATAGATCACAGACAAGTGTCTTCCTGTGCATAGTGCACCAATCCCTGAATGTGGATATGGGCCTAGTTCCTGGAGGTAGTTCGGTAATGCTTGTATAAAGTGGGTCAATTGAGGGTAACAAAAATTCTCTAAAAAAATTAGTTTGATATTGAAGCAAATCAGAGAGATTACGGATGCCTGCATCTGAGGGCATGTCAACGCTGAAGAAAGGATGTAGAAGAGTTAGTAAAACAGGCACAATCTGTGGATCCTGGGGGAAAAAGCAGATTACTTGTAAGGGGAAGGAGAGGGGAAGGTTGTACAGACAAAAACATAGACTGTCTAGCTTGATCGCAAACCTGCAGGATAGAAAAAATAGTTGGGTGCTTACATGTGCATAAAAGTGTAGGCTTAGCAGTTTTCCAGTAAGAAGTAAGACACTTTAATGGGCTTCATGGGAAAAAGAAAGAGGATGAGTTCTTGTGTCCAGAATTTCCAGCAATATAAAGCCTGTCCTAGAACTGCCATTATACCATTCATTATATTTCTATCACAGAAATTGACAAGCCACCTGTAGCAGACACAGGTCCTGATAAAGAACTGACATATCCAGTGGAATCTACAATATTAGATGGAAGTAAAAGCAGAGATGATCAAGGCATTGTTTCTTATGAATGGGAGTTAATCAGGTATTTATGCTAAGTTAAGTTAACAAATTATTTTTAAATGGGGACTCTTAAAATTGATTGAGTATATGGCTTACAGTCCAACAAACTCAATCAGTATATAAAGCTCTCAAAACATTAACATAAATATAAGTAACATGTATTTTTTTTTAAAGTCACAATATTAAATTACCTGCTTATTATATGAGTACTGAGATGTGAAATCGAAATGTTTATTATAATGCTTATAACAAAGAGTTGTAGTTTGGGTAATTTGTAAAGAATCAGTACCTAAGTTTGGGAAATACTGATTTGCAAACTGCCAGCACTGTATGTGAACTAGGTCTATATGGCCGTAACGCCACACATGGTACATATAGTTGTCTATGTACACTAAAGCATATTTGTAATAGCAGACTTCTATTTCAGGTTGATTGCATTATAATAATAATAATGTTTACATTATAGTGGGCCAACCGCTGTTACCATACAGGACAGCGATAAAGCAGTGGGAATAGTAAGTGGATTGCAGGTTGGCATCTATCATTTTCGTTTGATTGTCAAAGACAGTCAAGGTCTAAACAGCACCGCTACTCTATCTATAACGGTTAAGGAAGGTAAGCTTTAATTGCTATTATTGGGGTCATGGAAATGATAAAGCTATAATCACAGAGACTATAACTTTTAGGCTTCTTTATCATGTACGTATTTGTAACTTTTGCATAGCTATGTTTTTTTAGACTAGTGTAGTTAGTCCACAAATCTGTACTATTTTATTGAGTGTTATTACTTAAGGGGTTACACCAACCTTTTTTACTATTAATTTAGTTTAGTTTACATTGCCCTATGAAGCACTACTTACTTGGCCCCCAGCCTGTAAGGGTAGACGCTGATTACGTCTGTTGCCAGCGTACAGTGTGTGCTGAAAACATATGTAATTAACAGACGTAATTGTAATAGCTCTACTCAGTAGTAATAGCTCAATTGATGCTTTCAGCCAATGAACCAGCCCTGATTAGAAAGGCTTAGTTCAGTGATACTAATGGAGGCTCAATGCATACAGACAGCAAGTAGAGGCACTTCCATGTAACTGTACAAGTAAAACCTGGTCATGTGATGCAGAAGCCCCCATAAGAAAGCATTGCTTCAGTGTTTTGCTATGGGGAAGCTTAGATGCACACGGGGCACGCACCACACATGAGCAACAGGTCCTTACTGCTCCTCTATGAGAAGCATTGTATTGGACCAATGATGGATGAAGCAACGTAATGTCATGGGATTAGGAGAGGTAAGAGGCATCGAGGTAAAAGGAAGTAAAATCCATTATTTTATTATTTTTATTGCACACATGGTGGATATATAAGGACATTAAAGAGTTTGTTTTCCTAGTTCTTAAGTGTTCCCAATCAATCTCTCACTACTCTTTGGCGGCAGGCCGGCAGCAAAGGCTATAGTATTCATCAGAACAAATACATAGAAAAAAAAACATTACCTGCACACTATCCCATATAGCTATACATATTTAAAAAATAGGAGGATTTTAGTATCACTCCAACACCCATTAAAGTGTAAGCTTACCTGCCTAGTGATGGCAAACCTCTTAGGTGAGTCCTTTCTAACAATTCACCTTGTTGCTTTTAGCTAAAAGTCACAGTCTATAGTGAGACAGAAAGTTGTATTCTTATGAACCCCTGCACCCTAATAGAATGCAATGTATAAATAGTTTTTATCATGCCTTGTGATAGGACATAGGCTCTTTGTATTAAATTAAACCTGCACACTTTGGTTATCATAATGCTGTCTTATAGCAAGTAATTTTTATTACATTGTAGAGAAAATAGATAAAGAATAGATCAGGTTGTAGTCATTAAACATTAATGCTGTTCATGTTTTTCATGTCTTAGAAAAGAACAGCCCTCCTCAAGCACATGCTGGTGGGACCCATATTCTTGTGCTTCCCAATAATTCTATTAATTTGGATGGTTCAAAGTCTGTTGGTGACCAAGGACTGGTTTCATATCAATGGACGAGGGATGGTCAGAGTCCTGCAGCTGGGGTAGATACATTTTACGATTTAGTTTTTAGGGCTGTTATGTAGCTTTTTTTTCATTATGCTAGTCTCATTAATCTCAATTATTGTATTAATCTTATTAATTTGACCATGAATATACATTTTCCTGTTAATTTCACAGATTCTCCGAACTGTAAATTGAATAATCTTGGTTTCAAACGAAATAAACAAATAAAAAGTATGCATGTTATCTACTCAAATGTTAAAATTAAATCAAAAGAACATACCTATTAATGTCTGGTCTGGTTTGCAGCTTTTCTTCTAGCTCTGATCTTTACCTGTAGCCTCTCACAAATCTTTTAAAAGGAATTTACAAAAAAAAAAACATTTGCTGGGTGTTTTTTTTTCTCAGTCTTCTTCTTTTGTTTTTAAACTACAACTCCCACAAACGTGTGCAGTACCCATAATCCATTGCTTATGGGAAAAGCTCTGAAACACTATGAAAATATAAAAGGCATCATTTATATGCAATACTTTGCTTTTCCTCTAGTAACTTCCCCTCCTATACTTCTCTTCCTATTATCCATTTTCACACATCCCATCTCCAGTCTCCATTTGGAATCCTGTCACTGATTATGAAGTTAAAGATACCATTTTGGACATACAGGAAGAGAATTAAAAAAGAATGTTTTTTTTTTCCCTTTGGTGAGGCCTGTGAAAGATAGCACTCTCACCTAGACAAAAAGACTGTTAGGTTACATAGTTACATAGTAGTCTAGGTTGCAAAAAGACTAAAGTTTGTCAAGTTTATCATTGAAACCCATTCTTTTATGCTGTTGATCCAAAAGGTGTGAACATGCTACTGAACATGTTCAGTTTTTTAAAGCGATACTGTCACTATATGGGGACTTTGTCGAATTTGCAAAGACCCCCGATGGTGACAACACAGATGGAGGTCTGGTGGCCAGGGGAGGCTGGTAAAGGTGAGATTACTTACCTCGTGGGCACGGCCATCTTTTTTGCACTGAGTCCTCTTCAGTGCTGACATCACTGCTATACTCTCGCACATGCGAGAGAGTACAGCATTGAGATCTATGGAGGTCTATGGAGGATCCCACAAGACTGCAGAGTCCTCCATAAACAGATCCAATTCCCTGAAGCCGTCACTGGTGACCGCTGTTGGGATTGACACTGTAGCTCTGTCCAGAGTCTAAAAACTCAGGCAGAGGAAATATACTTTGTCTCTGTATACCGTGTTTCCCCGAAAATAAACCCTACCCCGAAAATAAGCCCTAGTCGGATTTTCGGGGTGGGCTGCAATATAAGCCCTACCCCGAAAATAAGACCTAGGCATTGTACCTTTGCGGCGAGACTTCCTTCTTCTGCTGTAGGAGGAGCGTCGCGCAACGTGATGACGACATTTTGCAGCGCCGTCAGTCTGCCTTCACGGATCTTCAGCGGAAGGATCCATTTCCGGGCGGTGAGGCTCCCAGTGGTCGGACTCGGCAAGGAATCTTTGAAATGTGAGTACCGCTAGATATTTTATGTCTGGGATTAATTGAATTAATTAAAGGGGGTGGGGGGGTGAATTAATTAAAGGGGGGGTGAATTAATTAAAGGGTGGGCTGGATTAATTAGAGGGGGTGAATTAATTAAAGGGTGGGCTGGATTAATTAGAGGGGGGTGAATTAATTAAAGGGGGGCTGGATTAATTAGAGGGGGTGAATTAATTAAAGGGTGGTGAATTAATTAAAGGGTGGGCTGGATTAATTAGAGGGGGTGAATTAATTAAAGGGGTGGTGAATTAATTAAAGGGTGGGCTGGATTAATTAGAGGGGGGTGAATTAATTAAAGGGGTGGTGAATTAATTAAAGGGTGGGCTGGATTAATTAGAGGGGGTGAATTAATTAAAGGGGTGGTGAATTAATTAAAGGGTGGGCTGGATTAATTAGAGGGGGGTGAATTAATTAAAGGGTGGTGAATTAATTAAAGGGTGGGCTGGATTAATTAGAGGGGGTGAATTAATTAAAGGGTGGGCTGGATTAATTAGAGGGGGTGGATTAATTAGAGGGGGGTGGATTTATTAAAGGGGGGGTGGATTAATTAAAGGGGGGGTTCAATGTACATACCGGTACCGTAAATAAATAAGCCCTACCCTGAAAATAAGCCCTAGTGAGTTTTTTGTGACTAAAATTAATATAAGACCCGGTCTTATTTTCGGAGAAACACGGTATCTCTTGGCTGGGTTAGAATTTCAGTGAAATTCCAACACATTTAAGATGAGTATTTCATAATTATTCTATCTTTATTTAACAAGGAAATAAAGAATTAAACAAAACTTTGAAGCCAAAGCTAAAGGATTTATTCTCTGTTGTTCAAACATACTAAATTAACTTTCAACATTGGACCTTTAGACTGTTTAAGTGCTATTACTCAAACAAGTGAGTACAAAGCAGGCTTTGGAGAATCACATACCTGCTTGTTAGCATGAATAATATGCAGTTTATGAAAGTCTGGTCAATGCTAAGATCGGAAATTGCTTTGTTCCAATAATCATTTATCTCCAGTCTAGTCTGCTGATTTTATTTTGTATGTCTTTACAGGATGTTATGTACTCCTCCTACAAAGAGCCAGTTCTGCAACTCACTAACCTAGTAGAAGGAATATACCTTTTTTATTTGAAGGTCACGGATACAAAGGGAAACTCCAATACTGACACAGCAACTGTGGAAGTGCGTCCTGGTACGAACACTCACTCATCACATAGCAAATTTGTCTCATATTAACACTGTGTCCATCGATGCATTGCTACCCTATTACTCAAATGGTCCAATTCCCTGAGAATGATTACACGATCATAATTTCTGGTTTTAGACACATAAACATTAGTGGATACAACAAATTATTTCACTTATACTAGTACTGAGTCTAGAATACTATGATATAAATTATGTAATATGAACAATTACTATTCAGGTTTCTTTTAGTATTATAAAAACTAGACCTGTGCATTCAGATTCGGCTGAATTTTGGTCGATGGGCAGTTCCATTAGCTCGATGGCCGAACATGTTTGATTTAGTATCCAATGTTTTGCCTGTGGCACCACAAAAAAGGGGTGACTAATGGAAATAAAGACGATTGATGGCTATGGGACAGCCACTAAATATTGATTTTATTCATAGATCAAGTGAGAAGTGACCAAAAGAGGGAAAAACAGGAGGAGCAGTAAAAAAAATGTCTATCTATATATATTTGCATATTATATATTTAATAAATATGTATACTATGTAAATATAAATATTTTTACTCTTTACCATCTATTGGTTACTTCTTATTTAAATACATACAATAGGTGGAACACACGTCTGATGATTCTACAAGAAAGAACAAAATAACATATATATTTTTTTTTTAACCGTCAGTTTTCTAACCAACTAACAGAAAATAAACGAAAAAAACAATTAACACTGTGCATCCATCATTCATCAGTTTATATTAGATTTGTGCATGGAGGGAATGTTTGATACAGCCAGGTTATTTTTCACTAATTTGAAGTTTTGTTTGGGATGTCCAACGCTCGTTCATGTGATATTTTAGATTGGACAAATATTGTCCACGGGAAAATATTCAGGGAACCATTCGGACAAACCAAACAGGGCAAGAAAATAGGCATATCAGTGTACTGCAAAGTATATACATATTAAAAAAAATATTGTCAAATAAGAAAAAGTGCAAAGTGAAATACACAATAAATGGGTAAATGTGTTAGCAATACCTGCAATAAGCCACCTGAGTGGGAACTTATACCACTCTAAACAAAAATCCAAAATACATACAATAGGTGGAACAAACATCTGATGATTCTACAAGAAAGGACAAAATAACATAACAGATAATTGTAGATTTCAGGTACTCACAAACGTGGAGCCATATATGAACATATGGCTGTCATGGGAAGTGCAGAGTGACTCTTAATAGGATGTACCCATCTCTCTTCCTGCTGGTCTTTATGTAGCCTTTCAGAGGTCTGTGGTAACGATGAAATAGGAGATCCTTCATTGGTATAAAAAGGCTTTATTAGGTCCAATAAACACAATAAATATGTGTGCAAAAAAGAGTAGGAAGACTGGACAAAAATAAAAAAGTAAAAAGTCCAAATAAGTTAAAATAAATCCAATGTTGGCACAGCCTGCTGGCAAGTAAGTTCGATACGTGTTTTGCCCTATGGTGGAGGTTCCTCAGTCAGTATGTGATGGGGGAGCCTCTTTGGCATCTTTTTAAACCAGGTATTGTGGGCTCTTCCGGATCCGGCTGTTTGCACTTGGAATGCATTGTGCGCTCCAAATCATACGTCATGCGCGCCACATCGCGTGACGGTCGCAAGACTTGCGTCATTGGAAGGCATAGTCGGCATCCCTGAAACGCATGTCGTATGACGTGTGCGTTCCACTGAGAAGTTCTGTTCGTCCGCAGAAGTTGTGGTATTAGACTCTTGTTTGCATATGCATATACTCAGACATGTGTGTTAAATAAACATAATAGTATTAGAATAAATGGCACATTATTAGTAGGTGAAGGCCTTCTGTTGCATATAAAACAAACAAAAAAGTTGCTATGTATCTAAACAGAAAGTGATTATATTACTATATTGCTAAGGAATTTTACTTATCTTAACTAATATTTTTTTCTGGTTCCAGGATTATTTTTACCTTCCTATTCGGGGCAATGCGATGGGCACCAAATTCGCACCAAGTTATGTTAATCTATTCATGGCATATTGGGAAGAGAGGAAGAAACCGTCATATTTTCAGAACATCCCTGGGTGGCGAATTTGGTGTCCTGTCGCCGTTATATAGACGATATATTTTTAATTTGGAATGGTTCCATTGACCTTTTAGAGATGTTTTTATCTTTTTTAAATGAAAATGCTTGGGGGATTATCCTCACCACTACACATAGCCAAACTGATATCAACTTTCTAGACTGTCAAATTTATTTACAAGACAAACAAATAAAAACAAGAAACTTTTTTAAACCAGTAGACGCCAATGGATACATTGAGAAGAGCAGCTGTCCCCACAAACCTTGGCTGAATGATGCGCTCAAAGGACAATTTTTGAGAATTAGGGGCAACTGTTCGTATGAACAAGATTTTATCAGTCAGACCAAGAAGATAAAGGACCAATTTCTCAAAAAGGGATACGATGACGCTCCTCTAACTCCAGCAATGGAAGAAGTGAGAAACATTTTAAGAGAATAACTATTAACTTATAAGCAAAGAAACATTAGAAATAGAAATACCAGTAAGGCTCTGTTTATTTGCAATTTTAATGGCAATAATAAAAAAAAGTGAATAGGGTAATTAAAACATATTGGCATGTTTTACAAGGCAATGCAGGTCTCAAGAATCTCTTGCCTACACAAACGAAAATTATTTATAGAGGCACTGCCAATCTCAAGAGATCTTTAGTCCATAGCAGTAAAGACACACAGGCAACGATGCACTTTTTAAATCAAAGAAATTGCTTCTTTTGGCTGTGGGACGTGCTTGACATGCAGGTCCACAAAAAGTAATGAGACACTTAACCAATATTAAAGAATATACTTAGATCGAGTACACCATCAGAGATCAGCTCACATGCTTCTCGAAACGGGTAATATATATATATATATATTGAAATGCCCCTCCAATTTATTATATATTGCACGGACCATTAAATGCGTAAATGTTCGAATATCAGAACACATAAGGAACATCAAAAAAGGACTAGAAACCCATAGTGTCTCTAATCATTTTACGACTCATCACAAACAGAACCCAGAAAGCCTCCTTTTCTGCCCCTTTAAGCTAGCCAAGAAAGATTGGAGAGGGGAATATTACAAATGCAAAGTAGGGACAGAGGAAATTAAGTTTATTTATAATTTTAATAACCTTATCCCACATGGCTTAGATTCAGATTTTGAGGTTTGTCATTTCTTTTAATTAAAATTCTACAGATTGATATGCTCGCACGTTATTATCGCTATCCTTTTACAGTACCATTTTTTATTTATTCAGTATGTATATTTCATACTAATATTTTTATGGCTAAATTTTTTACACATTCTATTATTTTAAAGAGGCACCTTCATGCCGAACTTACCTTTCTTTAATCGATTCCTCTTCTCTCCCTCTGTCACGATCTGTTCTTCATTTCTTACTATCTGCTCTAGTTTTCTTTAAAACATAAGACAAAGTAGGGACTATTTGTCTTATGGAGGTTTTCTACACCTGACCATCTCTGACCAGTGGATGAGCAAAGTGTGCTTCATTTCTGGTGGTCAAAGAAATTTTCCCACAATTCTAAGCTTTCCTCCCTGTTCCCGTGTTGCATCCTGTCAGTATTGCCAAACGTCCTGTCATTTAGACAGAACGCCGGCAAAACTGATGAATTGCATCCTAACAGAATGAGAACAGTTTCTCCATTCGTGTTAGGATGCAATTCGGGAGTTTGCTAGTATCGGAATTTCATTCTAATGAATGAAACTCCGATCCTATTCGTGCCGCGGCTGCAAGATGCCCACAGTATTAGGGAGCTATCTACCAAAAGGTTGAAAGACCTAAATTGGTCTTTCAGCCACATTTACTAATACTAAGTACAGATTATTTAGTATTAGTAAATGCTGCCCCTACTCGCTATATCGTGAGTAGGGGCATGTCTAGTAAACAGTGAGCAGCCAGTGGCTGCTCACTGTTAAAAAAACAACAACCTAGTACCCCCCCACCGGCTTCCACTCCTGCACGGTGGGTGGGGGCCCTAAATAAAAATGCCACCCCCCAAGGTGACTAGGGGTCCCCAAGCTCCTAGTCACCCCCCCACCCAAAAAAAATCCCCTACCTACCCCCCTCACCCTAAAAATAGTGATGGGGGAATAAAATAACTAACTACCTGTAAAAAAATTTAAACTTGACATTTGATGTCTTCTTTTTTCTAAAATCTTTATTTTTCAGCCCCAAAAAGGCCAAATAAAAACCATAATACCCGTCGAACTTGTAAAAAAATGAAATAAAAAACCAGAGCGCAAAAAAAAAAACGATGAAAAAGAAAAAACACGATTCTAAAAAAAAATAATCCATCTTCACCCGGCGAGGGCACAACGCAGAATGCGCTCCACAAGGCGGGGAAAGGCTTATAAAGCCTTGCCCTGCCCTGCAATTAGGCTCAGAACACTCTGATTGGTTGGTTTAAGCCAATCAGAGTGCTCTGTGTAATTTTACACAGTGTGGGTCATCCCCTCCTTATTGTTATTTAGGGCCCCCACCCGACGTGCAGGGGTGGGGGCCAGGGAGGGGAGGACAATAGGTTCCCCCCTTATTCTAATTTAGGGCCCCACCCACCGCTCAGGGTTGGGGGCCGGTGGGTACTAGGGTTTTGTTTTTTTTAACAGTGAGCAGCCTCCCTTATGCTATTATGGGGGTCATATTGACCCCCATAGAGTGAGGGAGGACATGGGGGGCTTAGGAAGTGGCGGGGAGCTTGCCGGTAGCTCCATCCTTGTAATAAACTGAACAAATGAACATTGATATTCAGTGTTTGTTTGTTCGTCTGACATTTCTATTCATTCATTCGTCTTTCTGACGAATGAATGGATGAAATTCCTGTTCGCATGCCCAAGTGTTTAACTGGGCATGTGCGTGAATTTCACAGCGCTATCTAGTGTGGGCAGATGACGTGTCCTACATGGACTTCCTCTACCCACACAAAGATGGCGGTGCCCTTAATATAGGTCGGGGCACAAAATAAAGATAAAATAAGGTAATATGGGGGGCTTAGGGGCATTTGGGGGTGACTAGGGGGTCAGTTAGATGTAGTGGAGTAGGGAGGGGACTTAGACTTAATACTTATTTAATATGTATATACACGTTGCAGAAGAATCCTTGCAATATCGTTCAGTTCCATTTGGTAATATTTGGTATATTTTATCATTCACCCAGGTGTCAGTATATGAAAATGTTTTATTCTGAGTAAGAATCCAATACTCTTCTCTTTTTAACTTTTAGAGTTGATTTTTCTCTTTTTATACATATGGTATCTAGTAATATAATCACTTTCTGTTTAGATACATAGCAACTTTTTTGTTTGTTTTATATGCCACAGAAGACCTTCACCTACTAATAATGTGCCATTTATTTAATACACAAACGTCTGAGTATATGCATATGCAAACACAAGAGTCTAATACCGCAACTTCCGCGGACGAATAGAACTTCCCAGTGGAACGCACACGTCATACGACATGCGTACCAGTGATGCCGACTATGCATTCCAGTGACGCAAGTCACCCGATTCGGAAGTGGAGTGCATGACATATGATTTGGAAAGCACAATGCGTAATAAGTGCAAACAGCCGGATCCGGAAGAACCCGCAATACCTGGTTTAAAAAGGTGCCAAAGATGCTCCCCCATCACATACTGACTGAGGAAGCCCCCACCATACAGCGAAACGCGTATCGGACTTACTAGCCAGAAGGCTGTGCCAACATTGGATTTATTTTAACTTATTTAGACTTTTTACATTTGTCCAGTCTTCCTACTTTTTTTTGCACACATATTTATTGTGTTTATTGGACCTAATAAAGCCTGTTTATACCAGAGAAGGATCTCCTATTTCATCATTACCACAGACCCCTGAAGGGCTAAATAAAGACCCATGAGAGCCTTATGTTCATATATGTTTGTCAGTACCTGAAATCTACAATTATCTGTATATTCCTTATATTGGCAATTATTTTGTCCTTTCTTGTAGAATCATCAGACGTGTGTTCCACCTATTGTATGTATTTTGGATTTTTGTTTAGAGTGGTATAAGGGGTTCCCACTCGGGTGGCTTATAGCAGATATTGCTAACACATATACCCATTTATTATGTATTTCACTTTGCACTTTTTCTTATTTGACAATATTTTTTTTAATATGTATATACTTTACAGTACACTGATATGCCCATTTTTACACCCTGTTTGTTTTGTCCGAATGGTTCCCTGAATATTTTCCCATGTACAATATGTGTCCAATCTGAAATATCACATGAACGAGCGTTGGACATCCCAAACAAAACTTCAAATTAGTGAAAACTTACCTGGCTGTATCGAACATTCCCTCCATGCACAAATCTAATATAAACTGATGAATGATGGATGTTATATTAATTTCAGATTACATACACAGTGTTAATTGTTTTTTTCGTTTATTTTCTGTTAGTTGGTTAGAAAACTGATGGTCAAAAAAAAATTTGAAGCACGATATAACAAGAAATAAACCTTTGCAGACTTTTAATTCAAGCCATAAACTACTCAAATGAATCTTGACTAAAACTCTAATACACCCAGGGTTGATTGGTTGTGGAACTATAGTTATTATAACCATGGCAGAACCAAGGGATGGTAATTTGAAGCCCTATGGTGCCAAAACTCAGTTTCACAATGTAAGCCTTCAATATTGCATGAATCCCATATTCTCTAGCATCCACAGTTGCCCATGCTCCATCAGCTTATCATAAATTTCACATTATATGCCAACTGCCACAAGCCAAGTGGTTAACAAAGGGAATATCAGATTTGTACGAAATAAACGCTCTCAGCCCGGATCATCTTATCAGAGGTGTGGAGGTGTGTAAATAACTATCAACAAGGTGTGTATATACTCAGTGGCCAATTTATCAAGTACCCTTGTACAATAATAAAAATATATTAAGAATGGATAAATTGCGCACAACTCAATTTATAACAATTTTAGTTTTTGTTCAAACAAGCAATCCATGTCATCTAAGCAAATTTAATAGTGGTAGGATTGGTTGTGCCAGACATATTGGCCTCAGTTCGGAATAATCGTCATAAGGTTACAAAATATAGAGAGACAGTATGAAAAGAGAATAGTGTGAAAATAAGAAAAAATCCAATGATTGCCAGTTCTCTGGAAAACTGCCATTCAGTTAGGTCAGATGAGAGTGCCCAAGCAGACAGGAACAGTACCCATTTGTTACAACAGTGGAATGCAAATCAGTATCTGTGAACTGTGCTTTGTTTTGTTAATTTTTGTATGAATTTTGATTAACTTGTTGTAAGAACATCTATAAAGGAAAATGTATATTTTGAATCTCTTTTTCAAATTAGAATTTTCTATTAAAGTTAATATGGTAATTTTCTCTGGATGCACATTCTAATGCAATGTGCTTCACACACTTATGCAAAGAAGCATCATTTGGCTGATAATATGTACTTAAATATTACTAATCTGCAGACACTGGAGTTTGCATTGACTAAAATATTTAAAAGAATGTTTTTAGCACCTTGTCTAGTACATGCCACAAATAATTTAACATATTCTGGATGAAAGCCAGAATTTTAACAAAACTAGCAATCCTAGTAAAATGTTCAGTGAACATATGTAAATACAGGCTTTCACTGTTATGGCAGAGAACGATTCTGTGGTTTCTATCAAAAACTGGATTTGTGTTTCTTTATGTGCGCTTATGGTACTGGGTCAGTCTGCATATACGAATGACAAAACACTCTTACATGCGGGGCATATTACAATCAAGTGTCAGTCGCATAATCAATACATTTTATCCCATTCCACCAGAATCCCAAGACATACTTCTAAGTAATTACAATTTAAAATTCAATAAGATTTTACTACTGGTAATCTTACCAAGGTCAGAAAACTTTATCAAGTTAAATAGATACTCTAACCACCAAAACAACTATAGCTTAATGAAACACTTATGATATATTGGTGAATTTATTGCATTTACTTTCAGACATATTTCACGGCCAACTCATTCTGAGATGCATAGTATGTTGACGCTTTATATTAATAAAAATAATAAATGTTTAATGACCATATTTGAATATTTTTTTATCTTTTTCCTGCCATAAAGATCCAAGAAAACAAAATTTGGTGGAGTTGATTTTGAAGGTAGCTGTCGGACTGTTGACAGAACAGCAAAAAGATACATTAGTGAGGCAGCTGGCAGTCCTTCTCAAAGTCTTGGATTCTGATATAAAGGTCCAGAAGATACAGGCGCACTCTGACTTAAGGTACAATATATGTTGTGCGACAGTTGCACTTATTAAAAATTTATTTTAGTTATGTAATCATTACTTTGTGGTTGTGTTAATTACACAATGTTGTAATGAACTAGTACCCTATAGATAAGCACTCTGAAGTGTGCTATGACCGCCAATGAAAGTACACCTATAGGGTATATTGTGTAAAAGAAAATCATTATAGATAAGAATGAAAATAAATTTACATGGGTGGAAGAGGTGAGGCTCAAAATGGGCCATTGCTAACAATGTTGAAGGTCAGTGTTTAGGGGCAATATAATATGTTGGGGGGAAAACTGTGGATGAAAACCCCTTCCACCTGAAGTAAATCCCTTCCACCACTTGCATACGCCCACCCAAAATCCCTTGCAGTAGTGAGAGCACTGTTAACGTGGGATTTCTGTGGGAAAAGCAAGTCGTATGGCTTGACTGGTGTGTGTATGTGTGTTCAGCAATGTATTAACTCTCTCTCTCTCGCTCTCTATATATATGTATATATATATATATATATATATATATATATATTATTTGTGTTCGGGGCACAAAGGCCATATAGAGTGATAGTGAGAAAATAGGAATAGCAAATACAAAATGGTAAAAATTGGTTCTGGTTGTCCAGAACCGATGATGCTGATAGGCCTGTAAATAAAGAGGACAAAAAGGAGAGATACGGTAAAATAATGAATACAATCAACAATCAACATACATACTTATTAAATTACATTGTATATAAGGCTCGACGGTGTTCCTAAACAGGTTTTGGAATGTACCGTGCATAGGCTGAGGACTTCCGTGACCAATGTTTAATAATGTTTACTGGTATAGACCTGTTTGAAGCCATAGATGCCACCCCTAAAGAGTGACCAGAATAATGGAAGGGTTAAGGCCTATTGTTCTGACGTATCGCATGAATGAGATATATTTTGATGGTTTGTGATAATTAAGTTTAAGGTGGCAAAAAATAAACCCTAGTAAAGAAATCATAATCATGAGTGAAACTCTCTAAAGAATGTGAATTGTGAACCTGTCACAAACCACATTTTTTGGCAGGTAATTGACAGGTACATAATCCCATGTTGCCAGAAAATTAGTGGGGTAGCCCAGAGACAGATAATTGATGAACGTAGATAAGTGATGAACATAGCGAGGGTCAAGTTGATAAACCAACTTATCTATGGGAAAATTAACTGAGAGTAGAATAGCTGGAGAACCGGAAGAGTAGCAATACTGGAGAAAACCGAAATTGTCCAAGTAACTAGGATAAGTATCAACAAGAATATATGATGAACAGTATTTACATGGACCATAAAAGAGGACAAATAAGTTCAGTACAATTGTAATCGAGCTAACAAGTGTATTGGAAGCCAACCACCAACAACCCCTAAGTAGAACTCTAAACCAAAGTAAACCTGATTTATCAGATGAGCCCCATGAGGGCTACGTTTAATGTATGTGCAGTGAATGTATGTACAAGTTAATATTTATATTTCTTAACCCTATGTATAGGCCTAAGAATGAACCTGACATAAATTAATGCAGTCAGTTGCAACACTTTTCTATGTGCCAAATTGAATTTCATACTATGGAATTCGATATATCCTAGTAAGGGGCCTAATACCGTAAGCTGAAGGAGGCATCGCTGTGATGCTATGTATTAATGAAATGGCTGAATTGTATTAGTGAAGATCGCCCTGAATGAACAGACATACAGTTTGTAGAAACCGTTAAATAAGCTACGGCTGGCCAGCCATAGCGGCTTCTATGATTATGAGGGAGGAGTGGCTTAACTTAATGATGACATGTGTTAGTATAATAATTATGATATTATCACCATATATCTGATAAGTGTGGCATCGCAACTTGCCTGTATCTTAAGTCACCTATTGATGTAAAACTTCTGGACAGAAAGTCAATATGCACGACAGAAAGTCAATATCCTGTTGGATATCTTGAACCACAGCAACATGAATTTAATATTGAATTGTGTAACATATGATCAAATGCACATAAGGGACCTTGCAAGGGTCAGCGTGAAGAGACAAGCCCCTTGTTAAAGTGCGGGTTTAGAATTGTATTTGGTAGACGTAAAGGAGAAAAAGAGTGAGGCCTTGAATGTGATATGAACGTGAATGAAAGGTATTGTTGAATACCTGAAAACACAAATACACAGAGTAACACTTGATTATATCATCCTGTATTAGACCTGCTAATGGCCTCTATTTGAATGGTATTTGCAATGATTGACATATACATGTTTTACTGGTAAACCAACGCAACTGAACTTACCTAATATTAGTTTAACACCCCATGACACATCAATACAGTATTACTGTAACAGAAGGATGAACAGTGCTACCATCTTGTATATTGGAATTGAATGATTCTAGAATGGATTATATACCATTATGATTCAACTTAAAGAAATGGTAGTGACAGCTACATTGTATTTGTAGAACTGGATGAACATTAAACCCACAAATAAATTGACCAAGTGACGGTCAGTAAACCCCAGTAAGAATACCAGCGTGATAAGTAATTTGTAATTGTAACACTTACATTTACCTAATAGTACTTGCTGCATAGCTGGCTTTATACATTTAATTGTGCAGGCATTCCAACTTTACGTGTAAGCTATTTAAACCTGCTTTATTGAATAATACAACTGGGCAGGTTTCCAATTCTAGACACAATTCTAATTGTAAGCAGTTGCTTTACTTCTATAAGCATGTTTGGTGGTATATATATATATATATATATATATATATATAAAGTTCTAATTGCTTGCACTCCTGGATTAATAGTAAAAAGCCCGGTGCTTAACAGCCAAATAATAGAAATAAAGTAATGATAGCACTCCAAGGACTTTGAAAATATTGTGAAAAAACTTAGCTTTTTATTCAGGCATCTGCCACAGAAGATCAACGTTTCAGTTCTTGAAGGAACCTGACGAAAGTTCATTAGAGAACTGAAACGTTGATCTTCTGTGGCAGATGCCTGAATAAAAAGCTAATTTTTTTCACAATATTTTTGAAGTCCTTGGAGTGCTATCATTACTTTATTTCTATATATATATATACAGTGAGGGGAAAAAGTATTTGATCCCCTGCTGATTTTGAACGTTTGTCCACTGACAAAGAAAAGATCAGTTTATAATTTTAATGGTATATGTATTTTAACAGTGAGAAACAGAATAACCAATAAAAACCATAAAAACGCATGTCAAAAAAGTTAGAAATTAAGAAATGACTCTGCTGCAATGTAAAGTAGTAAGTGTAGAGCTTGTATAACAGTGTAAATTTGCTGTTCCCTCAAAACAACTCAACACACAGCCATTAATGTCTAAACTGTTGGCAAAAAAGTGAGTACACCTCTAAGTGGAAATGTCCAAACTGGGGTTAATTAGCCATTTTCCCTCCCTGTGTCATGTGACTCGTTAGTGTTACAAGGTCTCAGGTGTGAATGGGGAGCAAGTGTGTTAAATTGGGAGATATCGCTCTCATACTGGTCACTGTAAGTTCAACATGGCACCTCATGGCAAAAAACTCTCTGAGGATCTGAAAAAAAGAATTGTTGCTCTACATAAAGATGGCCCAGGCCAGGCTTCCCCAAACTCCGGCCCTCCGTATGTTGCTGAACTACAACTCCCATAATTCTCAGCCTATCTAGTTCATTTATAGAATCATGGGAGTTGTAGTTCAGCAACATCTCGAGGGCCGGAGTTTGGGGAATCCTGGCCTAGGCTATAAGAATATTGTCAAGACACTGAAACTGAGCTGCAGCATGGTGGGCAAGACCATACAGCGGTTTCACAGGACAGGTTCCACTCAGAACAGGCCTCGCCATGGTCGACTAAAGAAGTTGAGTGCACGTGTTCAGCGTCATATCCAGAGGTAGTCTTTAGGAAATAGACGTATGAGTGCTGCCAGCATTCCTGCAAAGGTTGAAGGGGTCAGCCTATCATTGCTCAGACCATACGCCGCACACTGCATCAAATTGGTCTGCATGGCTGTCGTCTCAGAAGGAAGCCTCTTCTAAAGATGATGCACAAGAAAACCCGCAGACAGTTTGCCGAAGACAAGCAGACTATGGATTACTGGAACCTGTGGCAACAACCAGGTGAGGAGTACAAAGACAAGTGTGTCTTGTCTGCAGTCAAGCATGGTGGTGGGAGTATCATGGTCTGGGCCTGCATGAGTGCTGCCGGCACTGCGGAGCTACAGTTCATTGAGGGAACCATGAATGCCAACATGTACTGTGACATACTGAAGCAGAGCATGATCTCCTCCCTTTGAAGACTGGGCCACAGGGCAGTATTCCAACATGATAAGCATCTGTGGGGCATCCTCAAACGGAAGGTGGGTGAGCGCAAGGTCTCTAACATCCACCAGCTCTGTGATGTCGTCATGGAGGAGTGGAAGAGGACTCCAGTGGCAACCTCTGGTGAACTCCATGCCCATGATGGTTAAGGCAGTGCTGGAAAATAATGGTGACCACAAAATATTGACACTTTGGGCTCTATTTGGACATTTCCACGTAGGGGTGTACTCACTTTTGTTGCCAACGGTTTAGACATTAATGGCTGTGTGTTGAGGTATTTTGAGGGGACAGCAAACTTACACTGTTTTACAAGCTGTACACTTACTACTTTACATTGTAGCAGAGTGTCATTTCTTCAGTGTTGTCACATGAAAATATTTACATAAATGTGAGGGGTGAACTCATTTTTGTGAGATACTGTATATATATATTTATATATTGCAGCCCACTCCCACTAATTAAAACTATACTTACTAGTTCATTACAACAATGTGGTCAGGTCAATTACACAATGTTGTAATGAAATAAATATAGATACCGTATACAGCCTGAACTGTGCCATGACTGCCAATGATAGTACACTTTACACTTACTGGAGTTAAAAATCATACCATTAGTTGAGTGAATGATATATTTATTATTTTTGGTAACAGAACATATTACTGTACAAATCACATACACGAAAAGGTGCTTGAATTCTGTGGCTAGTTTCTGAAAAGCTCCAGACATTTCAACCTGGGAATCTGGAATATACTGTCACGCATGTTGGAACCATTTCCCTCCCTCTTGTTGTCATGTCTGTGCAAGCATGCTGTAATGGCTCTAGAACTAATACTTGTTCAAGGTCACATCATACTGATGGTATTATTGACTTGACCCCAAGTGTTTGAGTAGAGCCACGCCATTCCTGCATCAATATTGATGGGATTCAACCACTACATAAGACGTTGTGTCATTTTTGTGTCAATAATTACACTACTCCTTCTATCTCTCAGTCATGTTCTTATAGCATTATTGGTAACGTGAAACCAGCATTTAGTTTTTCGCCTGCCTTCTGCAACATGATGATGTGCATGGGGATGATGTGCATTAATCATCTTAAACATTGTCCTATATAAACCCCTTCTGCCATTACACAGGTGTCCTATTGTGGTTCTTGCTGAAGCCGTAGCACCTTTACCTTGCAGTTATGATCATTTGGTTTTGACTTTAGCTTGTACGTGATTAGCCTGATCTCTGTGTTCCTGACCTTTTGGCTTTGCTTACTATTATCCTTTTATCACCTGCACTTGAGCATGTTCTCTGACTATTTTTCCGTTAAGTCTGGGCATCCTAAGGACCAGTAATATGGGCCGTCCATGCTTTCTGTTTTCCTAGTGTCCTTTGGTACCGTGATCTTATGTATCAAAGAGAGATCCATTATCCTAATTTTGTGATAATGTGAGTGGGAAGCCGATGCCTAGAAAGTAAGAAAGCTGCTCTGATACAAAAATGGATTGAAGTCCATATTGACTGATAATATATGAATGTGTTTGATAGATTGTGAGTTGGTGTGTGGCTTTTTAGGGAATGGCAGTATCGTACTATCTATTGATTTGTTTTGTATAAAACATGAATAACCCTGTATTGCAATGGCGGAGTCTGGTATTTTAGTCGTTAATCATGATTCTGAGAGTACAATGATTTTTGGTTTGTAATGGGAACACCAGGCTTGCAGTGCATCCAGTTTAGGGAGTAAACTACGGATGTTGCAGTGCACAAAAGAGAGGCCTTTTTTAGTGGGGAGATTAGGATTAGAATAAACTGGGGGACCAGGGTTAGACTCCACATCATTTGCCAGGGCAAGTAACATAAGGAATAGGAATTTGGACACCATTTTTGTTTGGCCATATAGTGAATGGGATACTTTATAATTTTGTGAGGTGGGGGTAGGAGGGTTATTTTTTATAACTCTCCACCAGCACTCAGCAGATAAGTTACAGGAACAGAGCAGGCCATGGTGTATGATAATTTGTGTTCCAGTTTGAGGTGTGTGCTTATGCTGGTAGTGGTGTGAACAAAATTGGATTGAGAAAAGGGTTATTAAGAATAACAGTATGGTTATATTTGGATTCATGTTAGTGGTATGAGGTGTGTAGTTGAAAATGAAACAGAAATCGTGAAAAACAAAAATTAAATAAAAGTATATAATATTTGTGTGTGATATAAATCTATTTGTAGGGAGAGAGGGTATGTGTTCTATAGGGTTAAGATATTGGAAAGGTGTGCTGATCAGTGTTTGCACCTGTCATTTTTTAGGGGATTGAAAGTTGTGTGAGAGATTATCTATAAATGAGGAAATGAGCATGGGGTGGGTGGGCAAGGGGTAGGGTGGGAGGTCAATCAGTCTTCCAAAAGGCTACCTGTTGCAAATGGCCGTGGAACAGCTGATTGAGCTCTGGGTGCTTTGCTGGACTGGGTATGTTTAAAAATCAGACTGTGGGAGAGAGATATATATTAGGGTCAGATGGGCTAAGAGATGGGGGGGGGGGTGCATAGATGGACATTTGATTTAAGGTCATTTAAGGAAAAACAAAAGCAAAGATTGAGAATTACAGAGATAAGACCGAGGTATTCATGTAGGGAAATAAAACCATTAAACAAGGAACAGGAAAGATATATGGGCCTGAGCTGGTTAAACTAACTTTTAACATGATGGGCAAAGACAAAGGTGATAAAATATTTTGCATGATTAGCACAGGCTATAGTTACAGAGACATGAAAATGTATACATTGAAAAGAATAAAACAAAATAATATTTACTAAATATAAAAACATACACCTACAACAAAATTAACAGGGTACGTAGAAATATAATGAAATGTCAGTCTTCCAGAAGGCTACATGTTTCAAATGGCCATGGAACAGCTGATGGAGCTCTGAGTTCTATGCTGGACTGGGTATGTTTAAAAATCAGACTGTGGGAGATTGATATATATTAGGGTCAGATGGGCTAAGAGATGGGGGGATGCATAGATGGACATTTGATTTGAGGTCAATTAAGGAAAAACAAAGGGTAAGATTGAGAATTACAGAGATAAGACAGAGGTATTTAAGTAGGGAAATAAAACCATTAAACAAATAACAAGAACAAATTACATGTTTACACAATAATGAGTATAAAGTGGCATAATGGAAAGTAAATAGAAGTCTGGGTAATTTAACATACGTAACGTGTAAATTGGTGTCGCCCCCTCTGCACTTTTTTTGTTTGGGTCGTTTGCCCTTACATGCTCAATAAATCCTGGGAGTGGGAGTTAATTTATTTATTATTTATTTATAAAATATTTTACCAGGAAAGATACATTGAGATTTCTCTCATTTTCAAGTATGTCCTGGGTACACTCCTACCTGCATGTATTATTATTAGTAGTAGTAGTAGCAGTAGTATTTATATAGCGCCAGCTTATTCCACAGCGCTTTACAATAAGAGGGGAATTTACCAAATGAGACAATAACAAAATGTAATAGGAACAATAGGTAGTTGAGGACCCTGCTCAAACGAGCTTACAATCTATTGTGTACATATTCCTGTCTGCTGACTTTACTATAGAGTCAAGGATTAATGATGGCATGGAAGCCAATCAAACCTGGCAATTCTCTCATGGAAATCTAATTGAACTTTGAAATAAGGGAAAGAAAGTTCATAAGAATAAAACAATGTATTTCTTTTGACAGTACAGTGATTCTTTTCTATGTTCAAACTGGCCCTCTTCTGAAAATCCAAAAAGCAACAGAGGTTGTGCGGACTCTTCAAGGTCAGCTTTTGAAGGAAAAGGCTGACTTCCTAATTTACAAGGTTCTCCGAGTAGAAACTGTTGGTAAGTTAAGTCTGATTTAAACAGAATCTATTGTTATATTATTATTTCAAAGCAATGTAAATATAAATCAATATTTTCTCATAAAGTTTTTGAGACCATCCCCAACCATATTGTAGGTCTAAACATTAGTGACCCTTGAGCCTTGTAGATGCCTACTCTGGATTTACGCCGTAACAAATTATTGTTCAAATAAAAGCAGAAAGGAGCGGTGTCTGACTGTCATGGTGGAAAGACACATTTTGAATGAGCTTCTCCAATATCCTGATGAAAATCATCCTTTGCGTCTTCACCAATCTCAACCACTATTAACCGAGTGAAGCAGTTTCACTCCTGACTTACCTGACACAGTGTGCTGCAGTAATAATCTTGTCAAGAGCTTCGTTATCTCATTGTGGTAGATGTGGCCTAGTGCAGCTAGGGCGGGAGAGGCCTGTGGGGGTAATCCTGGTCCACACCTGAAAGGCTACCAAGATTCAGCAAGCCGGGCGTATGAACCCATCGAAGTTGGAGAAATGTGCCCTGCGTCATCCAATATGGTGTAGACCAGGTGTCTAATTAACCCCAGCACTTCACAACTTAATTTGGAAGCCAGGTTAAACAAAATCTTTGCTGACTTCTGGAGGAGGTTGAAGCACAGGGTCACTGAGCACCATCAATGACACAATATCCCAGAGAAGCAAACCCAGTGCTCTCGGAGACTCCCGCTACATTCCCGGTGACGACACCTGACTACAGGACCACTGCGAATGATGCCTGGTCCACCACAAATCAGCAGAAGCCGAGAGCAACCTACTTACAGATCAGCCTAAGTGGGGGACCCACCCTGCACTATCCCGAAAGACTGGCGTCCTAGAGGGGCCTCTGGGGCCACAGCTGGGCTTATCACTCCACTCCACTACGGTACTACCACGGCCTATGAGTAGGCTGCTGCGTCTGATGACCGCTCTGCCGAAACGACATTCTGCCAAGCCCCAAAGTGGCTTCGGCTGATCTGAAACTTGGACTCTTGCCGGCTGGCATTACTCTCCCTCTAATGATTAGCATTGCCTGACTTGTAGTGGTTTAATTTTCACTGTCGATACCCATTATATTGTTTTTGTTTATAGTTGTTTTCTTTTTTTGGCTTAGAATTTCTTTTGATTCCTCAGCTCAATGTCGTTAGATAGGCACACTCTGCTTGTGTAGTTTGAAATGTTAGAATTATCTAAGGGCCTCTTAGGTGTTCTAATTTCTAATCTGTTGGAGCATGGCAGGCATGTTGTATATATTTTTGCACAGCAAAAATAAAGAATAAAAAAAATAAAAATAAATTAAAGCAGGAATTTAAATTGTCTAATGTTGTGAAGGTATCAGTGGAATAAAAAACTTGTTTAGTACATGGTCAAGTGCACACTCTCCAGGAAGGATACATTGAGATTTCTCTCATTTTCAAGTATGTCCTGGGTCCACAAAACATTGCATTGTTACAATAGGATACAATAAAATACAAAAACAATATTAATATACAATATATACAAAATTTTACATAGAACAGGTAAGAAATATATAACCAACCATGACAGGCATCTTCACTAGACTTCCCTATCCCCTATCCAAGTAAGATTTTGGGATTTTCCAGTAATATGAGAGGCATAACTGGAGGCCATCAAACCCTTTCCCACTTTGTATTTATTTGTTTGTATTTTCAATGTGTTTTTAATTGTGTATTATCTGCTAGATTCATGCAATGCTAATCTTTCCATTAGTCTGTTTTTTGAAGTGTTCTGGCCATGGGCACTGTGACCCCATAACCAAATCCTGCCTCTGCTATCCATTTTGGATGGAGAACCTGATTCAACGTTATATCAGCGATGGAGAGAGTAACTGTGGTGAGTTTTGGCAACCTTATCTCTATTGCATCTCACATCTGGCAAATAATAACATCACAGGTATAGCAGCTGTTTTGTTACGTGATGCTTATGCCACACTAGCTGTGCATTCAGTGTTAATGCTAACTAACCAGGCTAAATAAGAATGCATCCTATTTAAGGGACATTCCAGGCACTTACACATCTTTTGTGCAACATGTAATTCATGTTACAGTTGGTTATTGTTAATTTTGGGATGACATATGGTTGGAAATTGCATATCTAGCTCCCTTTGATTTGCTATGTTTCTCTTTTTTTAATCCAATCTTACAGCTGAACAGCATGTGATCAAGGATGATAAAGTTCAGCTGCAGAAGATAAGAAACTAGTTATAAAGATAAGTGATCATTCCTTGCAGCTTTATTCCAAATGGTTAAGTAATTAAAAGGTAAGACATACAATGATCAGCTTCCTTATCACAAATAGGCCTGTATAAACAAGGCTTTTCCTATCCTTAGATAGAGGCTGTTTCCTGCTCTCTTAAAGCATAGCAAACAAGGGATCCACAACACCTGAAAATCAGAGCTTCACTACAGCTCTCACAAAGCTCTGGAATTGATCCCCCATTCAGCTGCAATTCAAGAGGAAAGGGAACCTCATCTAAATATTGCTCTGATGCTTAGCTCCATATAATTTAGATGTTCTCTAATCCTATCCTTAAAGGACCACTATAGTGCCAGGCAAACATACTCGTTTTCCTGGCACTATAGTGCCCTGAGGGTGCCTCCACCCTCAGGGACCCCCTCCCGCCCGGCTCTGGAAAGGGGAAAGGGGTAAAAACATACCTTTCTCCAGTGCTGGGCGGGGAGCTATCCTCCTTCTCTCCGCCCATTCGGCTGAATGCGCATCCGCGGCAGGAGCCGCGCGCGCATTCAGCCAGTCCATAGGAAAGCATTCACAATGCTTTCCTATGGACGCTGGCGTCTTCTCACTGTGATTTTCACAGTGAGAAACGCGGAAGTCCTCTAGCGGCTGTCAATGAGACAGCCACTAGAGGCTGGATTAACCCTAAAATAACATAACCCTAACATAAACATAGCAGTTTCTCTGAAACTGCTATGTTTATAGAAAAAAGGGTTAACCCTAGATGGATCAGGCACCCAGACCACCTCATTAAACTGAAGTGGTCTGGGTGCCTATAGTGGTCCTTTAAGTCTACTTATTATTATGATATTTATAGAGCGCCGTCAAATTCCGCAGCGCTTTACAATGGGTGGATGAACAGGAACAGAGGGGTTGAGGGCCCTGCTCAATGAGCTTACATGCTAGAGGGAGTGGGGTAAAATGACACAAAAGGGTAAGGATAGTATTAGATTACAATCATACAGATGCAGCTATACAGACACATTTACACACACTGACACACACACATACAGACACACAACCTGGCACACATGCAGACACGCAGATACACTGACAACATACAGATACACAGACACACACAATGACAACATACAGACACACAGATACATAACCTGACAAATGCAGATACAAACACTGACACATATGCAGATACACACATTGGCTACATACAGATACATGCACAGGTATACACACTGGCACACACACACAGATACATACATACTGACAACATACAGATACACACTGACACACACAGACACTGTGACAGACATACTGACACTGTGATAGACATACATACTGACACATACACAGACATACTGACTGGCACACCGACATACATACAGACACACAAAATGACACACACAGACATACTGACATACACACAGACATACATACTGACACACACACAGACATACAAACTGACACACAGACATACAAACTGACACACACACAGACATACAAACTGACACACAGGCATACATACTGACACACACACAGACATACAAACTGACACACAGACATACATACTGACACACACACAGACATACAAACTGACACACAGACATACATACTGACACACACACAGACATACAAACTGACACACAGACATACAAACTGACACACACACAGACATACAAAGTTTGTATGTCTGTGTGTGTGTCACTTTGTATGTCTGTGTGTCAGTTTGTATGTCTGTGTGTGTGTCAGTTTGTATGTCTGTGTGTCAGTTTGTATGTCTGTGTGTGTGTCAGTATGTATGTCTGTGTGTATGTCAGTATGTCTGTGTGTGTCAGTTTGTGTGTCTGTATGTATGTCGGTGTGCCAGTCAGTATGTCTGTGTATGTGTCAGTATGTATGTCTGTCACAGTGTCAGTATGTCTGTCACAGTGTCTGTGTGTGTGTGTGTGTGTGTGTCAGTGTGTATCTGTATGTTGTCAGTATGTATGTATCTGTGTGTGTGTGCCAGTGTGTATACCTGTGCATGTATCTGTATGTAGCCAATGTGTGTATCTGCATGTATCTGCATGTGTGTCAGTGTTTGTATCTGCATTTGTCAGGTTATGTATCTGTGTGTCTGTATGTTGTCATTGTGTGTGTCTGTGTATCTGTATGTTGTCAGTGTATCTGCGTGTGTGTGCATCTGTGTGTCTGCATGTGTGCCAGGTTGTGTGTCTGTATGTGTGTGTGTCAGTGTGTGTAAATGTGTCTGTATAGCTGCATCTGTATGATTGTGTATATCTGTGTATCTGCAAGTGTTTCTGTGTGTGTATGTGTATCACAGTGTGTGTGTGTGTGACAGTGCATGTGTATTTGTGCATACATCTCAGCATTCAACACTACACGCAAATACACACCTGCATTCAAACTTCAACACTACATATAAACACACCTCTTTTTTTAAACAACAAAATTATATATAAACACACCAGTGTATTCATAAACCAACACTACACCTAAATGCATACTTGCATTTAAATGCCATCTCCACATACAAACACACCCCTACATTCACACAAACATACTCCATACAAAAACATGCTTACACTCAAACACACAAATACTGCTCAGTGCTAAATATAACCCTGCATGCATAGGAAAATGGTAGCGCCCCAGCTGTCAAAGCATTGTTGGAGTTGCATGACAGATGGGGATCTATCTTTTGTCCCCTCTTGCCCAAAATAATTCATGCACCAGAGCCCTCTCTACTTTACGTCCGCCTCTGCGTTGGGGTGGGGGGGCATGATTGCATGCCAGGGAGGGGACGACCCAAGCAAATGTTTGCCCAGGGTCCAATCCATATTAAAGACGGCCCTGATACAAACTGACACACAGACATACATACTGACACACACACAGACATACATACTGACACACACACAGACATACAAACTGACACACAGACATACATACTGACACACACATAGACATACAAACTGACACACAGACATATACTGACTGACACATACATACTGACACACAGACAGACATACAAACTGACACACAGACAGACAGACACTCTTCAGTTTCCTACCTTTGAAATAGGCTTCCTTCCCTGGGGTCCAGTGTGCTGGCTGGGGTAGTTGGGAGTTGGGGGTCTGGCTCTTCTTGCTCCCCCTCCTCACTGGATGCTGGCTCAGCAGCCTCCCGCGCGGCCCGATATCTTTGAGGTGGGAGGAAGTGATTTGCGGACGTCACTTCCTCCCATGCAGCCGTTAAGCAAGGGGCCCGGTCGCGCTGTTAAAGGGCCACAGCACCGACCGGACCCCTGCTGGAACATGCTCACTGGGTGGACCTAGGTAGGGAAATATTTTAAAAAAATAAATTTTTATTGCAGGCGACGGGGCCGACATGGCAGCTGCTTTGGGCCCCCCATGAGTAACTGGGCCCAGGGCAGCTGCCCCGTTTGCCCCTCCTTAAAGACGGCCCTGAGAGGTGGTAACCTTCAACAGATGTTGACCATGCGTGAGATGTTCTGGATATTTACATTATCCGCAAGGACATCCCTGGGATTAAATGTTAAATGTGATCTCTCACTATCTTATTAAATTCATTTTAAATTAATCTGCCTGTATGCCCCATTGGGTAGTATGATTATATACATGTAATTATCCTAGAAATCCATTTCTTCATATTTCTGTGGCACGTGAATTTGGAAGAAGGTCAGGGTTTTGTTTTTTGTTTTTTGTTTTTTGTTTTCTTTTTTACTTGAGAGAGTAGCTTATCCACTCATGTGTTTTATTATATATAATATAATAGGTTAGGTTACAATATTATTTCATGGATACTTGGTTCATTTAGGATTTAAACTTGTCTCTGTCTAATTTATTTGTATTTCTTGCTTGAACAACGTGGATTCATCTCCACTGTATTTGTATGTACTTTGGGTTTATATTGTATAGGAGCCTAACATCGTGATAATTACTTTGAGAGTGGACTATTTATTATATACCGTCAATAATGTTATTTTTACAAACCATTTCTGACCTTTTGATTTGGGTTCAAACGTGGCTGGTTGAGTTTGAACCTTATTAGGTGAATCCTGACTCAGATTCAGCCCCAGTTCTCCCTGTACATAGTGAGTCTTTATCCGTAATATTCTATAAGGTGTTATCAACTGTAGTGTGATTAAACCCCATCTCTATTTTTTTTTTTTTTTTTTTTGTTGATTTAACCTCTGACATGTTAATTGAGCCATAGGTTATAATTGTCTCATATAGTTTACAGTAAGATCAGTTAATTTGTTTATATTTGTATTTAAATACAACTCTGAGTAAATGTTGAGGAAGGACAAGCTAGCTAGATTTATAGCTATGACACCTTTACACAGTGTGCAATGGGATGGATTTAGGATCAGGGATCATGGGGAGCTTCACCTTTGCCTACAACAATGGCTGATATTTTGTTTTGAGTACCAGGACTGTGAGATGAGACCTGAATATGGTGATAAGCATTATTTATTAACATAAGCAGCTCAACATTTAAGCAGTTGTGTGGGGATCGGGATCACATATTCGGACTTGACGTTACTGACCTTGAGATGCACCCAAGGCGAGCATGGGGATATCTTCAGACTCTGCAATAATCGATTTGACTGAGCCCTTGAACGCGACTACTCTCGAACTGACGAATGATGTATGATTCCATTTATAGTGCTTATCAATAACCTGATAAGGTCAGACCTATTCAGCTTACCTCACCAGAACTGATGAATTAACTATGAAATGGGGATATCATTGCTTAATAAGTGGAGCCCTTGTCGATCCACTTTTCAAAGCATAAGTGTCACATATTGATAATGATTTTATAAACTCCTGTTGTATGTAAACATGATGGAACATATTTTGTAGTAAGGCCCTGTCAGGTCTATACAGCTAAGCTACAATAGGAGAACTGTGAGTCTTGGTGATTTTCTGATTGTTTGTATGTTAGTTTATTTCTAATCTAACTATACCTATTGTTAAAACTCAATAAAAACTTTGATTTACAAATTGAATTGAATTGAATTGGAACTGAATGGGGGATCCATTTCAGAGCTTTTTGAGAGCTGTAGTGAAGCTCTAATTTTCATGTGCTGTGGATCATTTGTTTGCTATAAGAGGACAGGAAACTGGGACTCTCTGAATATCTTGACAAAGTGGCTATGGATATGAAACAAATTGTTTGCATAGCCAAATGCGAAATGCGTTGATTGCTGTATGTATGATAAAGAAGCTAAGCGCTGTATGTCTTATCTTTTTAATTACTTAACCATTTGGAATGAAGTTTTTTCCTATCTGCAATTAATGAACTGTGGTTTACCAGAATAACTTGTTTCTTATCTACTACTACGATGTTCTCTGGAATGACTACCGAGCATGTTTCACAGAAGGAAGACTGTTAATGTGAATGTGATTGTTTGCTTTGATCATTTGAATTATATTAAGGATCCAAGCATTGGGAAGGAAGGTCCTCCTATATTTCCCATTCATTTTTAATAAAAAAAGAGATCAGTTGCCAATTTTCATCAGTATTACTCTGACAGCTGAACTCATGTGAAGACCTTCAATGACTATAGTATATGCTCAGCATCAGAACTCCCATAGAAAACAGTTTCAGCTCTAGGACTGGCTGAGGCACTTCCTGGTTTGGTGAGGACCAAAGATCTTGTAAATCTGCTTTAAAATCTTCATGTATTATTAGGGATGGGCAAAAAATTCAGTTTGGTTTGGAAATTTGGGTAAGTATAAAAATTTGTCTGCTTTGGCAATTCAGACCAATGGCATTCGGTTTAGCAATTCGTAACTTCGGTAATTCGGACCCTGACCCTATACCCTAACCTCTAACCCAAACCACTTGTTTTGCAACTTTTCAGAAATCCAAAGCACTTCGGGAACTTTGGCAATTTGGTTTGGTTCAGCACTTCGGAAATTCGGCAATTCGAACTTCGGACATTCGTAAGCATCTAAATGTCCGAATTGCATGAAATTCGTCCAAATCTACATTCGGAATGAAACGAATTGAATATGTTTATGTATTATTATTAATGGCATTTACATAGTACCAACGTATTCCGCAGCACTTTACAATATTATAAAGTTTGGAAATTGAACAATAAATGTTCAACAATAAAAGCAGTATGAAAACCCACAGAAAACCAAAACAAGTATTACCAAACCTTAGATTGGTCAGGTTTAACATAGGTAGAAAAGAGTAGTCAAAGAATTGCCAAAAGTCAGGATACCAGAACTCAGTAGAGCGTTACAAGAATAGCCGGGACAGAATACCAGAAATCAGGAGGTCTAAATACAAGCCGAGGCAGGTAACCAGAAAACAGGGAAATCAAAAGCCAAGCAGAGTCAGTACACAGAAATAACAATAAATACGCAGGAGAATCAAAATAGCACTAAGGAGAACACAAGGAACCACAATAGGGCAAGGAACAAAGCAAAAGGTGCCCCTTCTATAAGGGAAGATCTTTTGCTTTAAGGCCATGCCCCCAAAACATTCTGGGCCGGTATTGATGATCAGAGTCCGCGTCATTGATGTCATGACATTGGTGCATATGTGCCGCATCATAAAGGGGCGTGACTCCAGCGATCGACGTAGGACATGCCGAACTCGTTGGGAGAGGAGTCTGCCCTGGATCCTTCACCATGTGGGTGCGATGGAACAAGGTAAGAGATCGTGATAGTGCCAACTCGAACCTGTAGAGCTGTGCATGAGATATCACAGGACATTTAGCAGCTTTTTACATACTTATTAATGATATTCACAGCACCAGCTACTTGAAATTTTATATTAGAGGACCTGCTGAGTAACCTGGTGTTTCTCAACCTCTTGTTTTCCAGATTGGAGTATACTCTACATCACCATATTAACATTTGTTCTGGTTGCACTCCTGATGGGCCTTACTTGGCTCTGCATTTGTTGCTGCAAAAGGTAAAATTCAGAAAGGCAGAAATATTTTTTTCTGGTTCCTTATTTATTGTATATCCCTGACTGCTATGACAAACTATGATAGAGTGATGGAGACAGGTCAACCAAAGATCTCAACTGACCACAGTACATAAATACCTAAATATCAGTGAGACTAACGAGGCAGAGAGCACAAATTTTGCCAAACCACTCCAAAATAGTCTGACAAAATATGAGGGGTTGGGACAGTTCCTATAGACGAGGGGTAGGCAGCCTATGACACTAGTGCCATGCACGGCACTCGAGGTGTCTTTGCACGGCACTCAAGGCTGCTAGAGCCAAACAGGCTCTGGCCTATCAGGAGTCCCAGTAAAACTTCAAATATCTGCTAATACGAAAAGATGGTGAAGGACAATCCTCAATTTAAGCATTGCAGCACATAGAGGAAATGATCTCAGATCACTTCCTCCAAGCACTTGTGAATGGGAATCCACAACGTAGTAGAGCAGCCTGCAGCTGCTGTTGCAGCTCCTGTTGCAAGCCTGGTCCCCACTGGAACCCAGGGAAGCCAACCATACTGCTAGATATACACCGATATTGTGGATCAAACCAAGTGTTTATCTGAGTATCTGCTCCTTTCCAAACACGCTCTGAAGTAAATCACACTGAGACACAGGTATCAGGTTAATGAAAAACTTCGGAATGTTTACTCAGGGGGTGGCAAGCCCCTTATAAAGGCAAAAATACATCATATGCAATAATGTAGATAACAGAGAGAATCCATCTTTAATTGGTTAGGTGTTAAAGGACCACTATAGTGCCAGGAAAACATACTCGTTTTCCTGGCACTATAGTGCCCTGAAGGTGCCCCCACCCTCAGGTTCCCCCTCCAGCCCGGCTCTGGAAGGGGGAAAGGGGTAAAAACTTACCTTTTTCCAGCGCTGGGCGGGGAGCTCTCCACCTCCGATCTTCTCCTCCCATGCGGCTGAATGCGCACGCGCGGCAAGAGCTGCACGCGCATTCAGCCGGTCACATAGGAAAGCATTATCAATGCTTTCCTATGGACGCTGGCGTGCTCTCACTGTGAAAATCACAATTTACTCCGGATGTAGGTGCCATCTTGTTACACAAGGTAGTTAGTCGGTGGAAGGGGGGGCTCTAGCAGCCATTTTGAGTAGATATTGAAAACAGGTATACACAGTAAATAGACATTTTACTATCACTAATTTACATTCATAACACAGAAATGAAGAATAACCCTCCCCTTATACAAATAATACGAACAGCCCACACTCAAACATACACACAATCAGCTTAAACGCAACACCACTAACAATCCACATACATGCACACAACCCCACATGCAGCCTCTCACATGCAATACCCCAAACAGCCCACACACACTACCAAACACACAATGTGACATATCCATCCACACACAATTCCACAAGCAGCCCTCATACACAGCCCACATTCATATGTATCATACACAATACCATAAACTACTAATGAACATATACAATATAATAGCTTATATACGCACAAATACAACGATGCAAAGCAACTGCAGTAAAAATAACACAAGCAGAATATGGCAGCATACACACCTCAATTTAAAAAAATAGGACCGGCACGCTACTGGACATCACAATCCTATATCGGCACAGTGCTGCTAAAAGGTTGCTTACCCCTGCTATAGACTTATAGCAACATTACCACAACAATGAGTTGTATGGGGCTTCAAGTGCCCAATTAAGAACTTTCTAATAACTGACTAAAAAGTGTCCCTTTTTTGTTTAATAATAACCTAAAAATGGGGGGCGGAGCCAGCAGCTAACCAGAGCAGACGTGCTTCAGCAGAGCTCCAACAAAATAAGTCTAAAAACAGCAAAATAACCCCTTTTAAAACACCCTATTTCGACCACCATCGCAATAAATTAAGATGGGGAAGAAGAACAAACATCAGGGGGCTGTGAAACCGACAGGGGCACAAGACATTGGAGACCTCAAGCCTCAACGCGCCAAAACAACATGGCGACACGGCCTCGGCCTCCTCCGAGGAACAAGCGATGGATGAGCTAGATGAATTCCCACACTCAGGGGGACTGCACCACCCCTCATCCGATGAGGATAATGAGCTGCCCTCTACGAAAGGGGATATTAAAGCCCTTCTCTGCCACATCCACAAACTGTTTGCAGCAGACATCGCTGCGAGAAGAAATACACAGCGTGGAGGAACGAGTCAAGTCTGTGGAGGAAGACTCGCAGGGTCTCACTGCACAATACACGCAGCTGGAAGCCCACAACGCAAAATTGCAGCGCACACAGTCTCAACTTAACAGCCGCCTAGATACTTTGGAGGACCGACACAGGAGCAGGAACGTTAAGATCCAGGGGATCCCGGAGACAGTGGCCCCAGGGGACTTACCACAATACATCAGGAGGCTCCCTACCTCCTTACTCACGCCACAACAGGTGGAAACAGCCACAGTCGATGGGGTCTACCGCATACCAAGGGCTGCCAGAGCACCGGCAGACACCCCACGAGATGTCATACTGCAACTCCTGACACGGTCGGCCCAACTCCCCTTCATGTCAGCGGTGAGAGGGAAAGCCACTATCCCATTTGAAAACACCACCCTGTCCTTCTACCAGGACTTGTCCAGACCCACCTTACTATGGAGAAGCCGGCTAAAACTGCTGACCACTACACTTGGCCAACACTCCATCCCTTACCACTGGGCATTCCCCAGGAGCCTGGTCATCTCCCATGGGGGAGCGACAACCCGCATAACCCGAAGCGGAGGAGATGGAATCGGTACTCACCGCACTGGGACAACACTCAATACAAACCACACAGGTCCCAAGACAACAACCCCCTCACATATGGGACGTATCTAAAGTCCGACCGTTCCAGCCTTCCGGAGCCACCGCATCAACTAATACAGCGTTCAAAGCACAAAGGGTCGGCCATCAGCCAAATGGGCAGCTGAGAGGAAGGAGAGACAGCAGGGCGGCAAGGCCACTGGACTACATAAACACTGAGCCGGAGTTCAAGTTTGATTTTAATTTCATTTAAACTTTAATTTTGTTTTTATATCTTATTCAAAGTTGCCTAACCTGTTTCAACGCATCATGACCCACCTGTGTATTATGCATCCAGAATCAGGCTGTAAGCACATTTTCACTTGCATACTTGCGGGGCTATATGATGACATAGTTAGGCGCAACCTGCCTTGCAGACCCAGAGTGTACCCTCACATACTTGAATCGAACTAGTTTGCAAACCATGTAGCATGCCCAACAAGTACACTCAAGGTGTCAGGTCCTAAGCAAATCCTTAACACTAATTAGAAGCGATAATATGGTGACGACACCAGATCAACCGGCCACTAAACCCCATAGCATGTTATCACACTATCAAATAAGATCTGTTACAGGCATCAACTGTTCAAACGAGGAAGTACAATATAGGTTTCCACAGCACAGTAATATGTTTCACTTACGTGCCTACTATGCCTTATTCTGACAGTGCAGCAGTTTAGATCAGCTTGTCATACACACAGAAAGTTGTGAAATCTTTGGTTTGACTTAGGAACCACCCTGAATCCTCTAACACCTCACCGCTAGCTTAAGCATTAATCCATCCACCCATTCCCTGCATAACGTTACTCTAGACATCAGTTACTACAACTTACAATGTGCAGGACTTCTATATAAATATAAATCTACAGTATAAGCATGACTACATTTTATAAAAATGTGCATTTCTCTTTTCTGCCATGACATTGTATAACTGTTTGACTATATCGGTTTGTTGTGCCGTCGTGGCTCTGCAGACCAGTTTGTAATTCTCTGCACAAAAAATCAAGAATTAAAAAGAAAAAATAATAACCTAAAAATATAACTTGTAACTATTAGTATATCAGTTCAAATATTCAAATTTTCCAATTATATGATATTATTTATACATTTTTAACACGTTCACTTTAGCAGAAAGCGAACAAAAATACGAAAGAAAACAAAATATACGATCCTGGATAATATCGATGAGCAGGAAAGAATGGAATTAAGGCCAAAATATGGTAAGTAAAAATTGTCCTAGTATTATTAAATATAATTATGTTAAATTCTTTGTTTGATGTTGAACTGTATTAGCTTGACCTTGACTTAATTGACTGGGAAGGGGTGGATGGTGATCACGGGAAAACTATAAGCAAGGGAAAATGCTGTAGTGGATAAAGAGAATATATATCTTAACAAAATTTACATTAGTGTAATTGGAGCATGTTCCAAATTATTTATGTTTCCATACAGCACATAATCCATGACTTACATATAACTATCATCATCATCATTGGGAGGTCTAGAATGTGTCTGTTAGTATATATTACACTGGATTTCTAAGGCCAGAATAATACAATATTAACAGCTAAACAAATTAGAATAAATATGTAAAATTAATTTACATGTCAGAGGAGCTTTCCTCATAAGATATAACCCCAGTTGGATTCATTATAAAAGTAAAAGCCACCTCCCATATCCCTTATTACGTATGGCATTCCCATCATATACGTCCATAGTGTCCAGTCCCTGAGCTATTTTTCCAGCACTGTGTACTCTAGGTCGAATAGATAAAGTAGTACTAAACATCAAAAGATAAACATTTTCTAGATTCTTTTTATAGGTGTTGGTACAGTTTGTAAACCACATTAATCCCACAGAGCTACTCAAATGAAAATGAGTATTTATCAAACCAAAACAAGGTTTAATGTTCAACGTGATGATGACTGATCAATTTTGTTTATCTCTAAAATGAGACAAATAAGTTGATGGGGCCTGATGGAATACACCCACAGTTATTAAAAGAGCTTAGTGGTGTACTAGCAAAACTATTAACGGATTTATTTAACCAATCATTGTTAACAGGAGTAGTCCCAGAAGATTGTAATTTAACGAATGTTGTGCCCATTCACAAGAAAGGTAGTAGGGAGGAGTCAAGCAACTATAGGCCAGTAAGCCTTACTTCAGTAGTGGGGAAAGTAATGGAAACCATGTTAAAGGATAGGATTGTTGAACATCTTAAATCACATGGATTTCAAGGTCAGAGACAACATGGGTTTACTTCAGGGAGAACATGCCAAACTAATCTTATTGATTTTTTGGATTGGGTAACTAAACTAATAGATCAGGGTAGTGCAGTAGACATTGCTTCAGGGCCGCCTTCAGGGGGTGACAACCATAGCGGTTGTCACGGGCCCGGCAGGCCTGGGGGGCCCGTCCGACCGTGCCCCACGTGGAGCGGCGCAACTGCCGCAGGTGCATCTGCACCGGGGCCCATCAGGTGGCCCAAGCATTTAGAGCCACCCGATGGGCCCTATATCTTCCGGGGCCCGGTCAGCGCTGCGGGCGTGTAATTGCGCGACCGGGCCCCTTTAAAAAAAATTGAGGCTGCACCGCAAGTGCTGCTGAGAGGAAGTGAAGTCCGGTCACTTACTCCCAGCTTACTCCGCGTGGGGGGAGAGCAGCGGGAGAGCGGAGGACAGGAGAGGACACCAGAGGCATCCGCTCCCATCATCCCCAGCCACCCACCTGCAACTTAAAGGTAAGAGAAGGATGGATGATAAATGAGGTGTGTGTATATATGTCTGTGTGTGTGTCAGTATGTATGTCTGTGTGTATGTCAGTATGTATTTATGTCTGTATGTATGTCTGTTTGTCAGTATGTATGTCTGTGTATGTGTCTGCAAGTATGTATGTGTGTGTGTATGTCAGTATGCATGTATGTCAGTATGTATGTATGTCTGTATGTATCAAGTATGTACGTCTGTGTGTGTGTGTGTGTATGTCAGAATGCATGTATGTCAGTATGTATATGTGTCTGTGTGTGTGTCAGTATGCATGTATGTCTGTGTGTATGTCAGTATATCTGTGTGTATGTATCTATCTGTATGTCAGTATGTATATATGTCTGTATGTATGTAAGTATGTGTGTATGTATGTATATATCTATCTATCAGTATGTATGTCAGTTAGCATGTATGTCTGTGTGTGTGTATGTCAGTATGTCTGTATGTATCTGTGTATGTATATATCTATCTGTGTTTGTGTGTGTGTGTATGTCTGTATGTATGTATATCAGTATGTATGTATATGTATGCCATTATGTATGTATGGATGTCAGTATGTATGTATGTCTGTATGTGTATGTCTGTATGTCAGTTTGTATGTATGTCTGTTTGTCAGTATGTATGTATGTCTGTATGTATGTGTGTGTGTCAGTATGTGAGTATGTATGTACGTCAGTGTGTGTGTATGTCAGTATGTGTGTATCTGTGTATGTGTCTATATGTGTGTATGTCTGTTTCAGTATTTGTGTGTATCTTTCTGTGTGTGTGTCTGTGTCCTTTTGTGTCTGTGTGTGTGTATTCCTGTGGAGGCGAGCACCTGCGGGCCCAGACCTTGAGCTGTGTTAGGGGCCCCACAATTTCTGATGGCGGCCCTGCATTGCTTACCTAGATTTCAGTATGGCTATTGACACTGTCGGACATAGAAGGCTTATCGATAAACTTCGATCTTTAAGTTTGGATTCCAATATTGTTAAATGGGTTAGTCGGTGACTGAGTTGTCCCTGACAATGGAGTATAGTCGAAGCAAGGTCTTGTTACCAGTGGGGTACTTCAGGGATCTGTACTTGGACCCATTCTCTTTAATATTTGTATTAGTTATATTGCAGAAGGTCTTGATGGTAAGGTATGTCTTTTTGCTGATGATACTAAGATATGTAACAGTGTAATGTTCCAGGAGGGATAAGCCAAATAGCAAATGATTTAGGTAAACGAGAAAAATGGTCAGAGCTGTGGCCACTGACATTTAATGTGGATAAGGGCATGATAATGCATCTTAGACATAAAAACCAAAGGGCAGAGTACAGAATATTTGAGTTGTCCTAACCTCAACATCTGAGGAAAGGGATTTAAGGGTAATCATTTCAGATGACTTAAAGGTAGGCAGACAGTGTAATAGAGCAGCAGGAAATGCTAGCAGAATACTTGTTTGTAAAGGAAGAGGTATAAGCAATAGCAAGAGGAAAGTGCTAATGCCATTGTACAGAACACTGGTGAGACCTCACTTGGAGTATTGTACACAGTACTGGAGACCGTATCTTCAGAAGGATATTGATACCTTAGAGAGGGTTCAGAGAAGGGCTACTAAACTGGTTCATGGATTGCGGGATAAAACTTACCAGAAAAGGTTAAAGGATCTTAACATGTATAGTTTGGAGGAAAGACGAGACAGGGGGATATGATAAAAACATTTAAATACATAACGGGAATCAACACAGTAAAAGAGGAGACTATATTTAAAAGAAGAAAAACTACCACAACAATAGAACATAGTCTTAAAGGACCGCTATAGGCCCCACACCACTTCAGCTTAATGAAGTGGTCCAGGTGCCAGGTCCCCCTAGTTTTAACCCTGCAGCTGAAAACGAAACTGCTATGTTTACACTGGAGTAAATCACACTTATTTGACGCTGGACGTCCTCATGGAGTCCGGCATCAAAGATATCCCCATAGGAAAGCATTGAGTAATGCTTTCCTATGGGCGGGTTTGAAGGCACTCGCGTGCCTCTGGCCGCTCATGTGCATTCGGCTCCACTCGGGAGCGGACGTCGATGGAGAAGGAGAGGTCACCAGTGCTGACGGAGCCCGGCGCTGAATTAAGGTAATCAATTAAATGGTTCATTAACTATTTATTCGCCATGGAACGGGGCCCTAGTCACCTAAACGGTGACTAGGGCTCTATAGCGTTAGGAATACATATTTGTATTCCTAACACTATAGTGTTCCTTTAAACTAGAGGGGCCAAGGTTTAAAAATAACATAAGGAAGTACTAATTTACTGAGACGGTAGATGCATGGAATAGCCTTCCAGCTAAAGTGGAAGAGATTAACTCAGTGAAGGAGTTTAAGCATGTGTGGAATAGGCATAAGCAGGGCCGGACTGGGAATGAAAACCAGTCCTGGAAATAAATGCATACCAGCCCAACAGCATACAATTTAATACACTGCCCCCTTCTCACAATTTAATTCACTGCCCTCCTCCACCCAATTTATTACACTGCCCTACCCTTCTCAATTTATTACACTGCCCCCCTCCCCACAATTTAATACACTGCCCTCCCTCCTCCCTATTCAATACACTGCCCCACCTCCCTATTCAATACACTGCCCTCCCTCCTCCCTATTCAATACACTGCCCCACATCCCTATTCAATTCACTGCCCTCCCTCCCTACGCAATACACTGTCCCCCTCCTTCCAATGTAATACATTGCCCTCCCCCCAATTCAATAAAATGCCCACTCCTCACAATTTAATACACTGTCCCACTCCTCCCAATTCAATACACTTCCCCCTCCTCCCAATGTAATACACTGCCCTCCCCCCAATTCAATACACTCCCTTTACAATACACTGCCCTCCCTCCCCACAATTTAATACACAGCCCTCCCTCCTCCCTATTCAATATACTACCCTCTCCTCCCAATTTAATACACTGTCCTCCTCCTCCCAATTCAATACACTGCCCCCCTCCTCCCAGTGTAATACACTGACCTCCCCCCAATTCAATACACTCCCTTTACAATACACTGCCCTCCATCCCCACAATTTAATACACTGCCGTCCCTCCTCCCTATTCAATACACTGCCCCCTCCCTATTCAATACACTGCCTTCCCTCCCTATTCAGCACTGCCCCCTCCTTCAAATTTAATACACTGTCCCCCTCCCCCTAATTCAATACACTGCCCCACCTCCTCCCTTTTCAATACACTGCCTTTCCTCCCCACAATTTAATTCACTGCCCTCCCTCCTCCCTATTCAAAACACTGCCCCCCTCCCAATTTAATACACTGTCCCCCTCCTCCCAATTCAATACACTACCCCCTCCTCTCAATATAATACACTGCCCTCCCCCCAATTCAATACACTCCCTTTACAATACACTGCCCTCCCTCCCCACAATTTAATACACTGCCCTCCCTCCTCCCTATTCAATATACTGCCCCTCTCCCTATTCAATACACTGCCCCCTCCTCCAAATTTAATACACTGTCCCTCCTCCCAATTTAATAATACACTGCCCTCTCTCCTTTTCAATACACTGCCCTCCCTCCCACAATTTAATACACTGCCCTCCCTCCCTATTCAATACACGGCCCTCCCTCCCTATTCAATACACTGCCCCCTCCTCCAAATTTAATACACTGTCCCCTCCTCCCAATTTAATACACTGCCCCCTCCTCCCTTTTCAATACACTGCCCTCCCTCCCCACAATTTAATACACAGCCCCCCCTCCTCCCTATTCAATACACTGCCCTCCCTCCCTATTCAATACACTGCCATCCCTGCCCACAATTTAATACACTTCCCCCCATTCCAACAATTTAATACACTACCCCCTCTTCCCTATTTCCTATTCAATTCACTGCGCCCCCTCCTCACAACTTCCCCACAATTTAATACACTGCCACCCTTCCCACAATTTAATACACTGCCCTCCCTCCTTCCTATTCAATACACTGCCCCCACCCTATTGAATACACTGCCCTCTCTTCCCACTATTTAATACACTTTCCCACCCCTTCCCACAATTTAATACACTGCCCTCCCTCCTCCCTATTCAATACACTGCCCCCTCCCTATTCAATACACTGCCCTCCCTTCCCACAATTTAATACACCGCCCCTTACTCCCTATTCAATACACTGCCCCTCTCTCCTCACATCCTCCCCACAATTTAATACACTTCCCCCCTCCCCACTATTTAATACACCCCTCCCCCACAATTTAATACAAGCTGCCCCCCTCCCCACAATTTAATACACTGGCCCCCTCCCCACAATTTAATACTGCAGAGAATTTGACAGTACATCCAACCGGCTTCACAACCGCAGACCACATGTAACCACACCAGCCCAGGACCTCCACATCCAGCATCTTCACCTCCAAGATTGTCTGAGACTAGCCACCCGGACAGCTGCTGCAACAATCAGTTTTCATAACCAAAGAATTTCTCCACACACTGTCAGAAACCCTCCCAGGTAAGCTCATCTGGATGCCAGTCATCCTCATCGGGGTCTCGATCTGACTGCAGTTCGTTGTCGTAACTGACTTGAGTGGCCAAATGCTCACATTCGATGGCGTCTGGCACTTTGGAGAGGTGTTCTCTTCACGGATGAATCCTGGTTTTCACTGTACAGGGCAGATGGCAGACAGCGTTTATGACATTGTGTGGGTGAGCGGTTTGCCGATGTGGATCGAGTGGCCCATGGTGTCGGGCTTATAGTATGGGCAGGCATATGTTATGGACAATGAACACAGGTACATTTTATTGATGACATTTTGAATGCACAGAGATACCGTGACGAGATGCTGAGGCCCATTGTTGTGCCATTCATCCACAACCATCACCTCAAGTTGCAGCATGAAAATGCACAGCCCCATGTTGCAAGGATCTGTACACAATTCCTGGAAGCTGAAAACATTCCAGTTCTTACATGGCCAGCATACTCAGCAGACATGTCACCCACTGAGCATGTTTGGGATGCTCTGGATCTGTGTATACGACAGCGTGTTCCAGGTCCTGCCAATATCCAGCAACTTCGCACAGCTATTGAAGAGGAGTGGACCAACGTTCCACAGGCCACAATCAGCAACCTGATCAACTCTATGTGAAGGAGATGTGTTGCAGTGCGTGAGGCAAATGGTAGTAACAGATACTGACTGGTTTTCGGACCTCCCCGGAACCTGACAATACAGTAAAACTGCACATTTTAGAGTGGCCTTTTATTTTGGCCGGCCTAAGGCACACCTTTGCAATAATCATGCTGTCTAATCAGCATCTTGATATGCCACACCTGTGAGGTGGATGGATTATCTCGGTAAAGGAGAAGTGCTCACTAACACAGATTTAGACAGATTTGTGAACAATATTTGAGAGAAATAGGCCTTTTGTGTACATAGAAAGTCTTAGATCTTTGAGTTCAGCTCATGAAAAATTGGAGGGAAAACAAAAGTGTTGCGTTTATAATTTTGTTCAGTGTACTTGAACATTCCTCTTTATTAAAAAGTTCAGTCTGGTCTGAGCCAAATAATGTTCATTAGAAAATATGGCACCCTCCATCCATACATTTCAATGGGAAATTTTGAATAAGTAATCAAGCATTCTCCCTGTGAAAACAATTTTGGCTCACCTGAATTTGTCTTGTTTTATTCTAATTTGGCATCACATTTTACGAAAAATTAAATCTAACCTAAGCCAAATAATATTGATAATAATATATGGCACCAAACCTGACACCCTTACATCCATGCATTTCAATATGTAGATTTTAAAAACATAACCAAGCTTTTCCCGCCCAAGCTCACACAGATTTGGCTTGTTTTCTACTGGGCATTCCATGTGTCTCCTTCAACCTGGCCTGAGCCATATGATATTAATTTTATAATATGGCACTAAATATGACACCATAACATCCATGCATTTCAGTGGGAAATTCTGAATACGATTATGAAAACAATTTTGGCTTGCCCAATTTTGGCTTATTTTATAGTAATAGGGCTCCTTGCAGGAAACAAATGTAGCCTATCCAAATGATATAATGAAATGTGTCCCTGAACATGGCATAGAATCTTGTATTTTATAGGGAAGTTTTGAAGTGTGAATATCATGTTCACTCACTTAAATATTTATTAGTTTTTCTTCAATGGTCTAATCTCTACATTAAACATTAAATGTAGCCACGGTCAAACAATATTTATGATTAAATGTAGCCCCTTCATGATACAAAATCTCTGCAATTTATTGGAAAATTCTGAATAAGTAACAGTTTGTACTCTATGAAAATTAGCTTGGCTCTCCCATACTGTGATTGGTAAGTGTTCTTAGGGCACTATTTTATATGACACAATTTAATCTATTGTCAATTAAGTAATACTTATCTACTTCCATTATAAAATTCATGCATTTCAGATTAAATTTATGACCATACAATTTTAGTTTTCTTCTATAAAAAGTTTGATTTACTTAAAAAAATGAGAGTGTGATGGAAGTCAAAGGAACAGTGCAAGCAAATAACTAAAGCTCACAATAGTGGTTATGGTGCAAGGAGTACCCTGGCAACCTTCTAGCTTAAGTAGTCAAACCATTAGAGTTGACAGCTGGATACCTCCTTCTACGGAGCTGGAAGTTTCTGCATGAAAATTCTGTTAGCTCCACTGAGCTAAACCTTGACAAAGAAGGTAAGGGTAAGGTGGATAAGTAGGTTGCTAGGATAGTATTCACTGAGTGTTATGTTTTTATGATACAAGCAGGAATGGAATCAGGGCGCGGGGAGATAAAGCCGTTCACATATGGGAGCAGTCCAGTTAATTTTTCAAATTTCCCAATTGAAATACATGGATGTTAGGATGCCAGGTTAGTTGTGAAATTTTATGACCAACATCGTTTGGCTCAAACTAGATATGAGTTTTTGGAAGTTTTCTAAATTGTTGTTTAGTAGATAATCACATTCATGAAAAATACGCTGTATGTTATTGGATGCAGTATGATACTTATTAGTGACTTTGCTATAGCTGTGATGTTCTAGTGTATGGCTATGTGTTATTTTACCCTTATGTGTAATCTCTCCCTTTGAGAAACTTTAATAAAAAAATAATTGATAAAAAAAATAAGCTGGGTGAATAGGAAGCTCACTTCAACCTTCGAATAAGGATCTGTCCGAATAAGAAGTTAACTTGAGCATCATGGACACCAGTATAACTTTATGTAGGGGTTCTGGAGACAATATCGTACTAACCCAGTGGGGTCCACCCCAGTTGACAGGCAGCAGAGGGGCGCACAGACCACCTGCCTTCTGACAGTGGGTGCTTGCTGATTCCACTGAGCAGACATTGCAGGCAGCAGGCGACCTGCTGGGATCAGTCTGTGCTCCCTGCTTTATGTAACATTACCCCAGCCCCAGCATCAGTTCCGAGCTGCAGGGAGCTGTGCATTCAGTGCACACACTAATCCCAGCAGTAAACCAATGGACACCAGAGATCTTTAAAAAAAATCTACTATTAAGGGGTGGAAATATACATTGTTTCCCTGGCTGCCAGGTACTCCTTTTGCTGTAGGCTTCCATTTTGACAGCTTAGTGGATAAATATCTTGGAAAAAAGAGTAATCGTTACATGTTCTCATGCGCCCTACTCCATGCAATAACAGGGAAAAAAAACATGGAATGCTTGGCCTAATGGAACACCAGGTGATTGTAGCCTGCCCCTTTTAAATGACCTTGAAGATGGCTAACGTTTTATTAATATTCAACAAAGAGGGTAGACTGAACAATCCATCTATGAGTGAGTTACTGAATGATGAACTGGCCATGAAGCTGTAAAGCTACAGGTCAACACAATATATTGCCTAGTTAAAGAATTAAAACTGATCTAAGTGTCACTTAACTTTTGCAGAATTAAGCTGATAGAACTTTAATTGTATCACCTTCATTACTCAACAGGAATAAAGCACAGAAGTACAGAACACAATTCCAGCTTGATGGTGTCCGAGTCGGAGTTTGAAAGTGACCAGGATACCATATTCAGCCGTGAGAAGGTGGTGGACTGTGAGCATCCAAAAAATATTCCTAGTAGTGGGGCTCTCAAAAATGGTGCACCTTTTAACTTTAGCTCAAACTGCAGATAGATTGTGTAATTCATCATGCAAAAAAGTATGTATAACGGATGGAAATTAATCGGCAGACAAGTTTTTTTCAGCATAGGATAGACAAAATGGCAACCAGAAGACAATGAACTAGATCTTCATTGTATGTACAGAAAATGGTGTTAACTTTGGAAATCTTCACACAGCAAATAATTTTAGTGTACAAAATGTACCAAAATGAACTTGTCCTGTGTAACTGTCTGCTTTAATTACGTTATAAAACTAAGTGGAAAAGGTATGCTTAGGTAGGCCTCTACAGTTGTGGTGACTAGAGATTTTCACAGATAGCATATTAATTGGGGCCTACTTGAACTCGGGTGAATGTAGTGTATCTGGTAGGTGCTAACCAGGGATCTTAATATTCTCCTAGCATACAAAGGGTGAAAACAAGTGTATTTAAACCAATATTTAAACTAAGGAGAGAAAACAAAAGTCTAAATTCTTGGTGCGAATTAAATTTTTACATGTTAGGAAATTGAGATTTATGGCCTATGTCATGTATTCTCTGTAATAATTGTTTTTGTGATATTTATTATGGTTTAATTTTGCCTACATTTAAGAATACTTTTATGTATATGCCAAGTTATTAAATACATACAAAACATGTCACACACCTGCATTTTGTGAATGGTATGGATTTACATAAATTCTTATTAGAAAATAGTATATTTTTAGGCATACCTCCCAAGTATCCCTATTCTAAAGAGCCCAAATCCCTCTTTTCTATCTTAAAGGGAATGTTGCAAATTCTGTTTCATTCATTTTTTTTTATCTCCTGCTGTGTTAATAGCTTGCTAGACTCTGCAGGAGCATCCTGTGTTTAATTTACAGAGCAGGAGATGTGTTTAGAAATCAGTAGGTGTAAATAAGATACATCATTCGGATTCTAAATTGTATTTTAGATGCATAAAATGTTATAAGTAAGTCACATACAATTTCTCAGAACAGCCCTACCCCTGGCCAGACCTCCACTGACACCCATAAAATTAAAGTGTCCTTTTGAAATTGTTGGGTGGTGTAAGGCTGAAAATTACAACAGGGTCTGGAAACCCTTACACTGCCATGAACTTATGCACCAACACGGTTCTGCTTTCCTTTGTCTGTGTAATTAGCTGCTGGGAATACTCAAAGAAGTCACACCATTTCAGATGGATTATCAATAAGCATTCAAAGGTTTTAATGCGTAGTACATTGTATATATAAAACACAGTTTGTCTAGGGGTGTATACATCAATGGCAACATTAACCAATCATGGAAGTCTCAGAACCAAAAGTATAATTTTTCATATAACATTACATAATGCTGTTAAGTTCCTGTTAACTGGTGCATGTGACAGCAGTGGCGTACATGCAGGGGTCGCGGCTGCGACTGGGCCCGGCCCACCAGGGGGCTCGGCCGCCCTGCGACCCGGTATGTATGCCACTGTGGGCAGTCTCTTCTCCTGGGGGGCCCAGGAGCCTGCCACTTGAGGGCCCCCCGAGGCTGGCCCTGCTGTCACCCAACGGGCAGGCGCGCGAGGGAGCATTCTCCCCTATGTGCTCCCTCTTCAGCTCCCTCGCGCACCGCACTGATACCGGAGCCGGAAGATGACGTCATCTTCCATCTCCGGCATCAGTACGCGGCGCGCAAGGTAGCTGAACAGGAAGCACTCAGCCAGGGAGAGTGCTCCCTCGCGCGCCTGCCAGCCTGCCTGCCGGGTGACACCAGGGCCAGCAACACCACTGGACCCCAGGGAATCCCCTCAGCTCTCCCAAAGGTAAGGAGGCTGGGAGGATTAAATTTTTTTATTTATTTTTTAAACGTGTCTGTGTGTTAGAGTGTGAGTGAGTGTGTGTGTGTGTGTGTGTGTTAGTGTGTATGTGTGTTAGAGTGTGTGTGTGTGTGTTAGAGTGTGTGTGTGTGTGTTAGTATTAGAGTGTGTGTGTGTGTCAGTGAGTGTGTTACTGTGTGTGTTAGTTTGTGTGCGTCTGTTAGTGTGTGTTTTATAAGTGAGTGAGTGTGTGTCTGTTCGTGAGAGTGTGTGTCTTAAGCACTTACCTTTCTCCAGCGCCGGACTCCCTTGGCGCTTGGGATCTCTCCGCCCCGATCCGCCTCTCAGCTCCGAATGCGCATGCATTGTTTTCCTGCGCATACTTGTTTTCCTGGCACTATAGTGCCCTGAGGGTGCCCCCACCCTCAGGGTCCCCCTTCCGCTGGGCTCTAGGGGGTGGAAGGGGTTAAACTTACCTCTTTCTCCAGCACCAGACGGGGGACTCTCCTCCTCCTCTCTGCCTCCTCTCCGCCTCCTGTCCTCCTCCTCGGCTGCATGCACGGCAAGAGCCGCGCGCGCATTCAGCCAGTCTCATAGGAAAGTATTGAGAAACGCGAAAGCAGTGAGAATCGCGGAAGCTCCTCTAGCGGCTGTCAATGAGACAGCCACTAGAGGCTGGATTAACCCTCAGTGAAAAATAGCAGTTTCTCTGAAACTGGTATGTTTTCTGCTGCAGGGTTAAAACTAGAGGGACCTGGCACCCAGACCACTTCATTGAGCTGATGTGATCTGGGTGTCTGTAACGGTCCTTTAAGTGTATGTGTATCTGCATGCACTGGCGTACATACCTGCGACCAGGTGCCTGCCGCCATGTGTTGCGGCAGAGTAAGCCAGCGCAGAGTAAGCGCGCACGGGGGGGGGGGGCACGGATCAGTTTTTGCACCGGGCCCCATGGGTTGTGTGTACACCACTGTGTGACAGTCTTAGATTTTGGAACCCAATGAAAAATTGCAGGTGCTAGAAAGAATGCCATTTTTTTTCAAGTGCAGGATGTTTATAAAAGATAGCGAAAGCTGGTGTCAGGCGCAAGAACAGAAAAATATTGTATGGTTTAAAAATGCAAGTTTTAACCTTTCAAAGCATGAGTATCTTGTATTATAATCAGGCCTACTGACCATTCGGTCTTTCAAGCTATGTATATAGTAATACAGCAAGTATTACTACAGAAGTAGAAAGCAGGACATGAGACTGACACCCTGTAATATAAAATATATAACTCTGTATGTCTAGGGGAATATTCACTAAGCATTGCATAGGTAAAACAATTTGTTTTCCAACAGGAGGTATGCTTGTTGGTGCTATACAGCCTATATTGCACTCTGCTAACCAAGGGGAAAAGATTAAGGCATTAGCAGATTGGTTCCAATCATATACGTTGTCTACGAGGGTGCTGTGTATGAGGGAGGGGGGCGCATGAAGTTTAAAGACATTTCCAGGAGCAAGAGTTCCCTCAAAATTGTAAAGCTGTCATTGATTCAAAGGATAAAATGTAGACATATTTAGAAGGGGCGGGGTCTGAGCCTCATGGCTGCTAGACATGCTTTATGCGAGCTCTGAGCTTGATAACCTTAAAATCTTGATTTTCTGACTAACCACCTGTACAACTAAGCCTGAGACCGACTTGCTCAGGAAACCAATAGCGGTGCCTCAACTCATTCCAGCTGACTGCAGTTTATGAGGAGGGCAAAAAACTCAGCGAGGCCTAGTGGAGCTGCTGAGCGGGAGAGGCGGACGATCTCCCATCTTGTAGAACACTGTGCCCTCTTTACTTACCTGACAGCCCTGTTCCCTCCCACCCCCCCTAACTGAAACCCACACAAATGCTATACACTCTGGGGAAGAAATTGGCAAGATTACTCCTCAGCTATACTTACCAAGATGGGGGCTGTGCATTCACCTGATGAGTTTGGGCTTATGCAACCAGGTTGCATAAGCCCAAACTCATCAGGTGAATGCACAGCCCCCATCTTGGTACCTGAATCCAGCAGATTGACTACTACAAAGGCTCGAGGAACACTTTGATCACTTCTGGGCCTGCTTGGAGGGCATGCCAGTGGGCTACTTCATCAAGGCCTCAATAGGAGAGCTGGGGGAGCGGAGACCAGGCAGTAAGCATGCCTCCTTTGGGCCCTCACTCTAATAGCCCACAACCACTCACAACAGCTAGCCCACTAGGGCCAAAGTGCTGGCCTATAACCCAGCCTGGGGGGACGTCTCACGTTGCTTCCCGAGAGTAGATGCCTCCTGGACTCTCCACCTTCGAGTTCTGTGCTTTCTGGCTCGAGTAATAAGTTGACGCCTAGAGAGTCACTATAACCAGCTGCTGAATTATACAGGCACTTAGGAGTAACCTGGTATTAGGATGAACATCCATATTGGCCTACGTAGGATTCCAAATGAGGGTGCAGTTTAGTAGATAGCTCCCCTGATGTGGTATTCCTCTGCTTGGGATACCAAATTAGGGCAAATCAGTTTGTTTCAAACTGCTAATTAACTCATTCGTCGAAACAATACAAAATCTAAAATAAAACTAAATTTTTCCCTATGCAAATGTCTAGTTCTTCATGTGTGACGAATGTGTCCTTTTTTATATATTTTTTTAATTTAAAAAAAATAATAATGCTGATTTCAATAGAAGTGTACACATAAATTAACCAGGTTTCAACCAACTGTCTGACAGTCAGAAAACTGGTCCTTTTACTTAGCTTAATGGAGCGAAACTCAAGACCCAGTCATTTGCCCAGAGCACCTGTCTTGTGAAGACCTCTCATTGAGCTGTATTGGGAAGTCTATGATTGCACAGCCACAGAAAATCTGAGCTGTGTTAGTAGGGGAGGGTTTGTAAAGGCTTCAGAGAAGAGATCTGCAGTTTTTGGCTATACTCTCAGTGAAAAAAAAAAAAAATTGTTAATATATCTACTAACCAGTGATTTATTTAAAAAAAAATTGGAGTGTGCCAATGCATTAAAAAAATAAAATATATATAAAAAAAAAACAAAAAAACTTACTGGAGATCTGCAATGAAATAAAAATAAATGAGCGCAAGCTATGCAAAAATATAGTAAATGTAAACTACAAATTTCCTGAGCAAAAAATAGTGTGAATCTCAGGAGTAAAAACTTTCAGTTATGGTGTTATCTGTATATAGGAATCCTACCTTTGTTTTTAAGATAGTCTACCAATAAAATCATATTTTGAACTCCTCTTCAGTCAAGCTGTTTCAAGGTTTGCATCCAGACTCAAATGTGTTCAACATTCTGCCTTTCTACTAGAGGGATGAAAGGCTCTTATGATGTAACACTCACTGACTGTGATGTCATCAGCTAAAATGTGCATGTGATATACATATCTACATAACTCGAATCACATTTTTTTCCCACCATAACCTATTTGGATTTTGCTTCCCAAGCACAACCAAGCCTCAATAAGCAAACCAGTAACCAACCTCACGCTGATGATTTGCTTTAACAATGAAACAGCTGTCCATGAGTGGTTTAATGGTTTTGCATCTTTTCCTGAGTTGTGTTTCAAAGCTGTTGTATACAGCAAAAACAGACTAAAACGAATCCATGTTTAAAATGGAATGAGGCAAAAATGTGATTCTTTGTTAAATTGCATATGCCCACCCAGAATCCTTTGCGGTAGTAACATCACTGCAGATGTGTGATTTTTGTGGGAAAAGCAAGTCTTATGGCTTGACTGGTGTGCAGATTTTTGTGTATTAACTAGCTCAAAACTGTAAGATAAACCAGAGTAATGCATTAAATATGAAAGTGTGAGTATATATCATGTGTTTCTATAGTCCCATACTCAATCTGAATAATCTTATTGATTAGTAAAGTGACACTATAGTAAGCAATATAACTTTACCTAACAAAGCAGTTTGTGTGTATATATCATGCCTCTGAAATCTCACTGCTCAATTCTCTGCCATTAAGCTTAAGTGGTTTTGTTGACTATAATGTCCCTTTAAGGATTGTATGATGATGATGGTTCAACCACACCAACATTGAGGTGAATTATTTAAACATGATATAAAAAACATTGAGGAAGATCTCTAGCACTGTCAGCCTCATTAAGTCTGGGTCTGTTACATTTGGGTTTAGATATGGTGGTGCTGCTCATGGTCATGTGAAAATGAAGGTCATCATTTTTCTAGTAATGTTTAATACATGCTTGTTTTTGCAGTTATTTTTTGTTTCAGACAATTCTGGTATGATGTTTTGTTTATTGCTATGTAATCACGTCAGTAAGTTTAATATTGCAGTCAACCATGAGCAATTAGAATAATAATGAAACCACATTCCCAACAAGTATTTATTAATTAAAAATAAACATTACGATATATTACAGTTTACATTTCTAAACATACATTTTTCTAAACTGGTAAATTTCCAAGTTTAATATGTCACATACTGGGGTAAAATAAGCCTTTATGGCAATCTGCAAACTGTTAAAAACCCAAGTCAAAATGTAGAATTAACAATACAATACATTAACACTAGGCAAATTATAAATAAATTAAAATTTTAAAAAGCAATCTCATCTTGCCAGTATTCAACAGTATATGTGCTTTTGGTTAGATCATGTACCACCGAATAGGCCAGTTCAACGTCCATGTGATGTTCTATGTATTTTCCATTCTATTCCTTAGTTCAATCTGGCTGATAATATATTCTCTCCTACTTACAATCATTTCTTTCCTCTACCCCTCTCTAGCAGTACTACCCGACTGGCCCAATAGATATATTTGGACCATATTTCCTCTTGGCTTGTAGACAATTAAGGATTGCAGGTAGACAGCAGCTGTAGGTCCCCCTGTCTATTTTAGTGTGCCTTAGTACTTTTAGTTTATAGCAAATATTGGTAAAATATTAATACTGTTCCTACGAATAGTAAACGTTTAATAGTTTACTAGACAATAATGGTTAATTGAAGTGAATATTTGTGCCCATTGCTGGCTCAGATTGTGCAGTTTAATTACCATCAATTGGTGTATTAAAAAAAAAACAAAAAAAACTTTTTTTTCACAGTACTGACATCATGAACACAAATTATGCAACACATTGGCAAACTTGTACAGTAGATACAAGTCATAAAACGTTTGGCAACCACACATATGGCACAATATTTTTTTGCTGAGCAAATTGCCTTCTATGTTACAGGAGAAAATTATATATACTATTTTCCCACCGGGGCTTTCAGTAAAACTATGTGGATATAGTTGTGCAATTTGTTAGATGGACAGTAGGTGTACAGTAGTAACTCATATTAAAAAGCCACTGTCACTGTAAAATGTTTATAAGAAATTCATATAGACCATGTTAGAATTTCAATGAAATGCTGTGCTGTGCTGTGAAAGGATAAGGAAAGGGACTATCTTGTAGGAGTCCAACTTTGGCAAATTGTGACAATAAGCAGAGCTTCAAACAACCTCTGCAGCTACATCTTGCAATTTCTCATCAGCTGTTGCTAGAACAAGTATCGAAGTTCTTGTGCATAGTGGATTTCACAGAATCCTTCATAGACCCCTGTTCTGAGGACTGCAACTCTAGAAGAACACGTCACAAATATATCCACATACATCTGACCACAAAGTGTAACGTCTTGGGAGTGTAGCCATGATGCAATAGGTTTGTATGTATGTTTACAAAAAAGGTTGTGTGCATTTTTACACAGCGAAAGGGCATTCTTGTCATTTAGGTGATTGACATGTGCCTTAAATTACAAGAGTTCCTCCCTTTAATGACACATTTGGTTATCATTAGGTGCATTTAAATCTCAATGCATATCATCACAAATCAGGGATACTAAACTCAAAGATGAAAACATTGTGTCTACATGTTGTGTTTGGCAATTTGCTTGCAAATATATAAATTGGATTTTTTCCAATTGTATTTATTTTCAATATTTGGGTCATCTATGCCAGTGGCATAGAGCTAAAGACTACAAATATGGAATTCTACAGCAAGCCACATCCCTTCTCATGTGACAATTCAACAGGCATTGTGTCACTTGTGGCCATGGCAATTGCAAATGCAACAATCAGGAACATTTTTGACTACCATCTCAGAGGAGGAGTTGTCTTCGGGTAAGTATATCTCTTAAATTACATTTACTTGCAATTAAGCAAGCACAATCTATACATTACATGTACACTTACCCAAAGGTAACCAAGTCTTAGTGGTAGTTTTGCATTAAACATAACATACTATTCTACTGAGAAACTAGATGTATCCACCTACATAAGATCACAGACCTCCAAAGCAAACATATTTAATTTCTAAATACTCATCAATGCCATATTTTGATCCTTCTCGACCAATGCCTGATTGCTTCACTCCACCAAATGGACATTCAACAGATGACAGTAAACCTTCATTCACTCCAACCATGCCTACTTCAAGACGTTCAGCCACTCTCCAGATTTGTGCGGGGTCTTGAGAATAAAAATATCCTGTGGAAATGTAAAGAACTTTAGGGAACCATTGAACTTGCAACTGCACGATGCAGATTGTCCATCTTACATAAAAACTAAACTTTCCAAAAAAAATAAATAAAGGTGGGGTGGGGTGGATGCAAAACACCCACTTTTTAGCGGTTGGCTTCTGTGTAAGTGGGAAGGTTTTTATAGTGGCACTGCAAGGACACAGTTCTTTCAATACATTTACAGTTTCAATAACAATGCATACCTGCAAGGCCTACGTTAGCAGAATTTGCAATAGCAATAGCTTCTTCTTCGGTGTCAAACCTGGAACATATAAAAACTAATTTGTGAAAATGCAGAAAGAATAAAATGACTTAACCATGAATATCTGTAAAAAGCCATAATCAAGGTAAATCAGGCATTTAAAACAGCACACGTTTTTTCCTTTCCTTCTGTCCCTTATATCAGAATGATTATACTCCCACCATTGTCACTTGTCTGTTTTACTATTTATGATTTTTTCTTCTTTGTGCCAGATCTCAATACCTGGGGACCACTACATTGTTCACCTCTGTCCAAGATATCTGCAGTTTGCCCTTCTGTGGGATTCTTTTAAATGATGGATTGTGGGTAATTAGCTAAGCAATGAACTGGAACCTTGTTTTGGCTTTAAATCAGACAGTTACTTCACTCTGCAGGATGAGAAGGGGCGGGGGGGGGAGGACTGATCTAACCATCCAGTATCCCATCCTACAGTGCTCGTAGACTATATGTATTGGTACCAATACATACCAATTATTTAATTACACAAATCTGTCAAGAGTCCTCTTCCAACACCCTTCCAGAATTGCTCTGTGTCTCCACTAATGACAGATTTTGTGTGACTCTCTATCCCCAACGTATTTTGAAGCACATGGTAAGGAAGGGTGGGAGACAAAATGGGAGGTGGGGATGGGGCACAGACGCAGGTCAAAGTTTCACTTACTTGATCACTGGAGCTAGAGGCCCAAATGTTTCCTCTTGCGTGCACAGCATATTCGTTGTGACATTGCTGAGCAGAGTTGGCTCATAAAAATTCTTGCCATAGGTGGATGGCTTGCCGCCTGTTTCGATGCGGGCTCCCTGAGATACAGCATCACGTACATGTTGCTCCACCTGTGGCCCAAGAAAGAGAATGTCAACTCTAACCCATCACCCAAAAAACTAAGAAAACAAATACTTAAAATCTTCTCTTTGCTCTAAATACAAAGTAATATGGAATAAATATTTTTTAAACCTCTGATACTGAAACCTTGGCTGCTAAATTACCTTAAGTGCTGCCTTCTCATTGATTAGTGGGCCTTGTGTTACTCCCTCTTCAAATCCATTTCCAATATGTAGCTCCTTCTGAATCAGAGATGCTAATTTTTTCACAAACGCATCGTGTATCCCTTTCTGTACTAGAAATCTGTTTGAGCAGACACAAGTCTATAGAGAAACCCAAAAGAAGAAGACACCTTAAAACAAAGAATTTATTTTCCTTCATTTCATTTTTCAAAACGGACACATAGAATTCACCATTATTCTTATGATGGAGTAGGAAATTGTGTATGTAATATGCCACTAGTGAATTCCTTGGTACAGCAATAACAGAGCACATATTTTTATTATAACTTATATAGTGCCAACATATTCAGTAATGATTTACAATTATAGAATGGGGATATTTTACTACAAGTAATTGACATACATATATTAACAAAGACAAGTAGGTGAAGATGGTCCTGATTAAACAAGTTTACAATCTAAGAATAATCCATCCATTTAAAAAAAAAAATCAAAAAAAAAAAATCACAATTGTATTTATATCTAAAGTATATATATGACAATCTTTTTAGTATTATGGGCTGATCTCTTTTAATGAATTATGCAATGCATTATAAATATACACAAAAAATAATCAGTAAAGAAATATGTATTCACCTTTATAGTACAATAAGCTACTGTACAGTTTAGTTGCAGCAGATATACTCATTCTGGTCTATGGACAGACTCTGATTGACCTTTGGCCTGAGGCTGAAAAGGGAGAACTGATTGAGGGCAGGCCCAGAGAAGGGGCTCCATGCCTGGTGGGGAGAGCCCACCCGAATGCTGAGGAGGAGGGAGAACTTAGTCTCTCCTCCTCTGCTGTATCAAAGCGTTTCCGCTGGTTACCACAGCAACATTGATACTTTTACCAGCGCTTTCCCCAAAGAAGTTGTCTGGATGGCACTATGCATAAGTGGAGAGAGAAGCCATGCAGACAGTGTATGCACATTTGGGCTTTTTTTTGTAAAAGAGATGGCAGTCGTGGCAGTCTTACTGCTGTAGTGATTTTGCATAACTGCTGCAGTTATAGGCCACAGGTACAGCGTTACAGGGGACATTCTGGCAACCTAACTTATTCAATGAACATAGGTTGCTATGCTGATTTAAGTGTTGTGTCACTTAATAAGCTTATTATTTAAAGGCCAGAATTGGAAAAAACGCAAAAGGATATATTTCAGACATTATATACAATTACATACAATTTGTTGGTGTTTTGCACTCCTGCTTTCCTCTTGGTTAAATGCCCGGTGCTCAGCTGCACAAAAATACAATCTGCCAAATGAAGCCAGCACTCAAGGACTTGTAAAAAACAAAAAGGGCTTTAATCCATAAACAAGTTCTATGGATTATATATATAGCATTAAGCACATCCCCTTACACAGACAAACTAGTGTGTATAGAAAGCAGGATTTTTTATTTTTTTTACTCCTGTAGTTCGTGGTTGGCCTGGATTCGTTTTACGTTTTGTGTTATAGGGTGAGGTCTGAAAAATGAAAATGGAGAAAGACTTGGTGTGGTATTTAACGCTATCCTAGAACTGGATGCCTCCATCTTAGTTTCCTGTCAGTCATTGTTACAAGCTGTGTAATTTTACAATGCACCAGGCAGTCGTAGAGAGAGAGCATAGAGAACGTAGTAGAATCAGAAAACATGTTTCTAATTCTCTTCCGATGAAGTCTGTGAATTGACTGAACTGTATTCTTATATCAACTGCTAAATCTTTAATATACAGTTAAAAGAAATGGACATCACATAAGTTTGACATGCTATACGTGATCCAACGCATTTGAGCGATTTATAATTTGAATTTTATATGCATTGATTACATTTTGCCTATACATTCAGCCAATATTTAAAAACAATATTCTAGTTTGACTTGCAGGGAATAGAACGGTCTTTAGACTCTGTGACAGTGTGACCTGGAACTAATTGCTGTTCAAAGTACAAAGACAGGGTTAGTTACGAAAGTGACAATTCAAAGTGAATTTCAAGAATTGGGCCAAAGTAAATGCACTTTAATCACCACTTACTTAGCAAATCTTTTCCAATTCAGTTATTTTGGCCTTAAATTTTAAACTTGCTTTATATTGTCACTTTTGTAAATAACCGTGGCAATCTGTTACAGTTTAAGAATGTCATGAAATCATTTGGATTCATAAACCACCATTCTATGCCTTACAGGAAACACAGACATGTAACCAGAGAAAAGCCTTTCACAGGGTTCTTGATTAATAGGTTATGGTATGTTTCATGTACTTTTACCATTACATTGTGTGCTTTAAATGTGAGAAACATCTTTGTATTAAAAACACACAATACCTTTAAATGTATAAGGTGCAATGCTACTGTAGCAATAGGGTATAACTTGTCGAGCTTTAATGCTGGGAAAAGCTTGTTACAACACATTTCTCCTGATCTAATGCTATATTAGACACCATTTTCAATACACTGATGTAAACTAGTAATATTGTGTGAATTGCAATGTTTTACATCAGGTAACTTGCTGAAATACTTTGAAATCTGTGTGACTTCACAGAAAAGTAAACATAAGGGGTATCAGAGCACTGTCTGAAGTGTATGATTAAGGACAGTGAAGATTAATGATTATGACTAGCGGCAAGTGCCAGCGCACTAAGAGGGCCCATCGGGTGGCCCATGCACTTAGGGCCACATGGTGGGCATGTGTCATCAGGGGCCTTGTCTTGCACTGCAATTCTTTAACAGCATGTATGTCTGAATGTGCGTCAGTGTGTATGTGAATACATCTCAAAATTCAAATAGCAACATTACAGACAAACACACCTCTATATTAAAACACTAACATATATAAACACACCCTTGCATTCAAAAACCCAACTAACACATAAATGCATGCCTACATTTAAATGCCAACCCTACATACAAACAAACCTCTACATTCACACATTTCTCATACAAAAACATGTTTACATTCACACACAAGCACTGCTCAGTGCTAAATACAATCCTGCAAGAATGGGCAAATGGTAGATCCCAAGTTGGAAAAGTATTGTGAAAATAATAAGACAGATGGGGATCTACCTTTTGGCCACCCTTGCCATAAAGGGGGGTGGCGGGGGAGGGTGAGGATTCTTGCGCCAGGGCCTAAGGCAGAGCTTTGGCTAAGGCCAGTGGTGTACACATGATCCATGGGGCCCTGGTGTGAAAATTGATCCATGGGGCCCCCCCCCCGCGCTTACTCTGTGCGGGCCGGGCCGCGCCGCAACATATGGCAGCGGGCACGGTATGTACGCCACTGCATGCACTTAAAGAACAACTATAGGCACTCAGATCACTTCAGCTCAATGAAGTGGTCCTGTTGCCAGATCCCTCTAGTGTTAACCCTGCAGCTGAAAACAGTGGTTTTGGAGAAACTACTATGTTTCACTGAAGGTTAATCCAGCCTCTAGTAACTGTCTCACTGACAGCCGCTAGAGGCGCTTCCACGATTCCCACTGTGAAAAACAGTGAGAAGACAATAGACGTCCATAGGAAAGCATTGAGTAATGCTTTACCTATGGGCGGAGCTGAGAGGCGGAGAGATCCCCAGCGCCAAAGGAGCCCGGCACTGGAGAAAGGTAAGTGCTGAAGGGGTTTTAACAACACACACACTCTCACGAACAGACGTATACACAATAGCTAACAGACACCCACAGTCACTTACAAAACGTACACTCTCACTGACAAACACACACACTAACAGACACCAAACAGACTCACTAACAGACACACAAACTAACACAATCAGTAACAGACACACACACTGACCCTCACTAGCAGAGATACATTCAATAACAGACCCACACAAACTAACACACAAAAACTAACACACTCACTGACACACTAGCAGACACAGACACACACACACACATTTTTTTTTTTATTTAATCCCCCAGCCTCCCTACCTTTGGGAGTGCTGAAGGGATTCCCTGGGGTCCAGTGGTGCTGCTGGGTGGCCGGCTCTGCAGGCGGCGAGGGAGCATTCTCCCCTAAGTGCGCTCTGCCCAGCTCCCTCGCTAACCGCTTACTGATGCTGGAGCCGGAATTATGTCATATTCTGGCTCCGGCATCAGTACGGTGCAAGCGAGGGAGCTGGGCAGAGAGCGCTCAGGGGAGAATGCTCCCTTGCGCGTCTGCCATGTAACGCCACTGCCAGCCTCAGGGGCACCCCAGGAGAAGAAGCTGGCAAACTTGCGTACATACCCAGTTGCAGCTGCGACCCCTGCGACCGCGGTATGTACGCCAGTGGCTAAGGCAGAGATTACAGACTTAATTTTAGCCATACTAGCAAAAGGTGCAGTGACAAACTCAAAATGGTCAGCTGACACTCTCAGCCAATCACAGCCGCCTATTGCTGCTCAGGTCAATGCTTCCTTATTGGCTAAAACAGCACACTGTGGACGATGGCCCGCTAAGTAATTTAAAGAAAAATAAAATTATGTGAAACACAACTGACATTAGCTTACTGGAAAATATACTGTACATTTTTATTTATTTAAATGGGTTAAGGACTATTGTTTAGCATTAAAACATTAGAAATAGAGGTATAGTGAATAGAGGTATAGTGTCAGGGTACTACTGGCCAGTGGGTGCTGGTGTATTAATTTGGTGGGATGCCAGACTCCTCCCCCAGATTTTTACTCCTCCCTATAGAGTACAGAGATATTCATACAATACAGAGTTCTGAGCATAATACAGAAATGCTCATACAATAAAACAAGCTGGGCACAACATAAAGATATCTGTAATATACACAGAGCTGAGTACAATACAGAGATTCCCATACCACAAACAGAGCTGAGACAAAAATAAAAGATAGAATACACAGAGCTGGGCAAAATACAAGTATACATATACAACACAGCGAGCTGGGTAATCTACAGAGCCATACAACAGGTAGAGCTGAGTAAATACAGATGAATAACACACAGAGCTGAGCACAATAAGGAAATACTGATAACTATCCCACACAGCCAGGATCAATGTAATGGAATACAGAGAACGGCAATACAGCTATACTCACACAATACATGTCTCTGTATAATGCTCCAGCTCTGTCTATCTTTCTAGCCCTCTCCCTTACATGATATCAACCTCAGTAGTGCTCCTGCTATGATAAATTTAGCTTTCTATTAACTATTGCTGCTTTTTTGAAACATTGTCAACTACTCCATTAGCTCTCAGCACACAGTGTGCATTGACTTTATAGCTGGCAATATAATTAATCTGCAGTGTTAATATGGAGCAAAGAAATAGCCAACATGGTTAACAGAGTTAACAGAATCAACACTCATTACAGATTAAAATAGATTGGAATTAAAATCAGCTCAGTCCTTAGACTCACAGCTCCAGTCCTACAGTTTAAAGCTTCACATCTTTTCAACTACCCACATGAGTGTCTCAGGTCTCAATTGTAGAGTGATTAAGCACTTTAAATAAGATGGTGGGTGTGTGCAGTAGGAATTATTAAAACTTTTAGGCAGGCAGCACAATGCTCTGTATCAGAATTGTCCTCCTCTCCTTGCCTTGTCACCCCCAGGCTTCTTTGACTTTTATATATATTTTATTTATTTATAAAATATTTTACCAGTAAAGATACATTGAGATTTCTCTCGTTTTCAAGTATGTCCAGGGTCCACAAAACATTGCATTGTTACATTAGGGTACAATAAAATACAAATACAATACAAATACAAAAACAATATTAATACACAATATATACAAAATTTACCATAGAACATGTAGGAAATATATAATAACCCATATATAATATATAAAAGTATATATATCTTTATTTATACATTTCAGTAAATTCCCTTGCTTAATCAGCACTCAGGCAGTGACTATAGCTATTGGGGAGAGAAAAAGATAATAATATACATTTACATTGGCATTGGCCAGGAGCTGCTGCTGCTTCTGTGCTCTCCCTGTGCTGCTTCCAAGATGGCTTCTTGCTTCTCTCTCCTGTGGACACAGTAACTCCACCCCAGGTGCTATCCTGATGATGGCCCCTGAATAGAGATGCCAATAGCACACCTAGGCTCTGCTGCCCGAATGGCACTCAATGGAAATTCCTTTTTAAGAGGACACTAGGCATGAGCAAAATCTGCTGTAACAGCCCTGTTTTATTTTTTTAACATGCCTAGATGCTCTCCAGTAAGCTTCTCTAAATAGCTACCAAAAACAGGGGGGATTGGGCCTGCATAACTGAGACTTATTACAGAATTAAAGAAACATTTTCCCCATATTTGTTGGCTTTCCACCCTAACCTTCAAAAAAAAAATAAAATATTGGTGTTTCTAAACTACTGGAGAAAAAAAAAAATTCTCCACATAAAAACTGGCACTATTGCCACATAAATGAAATGAAGTAATGCCTTTGTTTTAATGTAGCAATAAACGTTTGGCTGAATATGAATATTTAGAATTATTGAGTGACCAACTCTTTCAACAACTCATTCAAAAAAATAAATAAAAGCATCAAATGTATAGGCTAGCAATAATTGTACTTAATTCAAATCCCAGTCACAGAAGATAAATGCATTAAAATTAAGCATTTAACATATTTGTAATTCTAAAATCAAAACGAAAACAAGTCTTACCTGGCCGGAATTACGGAACTTTGAGGCAAGAGCACCGGCAGCAGCCTGGTCAACATTTGCACTGTCAAACACAATGAATGGGGCATGTCCCCCGAGTTCCATAGATACCCTCTTCACGGAATCAGCTGCATAGCGAAGCAAGATCTGTATTAAAGAAAATATAAATATGTTTCATATGAATAAATATAGCTTTTATTTCAGAAACCAGAATGTAATACTATTTAACAATTTGTGCTACATACATTACACAAACAGTAGAAACTTTACAAATCCATTTCCTACCTTTAATGATAATTATGTTTCATATTTTAGAATACTTTATTACAAGTCACACACATTGATTAAAAGCATAAAACACATTTTTTTTTCTTGAGGGATACAAAGTTTTATTGTAAAAACCAAAGGAAAAAAGTTACCTGCGCTCTTTCCACATCCTTATGTATTTTTAAACAAATGGAGGTTTTTAGTTACCTCCAATGGCCATGAGAGGGTATGCCCACCTGCCACGTCAAGGCAGACTTCTTAGGTGGGTCCTAACTCTAACCATTTGCCTTGCTTCCTTGAGCTTCTGGCAAAAATCTCTAGTAAGACAAAATGGGGTATTTTTTATATACATCCCTACATGCTGATGTATATAAAAAATATCCCTTTCTGTCTGAGATTTTTGCCAGACACCCTACAATATATCCAGTTGTACCTGCATGTTCTAAAGCACCCAATAGTTTAGTCATTTAATAGATACTAAATTCTAGATCAGGGTCACTTTTCAATCAAATTACATTTTGAAGGGAGAGGTAAAACAAACACGGCTAGTGAAGTACAATATAGAGATTATGTAAAATAGAAATTGCCTCTACTAATAAATATGCAGCTTGAATGCAAAATATGTCATATTATAATGAACAAACAAACCAAAAAAAAAAAACCCCCAAAAAACACATATGGTTCACATTCATGAGGTAGCCTTGTTTCACCTCAATTCAGTAATGTTAATAAATATTTTGAATATATATCTGAATTGCTTTGTTTATTACCTATAATTCATTACCAGTGTATAAAATACAACTCACTACATGCTTTATGGTTAATTGGCTTTCTTTTGGTTAAAACCTATTTTTTCATCCAATTAAATATTATAATCCAATTCTATTTCCATCAATATATAACTATGTACCTCTCAGGTGAATGTGGCGTGCCCCAATGAGCAAAAATACAACACTGTCGTCTGCAGACAAAGCAAAATGATTACTATATTATTGAATATTTCCAATTTGCTCAGTTACACAATGAGATACTACACAGAGCCAAAGGTTAATTGGAGATGGGGTGAGGAAGCATCATAATCGTCATGGAGAAACGACTAGTTCAGCTGTTATTGCAAAGAATAATTGAGGTATGGATTCTAAGTGTGCATATGGTATTCAGAGGCAATTGTTGGATATGCTTTGGAAACTAAAGTTAATGGAGGTGGGTTCTGTTGAGATGACTACAGCTTTAAGAACATCGGGATGCGTCCCCTAAAAGGTCAAGCTCTTGGTGTTCCCTGACAGGTGTGAAACTATTTTGAGTTGATACTGAGGTATCAGCTAGTGAAGCAGATGTGCTTGAGGTTGATTAAAAGTTTGACTGAAATCCATGTTCCAGAGTCACAGTGATATTTAGGGACATCTACTGACACAAGGTAATAACATAGCACTGAATGTTCTATTCATGACAACACAGGAAACATAACAGGTTCTGTACACGGGGAAGGGATGTTAAAGCTATCGGTCCAACTGTCTGATTCATCTGCTGCCTAAATACAGTTAATTTAGCCAGGGGCACAGCAGAGATAGCTACTGCAATATAAGTCATGAAAATGCTGTGATGCACAAGGATGACAAAATTGATATTAATAATAGAAAGTATTTGGGAGGCAATACATTATTTTGTGAGTTTTCAGTTACAGCAATAAACTCTCAAAAAAAAAAAACCTATCTGTATTCAATTATTCTGCTTTACAAAAATAAATAATTAAAATTCTGCAACGAATTACTTTATTTTTGCTGTTGCCAACGTTGAGCACAAAGGCATTTATATAATCAGAGGAGACATGAGTTGTCATTTATCTCACAAATCTAGGAAGAATGAAGAAAAATATGTTGAATTGTAATTTAATTTAAAATAAATCCCAACATTAAGTGTATACTGTTGTAGTGCTTTATTTATAGGTAGATGTGCAAAATGCCATAAACTGCTGAGCAAATGTACTCGCTCCTTTTCGTCTCATCCCATTCTCAATTGCATTTTCAAGCCACTTTACTTTTCCCCAGGGTACAGTGTGCTGCTACAGAAATGCTTTTATGTGGGCAATTGTCATACATATGGAAATTGGATTGGGTTTTGTTCGTTTTATCTATTGGAAAATGTTCTATCACAATAACAAACAAAATATCCTGTTCACATATCTTAATTATGAAAAAGGCATAAAATGAGTGTTACCTTTCCTGTCGCTGTGGATCCAGTGAAGGAAATTTTGCCTACAGAGGGATCTGTGCACAGGATTTCTCCAACTGCTGGAGCCTTCTCTCTGGAGCAAGGAACTACATTATAGACACCTGATGGGATCCCAGCCTGCTGAGCAAGCTGTGATGGACATTAAAGGGAGGATGCATTAATAAAACAGAAGAAAAATAATAAAACAGCATGTTCACACACACACAGCACAATGGAATAGTTTGGAAAGCTTGTACCTCTGCAAGCGCCAATGCCGATAAAGGAGTGTCTTCTGCTGGTTTTACCACAACAGTGCAGCCGGCAGCAAGCGCAGCTCCCACCTTCCTCGTGATCATAGCACTGGGAAAGTTCCACTGGCATGGGCAAAGTAGAACGAGGAGAAATACCAATTTTCATTATTTATATCATTTCAATAACATAATGATATACTTTGAATGTAGTGTCTACCTGAACATGAGTACTGCCAGATATAGGCATCAATTTAATATTTTTGGCTAATCTTTTCAAACAATTTAATATTTTGGATAAATCTTTTAAAATTTTATTTTTTTAAAAAATATTTACGTATTTTTTGATGCAATACATATTTTTTTTATATTTCGGTAATTTGGGAGAAAAAAAAAATCATTTTAAAAAAAGTGTACCTAAAAATAATAAATCATTTTAAAAGCTTTGCCAAAAATATTACTTTGAGGCAATAAAAAGGTTAAAATATTGGCCCTCCTTTTTTGTGTTGTGACTTATGGATAAAACCAAGCATGTTACTTTAGAATTCACATAGATTGCTTTAGTTCCAACTTATTTCTTGAATACTGAGAATGTCCCATTAGATGGATTAATGATTCATTAAATTTGATTAGGCACCAAGAGGTTAGAACAAAATAAAAGAATCCCAAAGCCTTGAAAAAACAGAACAAAAATCAAAACAGCCTTGCCAAAATCAGAGAAGGTAAACTGTATGTTAAATACTTAGAGTGCTCTTTTTATTTAATGAGCAAACAGATGACGTGCAAATATTTAAATAGACAAGCAAATATACTAGTAAAAAAAACCAAAAAAAAACCCACTAGAACAATAGAAAGATTAGTGGCCATGTTAATCATTCTTTTTATGGTTTATATAGTACTTTCTAAACCTTACTGGTGTAATAATTGTTGCCACTCCTATAGGTTGCTTGAGTGTTAAGGCTCTCCGGTCCTTTAATGGTACAGATATCACGTCTCCATATATACGTCGTGCCTCCTCTGAAAACCATTCAAAAAAGCCAGCTGCATACAAAATCTCCCCAAGGGCTTCTTTCATGGGTTTTCCCTAAAAAGATAACATAAAATAAATTTTAAAAATTAAATTAAAAAAATGACCTAAAATACTTTAAGCACTTCTTTAAACTATAAAACAGAATAGTCACAATTATTGCATGTTCAAAGTTTAAAGAAGTTTCAACTGGCTAATTTATGGTACCTTTTCAACAGAACAAACAACATCTCATCTAGCTTAAAGTAAGATCAGAAAGAGAGGAGCTAATGAGTTAAAAGTAAAAGAAAAATTATCAATCATTATTATGTAATGAGAACAAAATAAATATATATATATATATATATATATATATACATATATACATACACACACACACAGAGAATTTTAACTTTCCAATTCCATTTATTCTGTTTAATATTCCCTCTGCTGGATACTTCTTGCAACAATGTAGTGATCACTGAGCAGATTACATATAGGGGGAGAGTTCCTCTTATGGTTGTTACATTCTACAATGTTATGATTCTGACTGCATACTGTTAAGCAATAACCCCTATATCCAGAAATCAACTACCGTATTTACTCAAATCTAATTACACCCTTTTTTGGCAAAATAAAGTTTCCAAAATGTTAATATGCATTAGTTTCAATGGCGCATTAGAGTCAGGGCGAAATTCTAAATTCACCCAGGGAAAATTCACATTCGCATTACTGCGGCAGGGATGCAAGACTTGGTTTCTCTTTACAGTAAAGCTGTACCTCATATCTTTGTTGCAATGTGAATCTCACCCAGGCCACAGTAGTAGTATCTTGTAAATTGAATCTAACATAGTGACAAAAGCACTGGCATTGCATCAAAAGTAACAACATCATAGGTGAAATTAATTCTGCTTGGGGTAGTTTTCCTAAGCAGGAACAGCAATTATATTTATCTATATAACATGTCAGGTTGATTTTATTAGCAAATTGGCTTCCAGGTTTCAAAAATTGAAGTGCACATTAGATTAGAAATACCGTATTTCAAATAATGAGGTAAAGGAAACTATGTTGCGAAAATCATTCTAATAAATTAGAGTCTGGTAGAGACTCGCAGCAAACGCCCCATGCACAATCGTTAAATACTTTATTGTTTAAAACTTAGATGCTAGTTTAGCTGTAGCCTGCTAATCATTAGCTGCAGAGAACATGTGCCAATTTTCTAAGCAGCTGCATTGACCTCGAGAGCGGGAATCACACTAAAGTGATTCCACCGCCTCTCACGGCAGGATCTATAGGAGATAAACTAGACAGCAACTGGTAGATTGGAACCAACTATGGTCATCAGAATAAGATACATTGGAAATAAATGTGGAGACTAATCCCTTAAAATTACCATGTTCTAAATCCACTCCTAGAGGTAGCCTAAAAAAAAGTGGTTTTTTTTTTAGGACTTACCCGGCCCTAGGAGACTCTGGGTACGTTTTTTTCCCAAGCCTGTTTTGTGAATGAGCCACTGATTTGCTGAGAGCATCAGCTGACTGCTCTCAGCCAGTCAGCGGAGCCTCTGCCCGGAAGGGCACAATGGTTCCAGTAAGTGAAATTTCAGAAGCTGAATGCCACTGTGTGGGGGAGCGAGATGAGATCGGCACTGGAAGCAACTTCGGGGTTTAACCGGTCAAAAACGATCTAAGCTCTTTTGGGACCATACAACTTCATTCAGTTGAAGTGTTATGGTGCCATATGAAATCTAAACTGTCCCTTTAAATTAGCTTGTGCTGTGTAAAACCAACATAGGGCATTGTGTCTTGAGGGACATCAAACTAACATTTTAACAAGGTGGTCTAAGCATCATTGATGTTGACATAATATGCCCTCGCATTGAGCTGCTCTGCGTTTAAAAGCCAAGACACTTTTTTTCTTTTACAGTCCAGCCATGATGTGCACACGTACATTTTCCGCTGTGATGATCCTGGCAAGATCGTCTTTATTCTGGATCATCAATTCATACCACTTACGCAATAGGATACTTCTCTCCTGAAAGAAATAGCAGTTATATTATGAACAATATACAAAGTACAGCCATGTAAAGAGACAGTCACAGCACAGAAAGCACTCCATCTTTATGAAGAGATTTTTGGACATAGATACTGCCAGTGTATTCTTTCAATTGAAAACATTACCATTTCTGCGAAACAACACAGTTTACATTTTGCAGTTTCCAGACCTACTTATGGCTTTCAGACATACAGCTACTTGGTGCTTCACACCGTAACAGATTCAATTAATTAACCTGACATTTGGCATCAGCATGCAATGTATTGCACTCTACCATCTTCCTCTGTGACTTTTCTCTCCTTCCAGTAGCCTCCTCAATTCCTCCACACATCACCACAATTTGATGCACAAAATGTACTTGGTCATAACCCTAGGATAACAAGCCCTCCACACCTGCATACTGGCTCTCCACACTCATGTGCACCCATGCAGGGCTATCTTAACAGCATTATAAGCCCCCGGGAAAAGCCTTGCACTGGGGCCCAGCCTACCAACCACTTACAGGAATAAAAAATGTAGATTATTGATAAAATGAAGCTTGTGTTTATTGGGGCATTTTAGACATGTGCACCAGTGAAATTTTTGTTTCGTGCGAATATAATTATACTAAATAAAAATTATCCATAAAACATTTGTTTTTTGGACGAAATTCCTTAACAAAATTATTCATTTTCGCCCATTAGGATGAAAATAACACTGCGCATGCACACAAAAAAAAACACGCAAGGAGGAAGCCGGCAGCACTACCAGCTCCCTCCTTGTAATAAACATTAACAATTCCTACCCCTCTGCATTAAAACCTATGGGGGTCACTATGACACCCATATTAATAAAAAGGAGGTTAAATCCTCCTGCATGCCCCTACTTGCGGCATGTTATGAGTAGTCTGCAGTGAGAACCAGCATTTTTTGTTTCTCCTCTGTGCTGTGGGGGTTAATTCTCCTGCAGCATAGATGTGACCTAACACCCTGTCACTGGAATACTGTGTTCTCTTCCTATTCCCTGTTTTGTTTGATAAATACCGTGTTCACATACTTTCCCCCTGTTTTGTACGGTAACTGAACAAAACCACAAAATACTCAGACCACCGGTATGCTTATTAACCTCGTTCACCCCTGTTAACACCTCAATAACAATTCACACCTCAGTGTTCTAAGCGGTCAGCTGGGTGGCCGTTCGTATGCATTAACATGTGGTGGTGACCACCTTGTTCGCACAAATGCAGGCAGTGGTGTTTGGTCGTTGAGTGCATGGAACTAAAATCGGAAACTCGACCTCGCGAACACCGCTGAACTTCCATCCCCGCCTGCTTTCGTTTCTTTACATCCTGGAAGAGCACAGTTCAGTGGAATCGTTCGCATGGATGAGGTGAACACTATCTGCCTATCCTGCAGCACAGAGTTTAATAAACAAAAGAACTGAAACGAAAAGGTAATGCGTTTGGTAGTTGCCCTTTCGTTTCGTATAGAATTCGTATGTAGGACTTTCGTTTATGTTATAGTTAAAGAATCCGAAAAAGTCAGAAAATTCAGACTAAATCATATTCGTCTGATAATGAACACATGTCTAGTTACATTTAACAAATGCAATATATACATACAGACACAGACTGCTGAGTACACAAACAAAGTGTGTGTGAGGGGTGCATGGGATCTATATTGTGTGACCGTGATAACAGACCAAATTTCTATTGTTTCATTTAAAAAAACAAAAATAAAAAACGCATTGAGTTTTACAACTGCTGGGCTTTTGGCCACCACAGCATTATTTACTAGAGAACTGCAGCTAAGAACAGTAACCTAAGGAAAGAGACCATTCATTCATTGCTCACCTTGGCTGGCACCTCTCTCCAGGTCAGGAAGGCCTCAGACGCAGCTTTCAATGCCTCCCTGCACTCTCTGGGGCCACAGTCACTCACTTGCACCAGTTCCGCACCAGTAGCCGGGTCCAGCACTGGGAAGGACGCGGAGTCCGAGCTGCGGAGCCAGGAGCCCCCAATATAGGCAGCTGATCGCAGGAGGGAAGCTGGGAGCCCGGAGGCACCCGATGTGGAAGCCATTCTACAAGGCAGGAGCAGAATGCGAGAGAGGGGGAGCCGAGCAGACATCACCAGCTCTGCAATGACAATTAAGATTTATGGCACTTTAATCGTTAACTCGGTGCTAACTGAAGATCTGTAACCATTAGCAATAGCTCTGCACTGCTGGGTGCATGCAATGAAACGATCTGCTGCTCTATAAAATAAAGGGTTCCTGTATCAGGGGTGTATTAATAGAAACACTAACCAAACTACATTTCTATCTTGTAGCAATAGTAAGGATGGTTCTATTTCAATCCCCGGCTTCAAACAGAACAGATTACTCAACATTCCATAAGAATATTTGCAGAAAGCAATAAACCAGTTGCACAATAACCTGTAATTCTCCCTGCTCTGTCCTATTAACACCAGCACATAGACAGGCAGGGGGTGTGCCGCCAGGATCCAATGCCAGCCATAGCTCAATTAAAGGCACAGTAGCCTCTTTAAAAACAAGAGAACAATATGACTTGCTCCATCTGCCGGTATATAGTAAATCCCTCCAATGATCTATTGATGCCACATTTCCCTAATGTGGACAGTTCTAGATCCTCAGGTCTTTGCACTGGCATTTGTCTGAGGATTTTCTTTTTTTTTTCATTTGTTTAACATATAATTGTGTTACTGAAACCCAGTCATACTTTTTATTGATTCATTTTTATTGTGCTGGTAGCAAGATGGGAACTGTCAGTTAGGTCAAATATCATATGTTTTCATTTTTTTACAAGACTGTACTGAGACATTTTAGGTGACACTAATAATCTATGGAACTAAAATCTAACAAGAACAATGTATCTTCTTCACACAGACTGATTTCTAAACACATTTATTGTAGATTAGAGACACATTACTGGGAGTAATTTTGCTGTGTGATTCTGTTATACACTGTGAATCAGACACACCAACAATATGGAACTCTTACAAAAGAGCTACAAAGGAATTTGGATCCAAAATAAGGACTGTCCCTTCTAAATAGGGACACTTGTGGGTATGTTTACAGATGATCATATCTTTGGTGCTGGGAACATGTATGTTTTTTTTTTCTAAGGTTTGAAATTACAATTATACAGAAAAACTGGAAATCTGAACAGAAACTGCATTTTGCGCACTCAGTAATTTATATAAAAAAAGCCAGAAAATACAATTTTACATTTTAACGTTAAGCACAATATATAATAAATAGTGTAGTGTAGGACAATAATGAATATAAATCCATTAAAATTCTTAAAAGCTAGCAAAATTGAGACAACGCTGAAATTTGCATGTAGGATTTATATGTACTAGAAATGTTTAACCCCTTCAGGACCGGACTGTTTTTGCGATGTTTGTACGTTAAGGACCAGAGCTATTTTAACACTTTTGTGGTGTGTGTGTTTAGCTGTAATTTTCCACTCTCTCATTTACTGTTCCGATACAAATTATATATTGTTTTTTTCAGGACAAAAAGGGCTTTCTTTACATACTATTATGTATATCATGTCATATAATTTAATTAAAAAATAATAATAATAAAATATGGTGAAAAATTTAAAAAAAGTTTTTTTACTTTTACTAAAAAAATCTTTTACTTATCTACAAAATCGAATGAAACAAACTGCTAAATAGATTCAAAATTTTGTCCTGAGTTTAAAAACACCCAATGTTTATGTGTTTTTTATTTTTATTTTATTTGCATGTTATAGGGCTATAAGTACAAGTAGGAAATTGCTGTTTCAAAATGTACATTTTTCAAATGTATCAATAGTGACATTGTAACACTGTTATGTTATAAATCTCCATAAAACACCCCACATGTATATATTTTTCTTAAACTAGATAACCCAGGGTATTCATCTAAGAATATTTTGATACTTTCTATGCAGCCATTTTACCACAAACCTTGCCAAACTTTGCAGAGGTTGTTTATTTTTTTTATTTCTTTCACATACATTGCAATTCAGGTATAAATTCACAGATTTTGTTAGGTGTCACTGCCAAACAACACCCCAATATGTGTTCAGCAACATCTCCCGAGTACAGGGATACCCCCATGTATAGGTGTGTCGGGTTGTTGGGGGGCTAAAAGGCCACATTTTCCAGGTGCGCATATATCAGTTTCCCAGCTTGGAATTTTGACATGTAGTCAACCTGCATGCATGTCCTATTTGGGACATTTTTGAAGTCGGCCAATGTATTTTACCCCCACCAAACCATATATTTTTGAAAAGTAGACACCCTAGAGTATTTCACATGGTGGTATTTTAACACTTTCCATGCACTAATTCCACCACCAGGCTTTGTCAAGCATTGAGGTAGTAATTTTTTTTCATTTTGTTTCACACTCATTGTACTTTAGGCATGAATTAACAGATCGTGTTATATGTCACTGCCAAACAACACCCCAATATGTGTTCAGCAACATCTCCTGAGTACAGTGATACCACCCATGCATAGGCCTGTTGGGTCCTTTGGGGGCTAAAAGGCCACGTTTGACAGGTGCGCTGATCAGTTTCCCAACTTGGAATTTTGACATGTAATCAACCTGCGCCCCTGTCCCATTTGAGCCAATGTATTTTACCCCCATCAAACCATATATTTTTTTAAAGTAGACAACCAAGGGTATTTTAAATGGTGGTATTTTAACACTTTTCAGGCACTGAATTCTACCACCAGCCTTTGTCAAACTTTTGGGTAGTAATCTTTTTTTGTTTCTTTGTCACAAACATTGTACTTTCAGCATGAATTAATAGATCCTGTTATGTGTCACTGCCAAACACTGCCCAATATGTTCAGCAAGATCTCCCAAGTACAGTGATACCTCCCATGTATAGGGTTGCTGGGTTGTTATATATATATATATAGGTATGCTTGGTCTATCTTCAGTTTGACATATTTTTGCAGCCACCCAGTTAATGTTACCATCATGACAGTATATATAGTATATATTTTTATAAAGTAGACATCAAAGTTTATAGAAAATGGGGTGTTTGGACTTCTTTCCCCCAATCATTTTGCCCCCCCAAAAAACAGAGAAATTGTAGTGGTAATTTTTAAATTCTGGTTTTTATGCACACGTCATCTTGTTTTGGCCAGCTGGTTATGTGTTACTGCCAGAAAACTTGTTAGACCAAATGTGCAAGTAGCAAATGTACATTTAGCAGCAATCTTTAACCCCTTAAGGAGACTTGACATGTGTGACATGTCATGATTCCCTTTTATTCCATAAGTTTGGTCCTTAAGGGGTTAAACTGACTCCTGCAAATATAATCTAACTGGAGATTTGGGGGAAGGAAACTGACTAACATAAAATAGCTGCTTTCCAAAGAAACAAAAAATAAAATAAAAATTCAGGAACACTTCTTACAACTGTTCTGTGTGGTACAGCTTGAAACATGTTCCTACACACAGTCCTGGTTTCGAAGGGCAATCAGAACAGTGAAAAGGGGTGTCTGTCCTTTTCCCGTTTTTAAAACAGACCCGACAATGTTTCTGGTTTTTTTTTTGTTTTCTAGCAGTTGGCGGTAACTTAAAAATAAAATGTCTGGACTCAGCTTGCACCGTTGTTGGAACTTGTCCATCTCCATAAATTGTTAAAGAAATTATTTTCAACTGAAATTGGAGAAAGGTGGTTTACTCTGGATTATTTTTTTAAATAAAAGCAAAAATGAGTTGTGGGTTGCTATTTGCATCAGATAGATAGCCACCTTTTTATACCATGCTTTGGTTTTTCATAAAATAAGATATGGCTGCATCAGCTGATCAGCCAAATCAACACCCCCCATGTACTTATAATACGCCCTGATGCAAACCGGTTTGGACTCTACTCTGCACCAGACAGAGACGTCTGACATGCGTTCGTCATGGATGGTGGTTAGCATGTTGACATCTTTTCTGTCTCTGAACTTTAGTGCAAGCACTTCAGCTTTGCGAAGTGCTTTACATTTGCCTTTTTTTTTTTTTTTGCCTCTATGAGAGATCGTGGAAAGTCTTTGGAATTTTCTTCTGGCAGTGCCGCAGGCCAGTGTGTCTGTAAACCATGAAGTGTTTTAAACAGACGGACACTACTATAAAAATTATCCACATAAAGGTGGTAACCTTTATTAAACAAGGGGTTTAGTAGGTCCCATACAAGTTTCCCGCTTGTCCCCAGGGAGTCAGGACAGCCAGGAGGGTCCAGTTGACCATCTTTCCCCTCACATACATGAAAGGAAAACGTGTATCCACTTTCGCTCTCGCACAGTTTGTACAGTTTTATGCCATACCTAGAGCGCTTTGAGGGGATGTATTGTCTGAACCCTAATCTCCCTTTGTATTTCATTAGCGATTCATCTATGGATACATTTTGTTGGGGGGTAGTAACATCCGAAAATTTGTCCTGAAAATGGTCTAGCCGTGGGCGTATTTTATGAAGCCTATCGTATTGGAGGTGATCTCTAGGGTGACAGAGGGTATTGTCACTGAAATGTAAAAATCTCAGCAGTAACTCGTATCTGGCTCTAGGCATGGTTTGGGAGAATACTGGACTAGACATTATTGGGCTGGTGCTCCAGTATGAGCGAATCGATGGCTTCTTTATAATCCCCATGAGCATTGTAAGAGCCCAGAATTTTTTAAGCTCTGGGACATCTGTGGGATGCCAGTCATGCTCCTTGACTGTATAGCTACCTGGATTGTTATCAATAAATTGGGTAGCATACAAGTTAGTCTGGGAAGCAATCCCAGATGGTATCCCCTAAAAATAGTTCTACATACTGCATTTGGGAGAAGCCATCCACATTAACATTAATGCCTGCGTTGGCACTAAAAGGGGGGACGTTGGGCTCGGTTAACATTCGGCGTAGCAGAGGAAGCACAGCTTCTTTCTTCAGCCGGCTCACACACAGATGACATGTCGTCTTGACTAGACGTGTCAGAAAACTGACCTGGACTGACTGGCCTCTTTGTGCAACTTCTTGGTGAGGATGCCCCCCCCCGAAATACCCATGGAACGAGCACACAGAGCGCTACGTGGTCCCAGGAGTGACGGGCAACCCAGAGACATGATTTGTTGCCTCACATCGTTCCAGCAGAAAGACGCCATCATGAGAGCGGCCAGAGCCCAACGCTCAATTGCTTACATGGACTCCCAGGTAATGCTGTTCCAGGACCTGTCGTCCCTCACGCTCGACGCCAGACGGGCATTGAAACCCCTAACAACCATGCTACAAGAAAAACGAATTCCCTACAAGTGGGGCTTCCCGTTTAGCCTGCAAGCCAAGATTGACAACCACTGGCACACACTACGCTGGCCCAATGATGTCCCCAGATTCCTTCACTCAGCAGGTTTGCCACATGTCCACGTACAGAACTGGATCCTTGAAAACCCGCCTGCTCGCCCGACCGGGCCCTACCCAGTTGCGGAGAACCTGTTG